TGCTCCGACTTGCTCAGTTTTCTCGAGAAAAAGGCACACGGTTTCCATTCCTGCTTGCCCCTCCCTGGCTGCAAAAGGACCGCCCCTACGGCTCTGTCGGACGCGTCGGTCTCTAGCCTCAGGGGTTTCTCCAGATCTACGTGCAGGAGTTGCTCTTCCGATGCGAACGCCTTCTTCAGTTTTTCGAAGGATTGCTGGGCCTCTTCTGTCCACACAAACTTCTTTTGCTACTGAGACAATCCGTGATGGGCGCTGTCAAGTGGGCGAAGTTCTTGATGAACTTCCTGTAGAAGTTGCTGAACCCTAGGAACCTCTGTACGTCCTTCCGTGTTTTGGGAGCCTTCCACTCCAGCACTGCCTGCACCTTGCTTGGGTCCATCGCTAAGCCTTTGTCAGACAACTTGTACCCCAGAAACTCGACTTCTCTGGCGTGAAACTGACATTTTTCCAGCTTGACCCACAACTGGTGCTTCTGCAGTCGTTGTAACACTTCCCTGACGTCTCTAACATGTTGCTCCTCATTGTCCGAATAAATTAAGACGTCGTCCAAGAAGGCTACGCAGTTCTTGTACAGCAGAGACCCCAACACGTGGTGCATGAAAGCTTGAAAACAGGCGGAGCCCGACTGTAATCCAAAAGGCATAACTAAGTACTCAAAGGCACCTAGGGGTGTGAACATTGTGGTCTTTCATTTGTCCCCCTCCCTCATCCTGATCAAATTGTATGCGCCCCTGAGGTCCAGCTTGGTAAAAATTTTGCCTTTCCTCACTCGCGTTAAAATGTCGTCAATCCTGGGCATTGGGAAGGTCACGGGTTCTGACACCAAATTGACAGCTCTATAGTCCACTACGAGCCTGGGTTTATTTGTGTCCTTTTGTCCACAAAGAACACCGGACTGCCCCCTACTGCCTTTGATTCTCTTATGAAGCCTCTTTTCAGGTTCTTGTCAATAAATTCTCGCAACTCCTTCATCTCCCTGTCAGACATGGCGTACAGCTTACCCACTGGCAGCTGAGCCCCGGAAGCAAGTTGATCTGGCAGTCAAAGGGCCTATGGGGTGGCAGTCTATCTGCCTCCTTCTCGCTGAAGACCTCCCGCAGATCTCCGTATTGTGGCGGCACCTCCACTTTACTCTCCTTCGCCATCCCAGCCACCCTGGCCACGGTCATTCTTGGGGCTTCCCCTAGACAGTGTTCCAGGCAGTAAGCTGACCCAAAGGTGACTGTCCTCTGATGCCACGCCACCACTGGATCATGTTGTGCTAGCCAGCTCATCCCTAATATTATTGGGGGCCCTGCTAGTGAGGCGACGTGAAAGGCGATGGTCTCCGAGTGCCTGGACACCCTCATTCTCATTGGTGGGGTCTGGTGTGTCACTTCCCTCCTAGAAGCTCCCTGCCATCAATGGTGGTCACTTGCAAGGGAAAATCCAAAGGCAGTAAGTGGAGCTGGTGCTCTAATGCAAAGTCTTTGCTGAAGAAATTACATGAGCTGCCTGAATCCAGCATCCCTTTCACCTTGACTGGGTGCCCGTTCGGGAGTTCTAGCACCACTTCGATGGCTATTGCCGCCTTGGGGGTCTGGTTGGGGCACTTTTACTGGTGGCTGGCCTGGCTGTTGTGCCCCTTGATTGGCAGCCAAGCGTTCCCGTTTCCCTGTTCCTGTTCCTTTACCACCTCCTCCTCACCCCCTGCGGCTCCCACCATTCCTTGCCAGGCCTTTCTTTGAGGGCAGGCTCTGGCAAATGGCCTGGCCGCTGGCAAAGGTAACACTTCTTGGAGGTTTTCCACTCCTTTCCCTCCTTTTGCGCCCTTCGCTGGTGCTTGAAACTCCCGCGCGCGTGCCCCATCTATTTCCATTGGCTCTGCTGGCGGGGAAGACTGCCTTGGTATTTCAGGAATGCGGTAGTCATGGCAACGTTGCTCTCTCCCTTCCCGCCTCTCCTGGGCCCGCGCTTCCTGGCGCACGCCAATCGCAAGCACAGCCTTGGTCAGCTGATCCATCCCCTGTGGGCGGGGTGCGCGGGAAAGTTCATCCTTAACCGTTGGGGACAACCCCTCCTCGAATAACATCTGTATGGGTTCGGAGCCCAGTTCCCACCCGAGGCGGTGAACTATCATGGCAAAGCGCGACCAGTAGTCCCTAACTGACTGGCTCCCTGTTTACAGTTCATCAATTCCCGCTTTGTCACACTTTTTGAACATCAGTGGAAAACATTGCGTCCATTGCTTGGAAGAATTTCCTCAGGTCCTGCATGGCGGCATTCTGCGTCGCCATAAGGGGCCTGACCCATTCCCTGGCCCCGTCCTGCAGGTGACCCACAATATATGCCACCCGCGCCGCGTCGTCTTCAAAATCGTCATGCTGCAATTCCAATGCGTACTCTATTTCCGTTCGAAACGCACTGTATTCTTGCGGCTTCCCCCCAAATTTGTGCACCAGTCCCGGTACCTTCCTTGCTATGGGGGTGGGTCTGACCTGTGCATCTTGAGACCGCCTTTCGTCCAGCCGCGCCGTCAGAATGGCCACATGCTGCTCCAACTCTCGGTTCCTCTCCACCAGCGTTTGCCCTCCAGCTGCTTCCCCCTGGGTGCTGGCTTCTCCGGGCTTGCTCATGATGCTGCCTGCCTGCTGCTGCGCACGAGCAACTTTCAGGGACTGACGGATTGCTGTGATGAGTATGAGTTACTCGTGCGTAAACTGGTGCCTCTCTAGGCTAATTTGCCTTGTTAAACCTTTCTGACTGCACAGCCCTTTCTAATCATGACTGTCTCAGTCACTGGCAGAATCCGTCAGTGGGCGTTTCTTGAATCTCTTCCAACATAAGAGTTGTTTGACACCCAATCTCCTCCGCCTCTCACTGCGCGGGAGCCTTCTGCACAGGGTGGGCGTGGGTAGCGGAGGACCTGTCCCCTCCTCACTGAGTTCCAGTGAAGAGTCCGGGAGCCCTCTCTCCGATTTCCCCATCTGCCCACTTTTGTTCCTGGTGTTGCGCTTAAATGCTTCCCCCTCCACTGAGCTGCTTCTCCCCCTGCTGCTGGGTCCTTCTCCAGCATCATCTAGGAGCCTCCCCTTCGCCTCCCGCTCCGATGTCAGTTCCCTGACAACATCCATGTACCCAGCTTATCTTGTTTACACATTCCACAATCCAGATTTATTGACCATTAATTGATGAAGAAAACGTTGCCTTTATTACCTTAAATGATGGATCGAGCATTTCCCAAACATCAGTTAAACCTTTAACCTCAAATATTAGTTTTATGGTCCAAAATTAATGTATGTCTATAAAACTGACCATTCCAGCTTGTGAATTAAGCTGATATCTGTTACCCACGATTTATTCTGAACTTGCTTTGAGTTAGTGTCCTTCCTTCATAATGTCAGAGATCCAGGGTACCAGAGTCTGTTAGTGAATGGTAGAAATTACCGTAATAAATGGTAGTATTTAGATAATACAGTGGTACCTTGGGTTACATACGCTTCAGGTTATATACACGTCAGGTTACAGACTCCACTAACCCAGAAATAGTACCTCGGCTTAAGAACTTTGCTTCAGGATGAGAGCAGAAATCTGGCTCCCGGTGGAGTACAGGATCAGGTTTAAGGTGCTGGTTTTAACCTTTAAAGCCCTATACGGCCTAGGACCCTTGTACCTACGGGGCCTCCTCTCCTGGTATGTCCCACAGAGGACCTTATGGTCTACAAACAAAAACATCTTGGAGGTCCTGGGCCAGAGGGAGGTTAGGCTGGCTTCAACCAGAGCCAGGGCTTTTTCGGCTGTGGCCCCAATCTGGTGGAACGCTCTGTCACAAGAGACAGAGTCCCTCTGGGACTTGACATCTTTCTGCAGGGCCTGCAAGATGGAGCTGTTCCACCAGGCCTTTGGCCAAGGCACAGCTTGGTAATCCTCACAGAACTCTAGCCCAATGGTTGCCATTAATTTGATTTTGAATTGATTTTAGAATGTATTGATTTTAGAATGCTGTATTACTTTTACTGTTGTTAGCCGCTCTGAGGCCGGCTTTGGCTGGGGAGGGCGGGATACAAATAAAATTTTATTTATTATTATTATTATTAAAAGGGTATCATTGGCTACTAACCATAGTGACTGTGCTCTGCCTCCATAGTTACTGAAGGCCACAGGTTGTGGGAGTGCTCTTGCGCTCAGACTGTACTTGCAGGCTTTTTATAAGTTAGCCTGGTTAGCCACTCTGAAAAAAGACTGGTAGCTAGATGAGCTACTGACCTGATCCTGCAGGTTCTTCTTATGTTCATAAGTTCATATGTTCATTTTTAACAGAGTTGAAGGTCATACGATGGACCACTTTCTATCATGTTATTTTCTCCAGCTGTTGATGCTTGTCACATTTTGAAATACTGCACTGCAAAACCTACTAAACCTATAGCTGGAGAAGATAATCAGATGAGTGTGCGCTTGACAGATACTTGTGGGGTAGGCACTCCTGGATCCAGCCTTAAGCTACCTTCTAACTCAGGCTTCTCCAAACTTGGGTCCCCAGCTATTTTTTGGACTACAACTCCCATCATCCCTAGCTAGCAGGACCAGTGGTCAGGGATGATGAGAATTGTAGTCCAAAAACAGCCGGAGACCAAAGTTTGGGGAACCCTGTTCTAACTGTGTAAATCACTAGCCAAGGGGTCCCACGATCAACATGCTTTTTTTTTTAAAGTTAGTAAAATCTGCTATGAAGCTATAGCTAGGTGGGTGGCATAATGGGGTGGCAGAGACAGCAGAAGTGGTTAGAAAATCTACCCGGGAGCTGAAAGAACAGGAGCACGACTTGTTGGCAAACTTTCTTGTGCCAGGTTCTGGGTGCCCTGATCTATTGGAACAGCAATGTACTTGAAGAGTGATTCAGTCTAATCTTGTGCCATAGAAAGGGGCGGTGACTTTGTTTTGTTCAGCTTCTCCTGTGCTATCATTAGGGGGGGTGAGAAAAGAGAAGGCACAGCCAAGTGCAGCTGGCACGCCTCCGGGTGGCTCTTATATAACCTGGGCTCTCCCAGGGCACTACCGTTGGAATAAGGTGAAAGATTCTTAAGGAACTCCTTCTATTGCTTGGGCTGCCATTGCAGGGATTCAGATTGCTGTGGCGCTGGGACTGTTCGGAAAAGTGTGATCTGGGATCCTGCTCTGCTCTTGGATGAAGTTAGGAAGCTGAAGAGGATGGCTTCAGATGAGCTGGTCTTCTTTGTCAATGGCAAGAAGGTAGGGGAGACCCCCCACATTTAATTTTCTTTTGTTTGTATCTCAACCCTTGGATTAACTTCATGAGTTGCAGATTGCACTATTGAGAACTGTGCTCCACATGCAGCTAAATAGCCTTGAGCATTTGTGAAACTGAAAAACCATCATTTCTAATACAAGCAAACTTTATTGAACTACTAAAACTTTTTTCAATGTAGAGTAAGGGAGACACGTTAATCAAATGACCAAGTGGAAGGTTCCTGCTATTGCTCTCTCTCTTTTAGAAATATAGTATCCAACTTTCTTTTAGCCAAAAAATAATAATGATCTGTAATGCTTTTCAGCCTGTTTCTTCCAGAGAATGCTTCTGTTTCATTGCTGAAATAGTTACATTTTTAAAAGATAGACCCCAGTTCAATAAACACTCACATTTCCTAAACTTACATTGAATAAAGCAGAGTGGAAGAAGGCTACTGAAAGATGCCCAGTGAATGAAGTACATGCAAGGAAAACCATCCTGTGTTTGCTTTCTATGTCATTTTAAAAATACGACTACCTGTAATGTAGGTAACATAACTATTCTTTACACCCTCTGCCTGTAGCTTGTCCAGCCAGCAACAAACAACTGAGTGACAGCGCTGGGCAGTTGCTGTTGGACTGATACCCTCCCTAAATTAAATTACAGAAGCAAGCACAATGATTACTACAAACCCACAGTGATTTCCACCTCTGCGTAAAGAGATCAAATGCTAGCGATTACCAGTGAAGCAGCTGGGGTGGCAGGTTGTTCCGTTCCTGATGCATTTGAGAGAGAGAGAGAGAGAGAGCGCGTTGCACCTAGTCGTTCTGTCTGACCCAGCAAGGCTATGCTTAGGTTAATTTAGCCGGAGCTGCCTGACTGTGTGGAGATTTTGCTCCGGCCACGAGACTGCAGTACACGGACTGAAACGAATCAGCACCTCCCCTCTATAAATAGTGGTATTAATCTGATTCAGCATGGTGGAATTCTGTTCCTCTGCCCGGGGCTGGAGCTGACCTTCCCGAGCAAACAGATGGTTCTATGTTGCTGCTTCCCAGTGGTGTCAACCAGGGCGCACCTTTGTGCGCTGGGAGCTCCAGAGAGCTTCCATATGGGTTGCACGGTTGGGAAGGGCCAGGGGTGGAGACGGGGGTTGAGTTGCATCAGCAAATCACAGAGCAAATTGACTTGTCCGTCCTGCGCTTTGTCCTTTAGTGGCAGCAAGGCTGGACCTAGGAAAGCAGAGTGCTGACATCTGACTGACCTAACATTTGGGCAGGAATCTGGCCCTCTCTGCAGTGCATGTCCTACAAGTGTCACTCTAAGAAAGCAGTAATAATGGAAGGCTTAACGGGAGTCAGCAGCTTTTCCAGAAACCACCAGGACACAGTTGGGACCCCATTTACACACCTGTTTCTGAAATGAATTGTACACCTGCAACTCATAGGGTTGAAGGCTGCATGTACCTTGTCCTACCCCTACACCCCTAGCACCTCTTGCTAAAAGGATATTGGGTGGGAAGGCAGGCATAGGACCTCCAGCCAATGTGGTGTAGTGGTTAGAGTGCTGAGCTTGGGCCTGAAGGACCAGGGTTCAAATCCCCACTTGGCCAGGAAGCTCACTGGGTGACCTTTGACCAGGCACTCACTGTCAGCCCAGCCTACTTCACAGGGTTGTTATGAGGACAAGGGGGGGGGGGAGAACTAGGTAGATCACATTGAGCACCTTGGAGGAAAGGTGGGATATAAATGTAAAAAATACATCTCTTCACAGTTAAATTGGATCAGGCAATGCTGGGCTAGGTGGACCTGTGGTTTGACTCAGCACAGGGCATAGGAAGCTGCCTTACGCAGTTGCACCATTGGTCAAGGTAGCTCAGTATTGTCTGCACTGACTGGCAGCAGCTTGCAGGGCTTTGGACAGGAGCCTTTCCCAGCCCTCCCTGGAGATGCCTGGGATTGAGCCTGAGACCTTCTGCATGCCAAGCAGATGCCCTGCTTCGGAGCCGTGGCTCTTTGTACTTGTGCAGCAGACCTGTGCCACTGCCTCCCTATGCCATTTCCACTTGGGTTAGGGCTGCTTCACACATTGTATATTTTAAACCGCATTTAGATATTCTGACGGCAAGCGCTCTTTGGCAGTGGAACGGTCTCCCTCGGGAGGTTGTGGATTCTCCTTCCTTAGAGGTTTTTAAGCAGAGGTTGGGTGGCCATCTGTCACGGATGCTTTAGCTGAGATTCCTGCATTCCAGGGGGTTGGGCTAGATGACACTTGGGTCCCTTCCAACTCTAAGATTCTATGATTCTAAGTGCACACTTGCATTTCACAAATCCAGGAAATTGCCTAAGGTTAGTATCTCCAGATAGGCTGGTATTTTACCCATCAGCCCACCCATAAGGATAGCTTACAGTAGAACCTCGACTAAGAGTGGTGGACTCGTAATCTGGTGAACCGGGTTCGCGTCCCCGCTCCTCCACATGCAGCTGCTGGGTGACCTTGGGCCAGTCACACTTCTCTGAAGTCTCTCAGCCCCACTCACCTCACAGAGTGTTTGTTGTGGGGGAGGAAGGGAAAGGAGAATGTTAGCCACTTTGAGACTCCTTAGGGTAGTGATAAAGTGGGATATCAAATCCAAACTCCTCCTCCTCCTCCTCCTCCTCCTCCTCTTCTTCTTCTTCTTCCCACTGCCCCATTCGCGAACAATCCAATTCACGACTACGGCAAACCTGGAAGTAAATACTGGGTTTGCCGTGATTCCTGCATGCGCAGAAGCAGTTTCTGCTGACTGCACATGCGCAGAAGCGGCTGCCGACGTCTGCACATGCGCAGAACGGCGCTGCCGCCGAATGTGCACACACAGAACGGCGCTTCTCCCAGCGACCCGGATCGACTCACAAACAGACCTCCGGAACGGATTCCATACCTGAGTAGAGTTTCCACTGTATTTTGGTGCACGTGCTAAATAAAGCTGACCAAACCTGCAAGAGGTGTAGTGGTTAGAGTGATAGACCTGAGGAGCCTGGGCACTCAACCAGGAAGCTCCTTCGACCAGCCATTTACTGTCAGCCCAGCCTACCTCACAGGGTCGTCATGAGGGTGAAACGGGGAGGAGGAGACCTTAACCTGGAAGCTCTGAAGATTGAGCTCTGTTGCAAACCGTTTGTTCAGATCCTTGCAAACACGGCAGCAAGCAAAGGCCCGTCATTATGCAATGCTTACCGGAACAGGAGGCTTGAAGTACATATGGGTGGAGCATTGCAACACACCCCCTGGGAATGTTGACCGAGAGCCCGGAACAGAACATGATACCTTGTCCTGCAGCTGGTGAGAAAGGTTACTTCGTCTCTGTTGCAGATAGCCTGACATCGCAAAAATAACCAGTGCTGTATTGTGCTGCGTGTTACTTCAAGGCTATGGGGCCGGGCGATAAGGGACAAACGATAAGATACGGCTTTTGCAGAGGCACACAAGCTACAATGAAACTTCACCAGCCAACTCTTACTTCACAGGCAAATCTGCTGGTGTGTCTTTAAGCACCTGTTTAATTTCTGCTATGTATCGGCTGCTAAAATAATGTCCCTTGACCGCTTATGAGAGTGCAGCATGATTGTAGCTGGAAACTGTTTTTTCTTCTTCTCTTTTTAACATCTTGCTCTTGGGGAAATAGGTGTGTTTACATGTTAACCACATAAAGATAAAGAGCAGTAGCGTGGGGCTTGTAAACCATTCATTTACACACTGCTGCCCGGACAAAATGAATTCACCTACTAAAGCTGCTAGTGCTGTTTGAGGGGGAAGCTGCTATGGGAGCTCTGAAGGGGACTTTCCTTGGGAAAACAGCACCAAAAAAACTCCACCCGCTCCTATGCTGTAGCTCGAATCCTGATGCCCCTCTCCCTTGCTTCAATTTCAAAACATGCTCTCAAAACATGTACAGGGCCAAACTATATGGTGCCTTAGGGAAGCCCACAAGCTAGGCTGTGAGGTTAATAGCTCTTCCCCAGCTTGTGTTCAGTGATATACTGGCTCTGCATATGGAGGTTCCATATAAATAATCAATCCACCATTACAGCGAATAGCTGTTGCCATCCATATATTTGTCTAACTCACATTTAAAGCTGATTGAGTAGGTGTCTCCATGTCTCATGGCATATATGAGTTCCGCGTATGATTCAAAACTTGATTGAACCCAGTGACCATGAAATATACTCGGAGTCGAGAGTGGATTTCATGCTCTTTATTCAGCTCATAGTGGTGAGGAGGAATGGAAGTTCCCCCAGAGTGTCTGCTTTATATACATTATTTACACAACGGGCCCCATGTGATTGGCTACTTTCGGGATTCTCCTGTACGCCAATCAGGTTGCGGATTCACTTCCACCTGGAGCTGGATTGGGTAGCTCCTGTGGACCAATCAGACTGCTGCATTCTGAATCCTATTGTTCTAGGACCAATCAGACTGCTGCATTTTGGATCCTATTCAACACAGTACATAACAGATCAGGATTAAGAAAGTAAGGGAGAAATAAAACAAAACAAAACTGAAGCACTTTATCCTAAAGTGTATAATAGAACTGAGATGGCTCAGTTGGTTAGAGCATGTGGTGGGACTAGATGACCCTGGTGGTCCCTTCCAACTCTACAGTTCTATGATTCTAGGGTAAAATAAGATGAAGAATTCCCATAGATCTCAGTAGAAAGGGTAATACAGGAATCATAGAAATTGTATAGTTGGAAGGGACCACGAGGGTCATCTAGCTCAACCCCCTGCAATGCAGGAATCTTTTGCCCAATGTGGGGCTCGAATCCACGACCCTGACCTACATGAGCCACAGATTCCATAGGTAAATTATGTGTTATGTTTGTATGCCCTGAGTCTTCTGCCAATCTAGGTGATGTAAACATTGAATAAACACTTTTCAGTTGCCTGTGCAGTGGTAAGAGCTAGGAGCACATGATCACCTTATTGCGCATGAGTAGGAAATGTGCTTAGATAATCTGTTAATAATAATCACAACAGAGACTCCATGCCCTACGGCCAGGAAGAGAAATGCAAAGGAATGTTGTCCTTCTGACCCTAAGGGTAAAGTCTTTGAAATAAAACCTAAGTTTCTAGCTAATAAGGGCAGATAAAAGTAACCAGTATTGCTAACAACAGAGGCTGAGCTGGCTGGGATGTTTCTGATTAAGAGTTCTCCAGAACCAGCTCTCGCCTTTAGAGGTTCTGAATGAATTAAATTAATCAGGGGTCAGCAAACTTTTTCAGCAGGGGGCTGGTCCACTGTTCCTCAGATCTTGTGGGGGCTGGACTATATTTTTATTGGGGAAAAATGAACGAATTCCTATGCCCCACATATAACCCAGAGATACATTTTAAATAAAAGCACACATTCTACTCATGTAAACACACACTGATTCTCGGACGTCCGCCGGATTTAGAAGGCTATTGGTAATGAGGAGTTGCGTCAAATTGCGCTCCTTGGCCGGAGCAACATTTTGGCCTCAGGAGGCTGTGTCGTGGGGACATTTGCCCTCATTCTGACTGGTCATTATTAAGTCAATCAGACTTGAAGTCAATGCTTCCTGCACTTACTCTGCAGCCTCGTTGTGAGGGAAGAGGATCTCCCAGAGGCACTGTCACCACTAAAAGGTAAAGGAACCCCTGACCATTAGGTCCAGTCGTGACCGACTCTGGGGTTGCGGTGCTCATCTTGCTTTATTGGCCGAGGGAGCCAGCATACAGCTTCCGGGTCATGTGGCCAGCATGACTAACCCGCTTCTGGCGAACCAGAGCAGCACACGGAAACGCCGTTTACCTTCCCGCCGGAGCTGTACCTATTTATCTACTTGCACTTTGACGTGCTTTCAAACTGCTAGGTTGTCACCACTGCCAGGTTGATAAAACAGGTGGCAGCAGCTTAAAGTTGGCAGGGCAGTTTTGTGAAACTTTCCGCCTTTCCCAAGGGATTTCAGTTTCAAAAGACAATGTGAGAAGTCAGAACAAAGAAACTGCAAATTTTTACTAAAATATACATAATGGGACAAACTATAACAATGAATGCATTCGTGAGGCGGATTAGCTGCAAATTTACAGCCTAATGCAGCCAAACATCAAAATGAACAGGCTTCTAAGCACCATAAAGACATACATTGTATACAGAAAGATGGGAGTAAATGGCCCAGGAAGCTATTCTAGTTAAACCACCACCTTCAGTTTGCCACAACAGTCAGCAGGCAAATGGAACTTTCAATGGCCAAATGTGTTTCTTCAGTAGCACAGCTTGAAACATTAAGTCCTAGAATAGGCAGTGGATACTTTCCCCCCCTGAAGGTGGATGGATATTCTAGTGCTGCTTTTAATCATGCCTGTAAAGCAGCTTGCATATACAACAATAACATGCAATTCTTTCTGTTTTAGTATAATTTGTAATTTTATTTAAAAATATGGAAGGGCTTGATGGAGGCCAAGCGTTGGAAGGAAAGAAGGGATTCTGTTTCCAAAGAGGAAAGAGATGTCAGGAATCCTGCCTAGCAAACTGCAACAGTTACAACAGTTGGGTAAATTGTTATGTGTGCAGAGCACGGAATACCTGGGCATAGCAGGAAAGGATTAAAAAAGAAGTTGTAGAGCAAGTCAAACCAAATGAGAGACAGCTGCACAAGTGGTTATTGTCTTGACACGTTTGGAAAACCAATCTCTTCATTGAGGAATTTCCTTCAGTGTTCCTTAAGAAGCTGCTTGGCACACCTTCTCTTCCTGCTAGAATTCTCAGAATGCACTGGGACAGCAACAACTTGTACATAACTGAGCACCCCGAAGAACACAAAGAAGACCCTGTGGGATCAGACCAAAGGCCCATCTGGGCCAGCATCCTTTCCTCACGGTAGCCAACCAGATGCCTGTGGGAAGCAGGAGCAAAGTACAACAGGGCTCTCTCTACCCAGCAATTGGTATTTGGAGGCTTTACTGCCTCTGGCAGTTAATGGAGAATGTCGCCATTTTGGCTACTAGCCACTGACAGCTTTGCCATTCATGGATTTTTGTCTAATCCTATTTTAAAACCAGACAAGTTGGTGGCCATAACTTCCTCCTGTGGGATTGAGTTCTATTGCTACAAACCCTGTAAATTAATAAATGGTAGGATTTTGATTATTTGGAGTATCGAAGGGAAGATTGGAGGTCAGCGCAAAAATACAGGCTAAGCTTCCTTTCCAAGCTAGGGCCTCAGCTGGGATAAGAGGCATTCTCGAAGCTACTAACATGAGTTTGACCAAACTGCGGGAGGCAGTGGAAGACAGGAGTGCCTGGCGTGTTCTGGTCCATGGGGTCACGAAGAGTCAGACATGACTAAATGACTAAACAGCAACAACAACATGACAAAAGGTGTTGATGGCCACCGTGAGAGGAATCTTGGGCCTGGGCAGACTGAGGTTGCCATGGTGAAGAGGTGTGTGAGAGAAGTGGCAGGAAAAGACTGCTTTTGAGCAAGGTGTGCTGGGAAGGAGGGAGAGAATAAAGACTGGACTCCAGGTTAGGCAGGCTGGCTGAAGGCTGGCTGGGGGAGATGCCATTGAATCCTGAGCTGCACTTCTGTGGGGAACAAGCCTTGCTTGAGATGACCATGCTGTAGGATCTGGACTCCTTCCATGCAAACTGAAGGTGTAAAAAGGTGACTAAATCATATTTCTTAAAGCTAGGACAGTCTCTGCTGCATCTTCAATTCTCCAAAGGAGCACAGACCTTGGGTGGAAGTCCCTGGAAGTTTGCTACCACTTGGCAGAGAGTGAGGAGTGGCACCCAACTTCTGTAACACTATGAACCACGTGGAGAAGTCCTTAGTCCGTGCTGATTCTTTCAATATTCAGCTTCACTGAATGTCCCTGAGTTCTAGTACTATGAGAGAGGGGGAAAAACATCTCTTTTCCTCTACCCTGTGCATAATTTTATGGAGCTCTAAAAGTAAAAAGCCCGCCCCCCCCCGCTGCCATAATCCCCAAGACTGTATGCTTTGGAGGAAGTTGCAGCCATACCTAGCAAAGCTGGGGATTATATCTGGGATCGCCTGCCAAACCACTGTGCTATGACCCATACATATGTGTAGAACACATAGTTTGTAGGTACGTACTTTGGATTAGCCTACTGAGAAAGCCAGCGAAGGTCATATGCAAGCAGCTATTGCGCAAGAGCTGTTTTGTTGCAAGGAAATGGTTAATTTGGCTGAAGGCCGGGAGAGGAATTGGCAAGGCCAAAAGTGTTAAGCCAAGGCTGTAGGAATGGAGGGCAACTTGAGGTGCCACGAAGTCTGCTTTGCCTGCCTTCTACATGTAGGAAGAAAATTGTGCCATTTTGATCTTGACAAAAAGTCCTGTCCTGTCCTGATCCTGTGGTCTTGTGATAGCTGCAGCGGCAGGAACAAAGGCTTGTGCTGCTACAGGCATCTGAAGTTCCATCTAGAACCTGAGAGGCAAGGTAAACAAAGAAAAAAACCACCTCAGATGTTGTCAGGCAGATTTTAAGCTTTTACTGCAGGGGTCAGCAGCAGGGCATCCATGAGCATCAGTTTGCTTGCCAGTACCTCCTATGGCACCCATGGGGAGGTGTCAGTCAAAATCCCCTCAAAAAATCACAATGCATGAAAGTGCCCATAGCTTAATCGCCATTATTATTAATTATTATTTTATTTTATTTCACTTATAAAGTGCCCAAAATTCCCTGCCCTCCAACCGCCATACATATTTTGAAAGATAAGCGGTACCTGCCCCTGTATATTTTGTACAGACACAAAAGGAAAAGCAAATGGGGAGGGAAGAGGAAAGCAAGGCCCAGAGCGGCTGCTCTTTCACTGGCTAATGGACAGGACAATGCTGGTCTTCCCTTTGCCCTTATAGCCTGCCTTTCCGCTCAGAGAATACAGTACACATGGTAGTTAGCAAAACTTTTATAAAAACAAGTAGAGCGTGGTGCTTATACTGCTCAGGTTGCAGGTTCAACCCCCTAAACTAAGATTTCTTAGTTTACAGTCACCCCATAAGAATAGCTCTCCGGATGATGTACAAAATTAAACAGGTTGAAAATCACAATTCCCATAAAACAAGAATCTATCAAGCACCAAATAAATAACAAACAACCTTTCCAAAGAAAGGATCTGTCAAGTCAAACACCATAATACATTCGCCTAGAAAACCAAAGGGATAAATCCTACAGTGCTAAAATACCCATGCCATAACCATAGCATAATGCAGAGAGCTCTTTTGTTTGTTTGCTTGTTTAAAATGATGGTTTGGGAGATTTACTGACAATCATCAGAATTTTCTGACCTCCCAAAATGCTTTCTGATGCTGGTGATGCACTGACTATAGCGCATGCATGAACACATATCTTAAGGAAATCATGTTTCTTGTCTTCCAGGTGGTGGAGAAGAATGTGGACCCGGAAACTACTTTGCTAACCTACCTTCGAAGGAAATGTATCTCATGTCAGCTGGCACGTCGTGCGTGCGATTTTAAAATGGTCAAGGCATAGTTGTATAGATGGTCCTGCAGAATTTGAGCTTCACTTGAATTTAGAACTAGGCACCTGCTAATACCGTTTCTCCTGCTACTTCTACACCTACCATTCCCAGTCTCAGTGATGTTTAATGTAGTTCAAGACTGAGAGCAATAGCTTAATATGTGGAGATGGGCAGTCTCTCTGTTGTACCAACCCTCCCCCCTTTTTGGCTTCTGTCAGATTGGCTCTGAAATTAGTTCAGCCACCTACTCCCATGACCCACAACTGAAAAACAGCTTGACCTATTTCTGAGCGAATTTGACTTCGTCAACGAGTCGGTCTCCCTCACAGACTTGGAAGCCTCCTGTTTGCAGTAGTTGACAGCAAGCCATGGGTAGAGGGGAGGGTAGTCTCTCCCAGTCCTGTCTCTGATGCCAAGGAATGAAGTTAACTACTTTCCTCAAGGCCTCATGGTCCAGTGCATGGCAACACACCATGCCAGGTGCAGAAATATGTCCCTCCCTCTCCCCGTTTTCCTCATGGTTTGGTCCTGCTGGATATTGGTTTGGGAGGGGAGTTGGATAATCAACAGATTGGAGAGAGAATGGCTGGTTGGGTGGTTTGGAGGAAATACCTCTCTGGTTTGGATTAAAATTGAAGCAAATTCTGCAGTGCTGGGGGTTCATATGTGGTAACATAACTGATTTTTAGGGCCCAACTATTTGTTTTTTCCACAAAAAAGGGCCTCTATTTTCATGGACAAGTGGCCATGTAGTGCTAACTAGATTAAGAATACTTTTAAGGCAAATATCATGCATTTTTTTCATCCAAAGATATACGCTAACATCCATAATAATCTTTGTCAGAATTGAACATCTATGAACTATGTTGGGGAAGTGATGCCTAAATCTGATGTTTCTTTAGCTGGTCATGTGTTGTTAAGAAGTAAATATAGCATGTGTTTGTAAACACAATTCTACATTTCTTTTTCACTGGCTGATCCACTCCAGCAATTAAAAAAGGATAATTCATATCTAGATATTTAAGACCATTCTTCTGTACTTTTGTGTCAGCTGATACATTTATTTGCACAAGCAAAAATAAATGAATTACCAGTAACCTTGGGCCTGTAGGAAACCAGGAAACAGAAATGATTTGGTGGAAGGATGATGAAAAACCCTAGGCCGCAATATGTTTTTGTTGTGTCCTAAGAAAGTGTTGGATAGTCCTAGACAAATTGGATAACTCAATCTTTTATTTACTCTGTGCATCTGGAAACTGAGCCTGCTATAAGAAGCAGTGGCTGTAGATATATTTAAGAATTTCTTGCTCAGTTGGTATGTTTTTCCTTAACTGCCATACTGTTAGTGGGGTTATGTGGAACCAAGCTGGGCTGTGGAGAAGGTGGATGTGGTGCCTGCACTGTAATGATTTCCAAGTTCGACAGATCCCAGAAGAAAACCATGTATCCTTTGAATGGCAAGTGATGAGATGGGTGAATGGGTTTCTAATGTAGGTATCGGCAGTACGGAGGACAGATTCTCAGTGGATGGAAAAATGTAATTGTGTAAAGCCAGTTCCTCCCATAAATTTTCAAATGTATTTGATAACTTTGTTTGCTCTGTTCCTTTGATGGGTGGCAGAAAGTTTGCCTATGATTGGGAACCTGCAGCCCTCCAGAAATTCTCGGACGCCAACTACCATCAGCGCCAGCCAGTGTAGCCGATGGTCAGAGATAATGCGAGTTGTACTTGAGCAGTTTCTGGAGGGTCGAAGGTTCCCCATCTCTGAGCGATGGTCATCTAGGACAAAATGCAATTTATTTTAAAAATATTTGCCAAAGTAGCTGGTTGGCACTACATTCAAGCCTCATGCAGCTCCACAATATGCCAGCTGGGTCTTCCTTTATGTAATCATTTGGGCTGCAAGTATATCGTCATTCATGTGGAAGTAAGCCCCACTTACTTGATGCTGGGAAAGATGGAGGGCACAAGGAGAAGGGGACGACAGAGGACGAGATGGTTGGACAGTGTTCTCGAAGCTACAAACATGAGTCTGACCAAACTGCGGGAGGCAGTGGAAGACAGAAGTGCCTGGCGTGCTCTGGTCCATGGGGTCACAAAGAGTCGGACACGGCTAAACGACTAAACAACAACAACAAGCCCCACTGAGGACTTGCGTCTGAACAGACATGGTGCTTAGCATGGTGCTGTTAGTCTTCCTTTTAAAATGCCAAGAACTGGGGCTGGCTCACACAACAATCTCACTGTATAGAGTAGGGGGAACCAACCTGGTGCCTCCAGGTATGGTTTGGCTCTCAACTCCCATCAGTCCCAGCCAGCATGGCCAATGATCAGGGATGATGGGAGCTGGAGTCAAGCAACTTCTGGCGGATGGCAGCTTCATCACCCCTGGCCTGTGCAATCCTTTTGGTTTCCTAGAAATGGCAAAGCACATGATTACCGTGTGTTACGGCACATCCAAATGTTTTGCCCCCTGCTGTTATCTTGATTTCCTAGCTTTAGCATCTGATAAGGGTGCTTATTAAAACCCACTGGCCTTTCCCAGATTTGTTTGCTTAGTAAGATTAATGTTTGCTTTAATGTAATGGACAGTTTTGTGCCAAAGTTCAGTATCAGTATACTGAGTGACTCTACTCTTCTCTTGGTCTCTTCTTAGCTCATCTTCCCTGCTTTGCTTCCCTTTGTCCTGTTTCTCTTCACAGCAGCACAAACTTAATTTAAATCTTTAGGAGTTCATAGCCTACCCTTTTTATCAAACTCACCCATTTTCAGAATGTTGGCTTTAGTTGTTTGTATGGGCTTGCTTTGGAAATGATTGTTCAGCATTTTGGGGGCTGGGGACCTGGGAAACTTTATTGGGTTTCCTGTGAAATTCTGAGCATGAATTCCTTTACTGGGTTGGGAACCATGCGCTCAAATGGAACGTGGATGTATATCTGTGCACACATCCAATGTGATACCTGCCTGTAGCGCTTGAGGAGTGTGTGTGGTATCTTCCCATCCATCTCACGACACAAGAGGCACAGCAATCACTTCCATCCTATGTCTTGAGCTTCTAGTTGCATAGAATACCTTGCAGCCCATGACTCTATCTGGGTCGGAGCCCATGTTGGACTTATATCATTAAGGCTATGTACAGTACACCTTCCTGGCTTAAAACAAGCTCCTTTCGAATCCTTGGGTGCAGCTCATCAGGCCCTGGAGATTTGAATTCCTTTACTGTAAAGTAACTTGCCACTTCTTTGCCTATCTCAGGCTGCAGCTCTCTCCTTGCATCATTTATCCTGTTATCACCAGGTTGGTCACTGCTTTCATTTTGGGTGAAGACAAAGGCAAAGTAGGTATTGAGCAGCTCCACCCTCTCTCTGTCGCCCAATCACATTTCTCTATCTTATCCATGCAGAGGGCTTGCAACTGTTGATTACTCCTGTGTACTCTCCCTTTGTGATTTCCGCTTTCTTTCCTTATGCATGCCCTTCTTGCATCTCAGCTCATCTGTAAGCTGCTTATGCAGCCACACTGATTTCTTTAAATGCCTCCCATTTTTCTTTCTTGTTGGAATTGTCTGCCTTGTGTCTTCAGTATTTCACCTTTAAGAAACTCTCATCCATCTTGGACTCCCTTCTCTTTGAGTATTTCGAAACATGGGATCTCACTCAGTTGTTTCTTAAGCTTCTTGAAATCAGCCTTCTTAAAGTTCAGAGTGTATGTTCAACTACACTCAGTTTTCCCTTCCCTCTGTATCATGAAACTCAAGAGGACATGATCACTTCCTTCCAAGGTTCCCAGTACTTCCACTTCATCAATCAGTTCCTCCCTATTGGTGAGGACCAGGTCCTAGATAGATGATCCCCTTGTTGCTTCTTCCACTTTCTGGGAAATGTAATTGTCAGTGAGGCAATGGAGAAATTTGTTGGACCTTGCATTCTTGGTAGAGTTTGAGTTCCAACTGATATTGGGGCAGTTGAGGTATCCCATGACTACTATATCTCTCCTTTTTTGAATGTTTGAATGCCTGCTGTAGGAAGGCATCATCCAAGTCTTCAGTCTGGCTTAGAGGTCTATAGCAGACGCCTATAGTAAGGTCACTGTTGTTTCCCTCTCCTACAATTTTTACCCATATATTCTCAATCTGCCTTCCATGTTCCAGGTCATGGATCTCTTCATAAGTATACATATCCTCTACATATAATGCTGAAGCCAGGGGAAATGGCAATGTGTACACAGCCTAATATGCATACTCTTCTGCAATATTTGCTTGCTAGGACAACTTGCTTCTGACCAATGTTGTGTATGCAGTTTCAGTACAAGCCAGCAGCCCATTGGCTTTCTTTCTTTTTCTTTTTAAAAATAATTTTTATTAAGTTTCCATACACCAAATCAAACATATCATACCAATTAATCCAAATTATAACAACACAAATCATAAAATCCAAATATTTTCCAAATTATAAATTTTTGTGGGGGGTACCCATGCTTCTCGATCGGCCGGAGTCCAATCATCAATATTTCTGCTGCTTTCATGTTTACAATGATGTTCCCAGTCCCATCTTCTCACTCCTTGTCGTTAGTCATTTTCCTTTTCGGTCACCTCCGAGTTTTCTCCGCAAGTGGATTGAAAGAAACAGTCTTGTTTATATTTCTGTGTGGACTTTGTAATGCTCTCTTGTAGATCACTCCATAAATCTAATAGTCCAGGCATTCTGTTCGAGCAGGCATTCGCCATCTTGTTCCATTCCGATGAAATACAGTCTAGATGTCCGCTCATTAACTTTACCAGACCCGCTGCATCGTTAATTAGTCTCTCCAGGAGGGTTCCTGCCCTTTCAAATTTACGATCCCATCCTGATAACAGATCGGCAACTCGCCCTCCCTAAGACCATATATCATGCAACGAAGGTCTGCCTGTCCATGTCGGATCTCATTTCTTACTGCGTCACAAAGAGAGACTCTCTTCTTTCCAAATCTTTCACAGAATAAAACCTTTAATTCTTCTTGTTTTCCCCACACAGTTTATTTTTAGTCCCACTTGCAATTGGTCGTTATGGCAGTTCTTCTAAGGGGGAGGGTTGTTAGGTATATCATGTTAAAAAAGTAGAAAGTCCCCCCCCTTTCCGTTCTGTTCCACATACCAATATGTCTGCAATTCTTTGATGTTGTCTCTGTTCCTTCCGTCCAATCTTCATCATCCCAGTGGTGGAATTATTTAGCAGATAAAACACTCCTGACCTCGCTTGAAGCATGTACGTTTACTTCTCCAATTTTTTTTTACTCTTAAGCAACGCAACCAGTTTCGCTCTTGGAAGCAGCGTCGGAGAATTCCGAAGCCTGCCTGAGGGCTTTCCGCCCAGTGCCTCTCACCCCCTCCTTCTTCCGAACTCGGGGGTGATTTATGGCAACAGCGGGCGAGGCAGCATCTCCCCATAACCCAGGGAAGACAAGGGAGACTGATTTACTCCCCATAATCAGCCTCTAATTACCTTGTGCAGGCTGGATAGATGGTATTGTCGGCCATCTTCCAAGGCGCCCCTAGCGGCCCCCCGCCCATTGGCTTTCATTAGTGTTACCAGCAAGCAATTTTACAAAGTGAACAACTTCCTTAACTCACGGCTCTAGACATTTTTCTGCAAATGCTTGTTTATTCCCTATCTGTGCTCTCCACCATGTAGCAGTAACTACCATTGAAGGCATAGGAAGCACTAAGACAAGGTTGCACCCAGTGCAGGTAAGGTGTGGAGTTGAACCTACATTCTAACAGTCCCTGGCCTTCCATATTACCTTGCCCAAGGCACAATGAATTGCTAAGCCTTATGTGTTTTGTAAGCCCTTTCCCAATCAATTCAGGCATTGTATGGCAGCCAAGGAGCTGGCTAAAGGAAAGAGGAGGATGCTCTCTAGTTGGAGAAAAGTGTATGGTTCACCAAGAGTAGATACAGTTCATCAAGATGAAGTCATTGCACCCTTCTGCGCTATTTTGTAGTCATCTTGGGAGCAAAGCAGGAGTATGCTTATTACATTTACTGATGGAACCAAGTTGAAAAGTTATTGCAACTATGTATTGACAAACTATGCAGGGTGAATTGGGAAGTCTCACAGGAAAAATGGACACTGCACGAAACCCATAGCAACAGTACCGGGATTGTGCTCTTGTGCACATGGGTAGGAGAATGAATGTGTTTTTTTTCTTCAAAGTTTCAACCGCTGAAAGAAGAAATATTATAGTGATTATGATTGAGTACATCACTACTGGCAGTGAATCCTCAAATGAAGAATGTGTATGTTTTAGGCACGTGTTTAAGCATGGTGTTTCCATTAAGGATAAAGCACAATTACACACATACCACAGCAGATGTGGTTAGAGATTACTTAAGAAATTAGGCCTCTGAACTCTGTGCCTTCTTCGGCAAGACCTTGTTCAGTCCTGGATCAACTAAGGGGACCATTGTCATACTAATAAGAGCCTTCTGTCCTTGCCTTCTTCCAGGAAAGAATAGCCAAAAGCCATGGGTCTCAGTGTGGTTTCTGCACTCCTGGCATTGTTATGTCCATGTACACGCTCCTTCGCAATCAGCCTGAACCCAAAATGGAAGCAATTGAAGATGCTTTCCAAGGTGAAAGGTTTTTGAATCTTACTAACTTTTGTCCAACCCCCACGACACAACTTGATTTTTTGGGGAGGGGACTGCATATATGATTGGAGAAGTGATGGGCTGTTACATGTTCCACCTTACACCTTGGATATTAAGAAAAAAAAGCCAGCTGCCTTCAGCTGCTTTGCCATCCTTGGCGGTGGTAGGAATGGCCCTGTTATTGTGACTCAGCAGAGTATGTGTGCCTTTTTAAAATAAAAAGTTAACATACCCCCTCATGCATTCCAATTAGACTGTCCTTGCTGATAGAATCATATCATTGCAGGGTGGAGGTGGGCAAATCATCTTATTTTTAAAAAAAAGATTGCTAGGGAAACTGCACAAAAGCTATTCATCTCTTTTACCATCTGGCCCTCAGATAATCCTTGTAAGGTAGAGAGCTTACAAGGCAAAATTTATTAACTAGTAATGTAGCAGCAAAGCTGGGCAAACATTTGGAAAGGAAGTTTGGCAAACAGTTCAGGTCAATTCTGTGTTACCTGGAGGTTATGGTTGTGGTTCCATTTGAGATTAGAACCCCATTTTCAAAGTTATATAGAACCACAATGATACTTACTCATTTCTCTGGGGGTGAATTTTGGATATCCTCAGAAAGTTTAATGTCCTCCATGGTAGAGCAGAGCCAAAATAAATATCATTTTTTTCTTGTACATCCTTAAGTGACTCCTAACCTCTGCAACTTGATTTGGTGATTCAGGAAATCTCTGCCGCTGTACTGGATACAGGCCCATTCTGGAGGGTTACCGGACGTTTGCAAAGGTAAGAAGCCAGAGATCAAAAGCATTTCGTAGAGTTAGGCTAGCTTTTGATCAATGCCAATGGATTATACACCTAAAATAGAAAAGGTTAGACTGCTGTGTCCAATGTTAGTCCTACTCAGAGCAGACCCATTTGTATTAATGGTTGTACATTAGTCATGTCTTTGAATTTCAATGGGCCTACTCTGAACAGGACTAACATTGGATACAAACCAATTTGCTTTCACTTCTCCAGTGCCTCTTCCATTTTTAGCAATCTTGCCACAAATGTTGTTACAACAAAGGTAGCGAACATGGCATCCTCCAGATGTTGTGGGACTCCAAGTCCCATCCATCTGTGGTCTAGCAACATATGGAAGGCACATTCCACATTGCCTACCTCTGCTTTACAGAGCTAGCACTTCTAACGGGGGCGGGGAGGATCTGTTCTAAAGTCTGGATTTTCTGGAACAGATCATGATTCTTGGAAGACTTCTGGTGCAAACTCTATTGAAATTAATATGGGATGTGAAAGAACACTCTGCCCTTCCATGGCTCCCATTCATTTATGTAGGACTGGTACAAGAAAACATCCTTGAAGATGATATCCCATGTTGGCAAATTTATTTCAAACTGGTGTTCACTTCATTAATTTAAGTCTGTTTAGGGAAAGGGATACTCTAGAAAGGAGATGGTATGAGAAAATCTGGATTAAGGGAGGAGAAAGTGTATTTAGGCAGTGATTTGCATGATCCGCAGTTCCCTAGTGGATAATAAACACACGGATACAAGTATTTAGGTTTATGGGTTCAAATAGGCCACAGCTTTATTGGTTACAGATGTGAACGGTTTAGCTTAGACATTGGGTGAAGCCAGGCTATATCTCGACTCCTGCCCATCTGCAGGGAATCCATCTAAGAGCAAACCACCAATAGGGGGAGCCCTGTGACTTAAATCAAATACGGGCATCCCGAGGGGTCCCCGTTGGGGTTGTGGCATGGCCCTAGCCCATGTCCGGGCATCAGACAGAATCCACACCCCCGGATCCCTTTAACAGGATACCCTTAATGAGGAGGGGCAGGCGGAGGCTGCAACTCCCCTCCATCCAAACAAAGGCTTACCCAGTGCCTAATCTCACAGAGTTGTGATGATTGCTATAAGGTAGGTGAAAGCCAAATGACTGGTGCCAATTTGCCAAGTGGGAAAAATTCCCACTTGGCCCCAACAATATGGCGGCTGACGTTTGTCCATAGCAAGGTTGTGTCATAGAAAAGCATAAAAAGAGGGTGGATGGGTTGGGAGATCCGGGGAAGGGCACGAAAGGAGGGCTCCCCATGGCCACGCCTCCCACAGTTGCTGATTGGTCAGCAGGGCCACCCATGGGCGGGGCCCCGCCCAGCACCAGTGACACAGCCTGGACAGTGACATGGAGGGCGCCAATTCCAGCCCCCCACCGGATCACTGCAGGGCCCTGGATGCCTGGCTGCAACGCCGCCCACCTGGAAAAGGTGAGTGGACTTGTAGCAGAAATCCATACAGACTATGGAGAATTAATGGAGGTATGGGAACCTTACTTTCCACTTTTAATGAATGAATGAGCCCTAAATCTGTATGGTTAAATGGTTTCATTAGCAAATGTGTTAAATTAATATAGCTTTGATGGAGCTTCTTTTGAAACATTTCTTTCCATCTAGGATGGGGGATGCTGTGGGAATAAAGTTAATGGTCTTGGTTGCTGCATGGCTGGAAAGCAAAATAATGTGGTAAGTTGGTTAATGGTTTAAGGTTGGTTGTCTCTTAAACCCGTCATACATTTCCAAGAGGAGAAAATTATTATTATTTTGTGTGATGTACTTTAAATCACTGCAATTAGGATATTTCATACCTGTCTTTCCCCAAATCACTATTGCAGGTTGCTGAGGGTACAGAGAATTCTGTTGAAAATTTTCCTAGCCCCCTCAAAACTACTAGGATTCTCTCGGGGAAAGGAGAATGACTATTAAAACATGTTTTAAAGTTTGTTGGTTATATTCTGAGATTCCCATGTCAGGTTTCAGGAAATAGTAGTTACTGTAGTATTGGGATTTCAGGAGCTTTTAGACTGCAATTCTGTGCACACTTAACTTGAGACTAAGCACCACTAAACGTACCCAGATTTACTTTCAAGTAAACATGCAAATGATTATGCTCTTAATATGCTATATGATTATATATTATGCACCAACCATCACAGCTCTGACTTCACTCATTGGCTAAAAACACTGAAAGGTGGGAGCAGCCAGGCAGGGTCATCTCACAAAAATAACTTGGAAGGTTGCTTGAACATTTTGCTTCATAACTTTCTTTCTAGAAGGGACAGAGACTTAGGGATGAATTCAGCAATGTGCACAAGCTTTTATGCTTGTCAGATGGACTGATCCCCCTTTCCTCACCTACATTCTCTTTTGGGGGTACTTCTGACCCTTCAAAGTGGAATGTGAAAGAGATCCGGGGGAAGGACGGGGAAAGCTGTGCTGTGCTGGTATCCCCTTATTAGTTGAGTCTTGGCCTTACTTTTAAAAAAGAAAAAGAAAAGAAAGCCCAGAGTCTGGGGTACCTGCTGACTATGGGTCTGGTATACCAGTACCCCAGAACTTGTCTCTTGGCACTCCTGGATATAAACATAAGTCTGCAACCATGTTCACACCTGCCTGGGAGTTTGCTCTACAGTGGTACCTCGGGTTACTAAACACCTCTGGTTACAAACACTTCAGGTTACAGACTCCGCTAACCCGGAAGTAGTACCTCGGGTTAATAACTTTACCTCAGGATGAGAACAGAAATCACACACCGGCGGTGCAGTGGCAGCAGGAGGCCCCAGTAGCTAAAGTGGTACCTCAGGTTAAGAAGAGTTTCAGGTTAAGAACGGACCTCCAGAACGAATTATGTTCATAACCAGAGGTATCACTGTATTTAAAACATACTTATTTCAGTGCGGCTTATTCTCAAGTAAGTAGGGTAAGGACAGCTGTATTTGTTAGGATTTTCTCTGTTCGTAATCATCTGAAATAGTGTGTGTCCTTTTAAATCTTTTATGTGTGTGCCTTATATCTTAGTAGTTGCTGTTTTAAATGGAAAGAGAGAACAAATGACATTCCATCTCCATGTAAGAAAGTTCCTGATTCCCATGTTGCTCTTTCTCTCCCCTCCAAATAGGGTCAGGGTTGCTGTGGAGAAAAAGTGAATGGCTGTTGCATGAATGGAAAAGAGAACAATACTGTAAGTTCCTATTACTGTAGTTCCTCTTCTTCCATCTTCTTTTGTTGAAATAAATATATAGAATATCAAGCCATGCTGAAGCAAAGTACAGATAAAGCTATACCTCTATTTTTTGGTCTTGAAATGGTGTGCCCAGCAGCCTTTGGAACATAGTGAGTGATCTCTGAGGGAGGGAGGCAAACAATGAGCTGAGCCCTTTCCTGTATCTTGTTGGGAGAACAGGTTGTGAATGGGAGTTAGCAGAAGCAGTGCACAATTTAATTCAACTGCAGTTGTTCTTGTTGGGTCATGGAGGTCCTCTGTGGACCAAGGTGCTTCCATGCTATTGATGGAATGTGTATCTATATAGCTATTTAAACCATGTTAAGTATATTAAAAAGTTAAATGTTCATTATTAAACAAATATTGTGATTGTTTCAAGTCCTTTTCATAGCAAGGATTTTAATTATTTTTTAAAGTATCACTACGAGGATTTTACTACTGCTCTGTGTTGGGCTAGTAATATTGATATGCTTTGTATAAGACATACAAATAGTAATCTTCTTTAACAGGGAGAAAAAAAATATATGCACTAACCAATGACAATTTCTTCAGGGATTGATCTCCTCAGAGCTGTTCAATCCATCTGAGTTCCAGCCTTTAGACCCTACCCAGGAGCCGATATTCCCACCAGAGTTATTGGTAAGAACGTTCTCTTCTCATGACTTTCTTGTGGGGTTCCTCCTGCATGGAAGATTTACCTATCCATTGACTTCTGTGCATGGGCTGAGAACATGTTGAGATGATGCACTGTCTTGGGACAATAGACCATGAATTCACTTCAGCTTCTGTAGTTTAAGCAGTGAATCACTTAAACACAAGTAGGGAGAGGGAGAATCAACAACCATAGGTAAGATTGAGCCACTGGTCTTTCAGCTTTGGGAAAATATAGTTGTACACAACAGAAGGGCTGTTATCTCTGGGAGTTTACAGTTCCATAGGGAAAAGCACTTCCTATGACCCAAGATATGAAGCAATGGAGTACAGAACAACTTGTTATTCCATGTTTGTGTAGACTGGAGTTGTTGCATCGGTATAGCAATCCTAGGATAGCCTTGGCACAGAGATATACAACTTCTTAACTGCCTTTGTGTCTTGGTCTTTCCTCATGAAGTTCCTGGAGATGGACATATGATTGTCCCATATTATCATTCCAACTGGCCTGTGGGGTAGGATATTCTGAGGTAGTGAGTGGCTGAAGGCCGTGCATTGACCTTGAGCGATGGTTGTTAAGCTCTGCTGGTCCCCTGGTCATTCATTGTCCTTGCCTTGGTGGAGGACCCTTATTTGTGTCCAGATAATTGTCTTCAACCAGACACTGAGCACAGCCAGGAGAAGAGGCAAAGCTCAGTGGTAGAAGACCCCAGGTTTAGTCTCTGGCGCTTCCAGGTAGGACTGAGAGAGAACCCTGTCTGAAATCTTGGAGAGCTTCTGCCAATATGTGTAGATGACACGGAGTTGGATGGACCAATGGTTTGATTCAGAACAAGGCAGCTTTCTATGCTCCTACATGACAGGTGGGGACCACTGCCAGTTCACAACCACACCTAGGCGGTGGGGCCAACCTGTGCATTCAATATGATGTCAAATGACTTGACAGGTGCATGGTCTGGCCCACTTTTCAAAGTTGGTCCAGCAGGGTGGGGGAGATCGAGATCAGGCCTGCCACACCAAAAAGGTTCCTCAGCCCTGACCTATGAGGATAGGGACATCTGAACATGAGGCTAGCACATACATCCCATCCAAACTTTATTCCTTCAGCTGCTCTATGGATGCTTCCGACACTTAAAACTCACCTAAGGGCAGTGCTATTTTTCTAGAAAAAGAGGTGCTGGAACTCACCACGAATATATACCTTGTTCTCTTATAATGGCAAAGGTGCCCACCTGAGAGGTGCCAGAACTGAGTTCCTGTGAGTATTGGCAGAAAAACACCTGCTTAAGGGTCAAACTACACATGACACTCACACCCCCCCAAGCAAATTTGAAAGATCTCACTTTCTTTATGAAGGTACATGGAATAAGAAGTGGCTGAGGTTCATAATCATAATGATCTGCCCAAAGCATTGGAAGGTTAAACTTCAGTGACTTTTGGAAGGCTGTTTGCTACATGTATATTGAAGGGCAAAGTTACCTTGTGGTGTTGCTTTCACCTAAGATATGGTTTTGTTTTGCCTATGAATACTTTGCAAGGCACCATATAAAGGTGTGACACACCAAAGCACAACAATAACAGATGACTACTTCTAACTTTTCTGTTTCTTGTCATAGCTTTATGGTTTCAGTCTTGCTTCTCCATAGGAAGAATCATACAGAGCCCTGATTCCTTGCTCCTGTGCCAACGTATTGTGATTTGAAGCTAAATCTGGTGTTGTTTCCTCAGACTCACACTGATCAGCCTCAGAAGCAACTGTGCTTCAAAGGGGAGCGAGTGATGTGGTTTCAGCCCTCAAGCCTCAAGGAACTGTTGGTGCTCAAAGCTCAGTACCCAACTGCCAAGCTTGTGGTGGGGAACACTGAAGTAGGTAAGGAAAGAACTCAGTTTCTGTTTGAGTTTTTTGTCAGTACAATGCAAAGGCTAAGGCTTCGTCCACACTTCTGCTTGTTCCTGGCCCAGAAAGCATGGGTCTGAGTGGTTTGCTTTTTGTCCCACTGCTTTCCCGGGGAAAACCCCCCTCTAAATCAGAGCAAATGTCAATCCATGGAAAATCTGACTGACATTTGCTCCGATTCAGCTGTAAAGAGCAGGTTTTCTCTGGAGGAAAGTGGCGGCACAAACAGAAGTATGGACAAGGCCTTAAATTGCCTGCCTGGTTAAGAGTTTACCTATGCCTTTCTTTAAACCATCTTAAGATATTGCCCTGCCTCCACTGTAATAGTTGAGCTTTTTAATAGTTGAGCTTTGAGGTATAATTGATGTGCTCCAGCTGGAACATAGGAAACTGTCTTACACTAAGCTGTACCATTAGTCCTGGGACGTGTATGGCGCTGTGGGTTAAACCACAGAGCCTAGGACTTGCCGATCAGAAGGTTGGCGGTTCGAATCCCCGCGACGGGGTGAGCTCCCGTTGCTCGGTCCCTGCTCCTGCCAACCTAGCAGTTTGAAAGCACACCAGTGCAAGTAGATAAATAGGCAGGAAGGTAAACGGCGTTTCCGTGCGCTGCTCTGGTTCGCCAGAAGCAGGTTAGTCATGCTGGCCACATGACTCGGAAGCTGTACGCCGGCTCCCTCGACCAATAAAGCGAGATGAGCGCCGCAACCCCAGAGTCGGCCACGACTGGACTTAAATGGTCAGGGGTCCCTTTACCATTAGTCCATCTAGCTCAATCTTGTCTGACGCTCACTGGCAGCAGCTCTCAAGAGTGTCAGTCCTTCCCAGCCATGCCCGGAGATGCCAGGGATTCATTCTGGAACCTTCTGCATGCAAAGCATGTAGTGCCTGAGATTGGCATGAAGAATCTGAGCATGCCCCCACCCTTGGCCAGGCTCCTGGCAAACTGCACCTTCCAGTGCAGATGTTTGGGTTCCAGAACCTAATGGCAAGTTGGTTTTGTTACCCTCTGAGAGTCTAGAGGTGACCTTTACATATTTGAAAACAATGCACATTTTAGGTAAGGAGTGGAAAGTAGCCAGACTAATTAAATCTCCCCAAACCCATCCTTTCTAAGTCTCTATTGTCCCCATTCTTGATGTTTACCCTCGTGGTTTGCTAATGCCATGTTAGCTAGAATCTTGTAATTTCCCGTAGAAATCAAACTGTGTGTGCTGAGGCAGCGTTTGTTGACTTTGCTAGCTGCAATGGAGAATCCCTTTGGCCCTTGACCTTAAACTTCCATGGCAAAACAGTGCAAATGCTTTGCGGAGAGATTGTTCAGGCGAAAGCTCTAAGAGTCACTATAGATATTGTCACAGAAACAGGCTTTGGTGGGCTGGGCCTGTTAAGTAACAGCCCTGCTCTTTCATTGGTAAACCTGTTAAGTCTGGCCGGCTGCCATGTCTGCATTGACCTCATTGGATTGTGTTTCCTTGAGGTATTGAAATGCGGTTAAAGAACATGCTGTACCCTGTGATCATAGCACCAACTTGGATCCCTGAAATGAACTCTGTTCAGCACACTGAGGAGGGTAAGTAGCAACATGCTTATTGCCTCAGGAGACAGGCCGTGGGCCTGAGGAATGTGCAGGGAAAGACTTCTAAGCAATGCAAAGGATTCTGGATGTTGATTTGTCACTAATTAGGTCCACGGGCCTGTCTCCCGCCCACTACTGATCTAGTGAGTAGGTGGATCCCCTGCTGTGATACCTTCTTTGTTCCTGAGGCCAAGGTGTACCGACTGCATTTATGTAGGCAGTTCCAAAATGAAAATAATTGTCTACTTTGCATACTATTAGTGAGCATGCTGCTGAACAAACCGCCTCATTTTTTTCTTTAAGGGAGTGAACCCCCATGTTGTAGTGTGTCTGTGTCTGTCTGCGCTAATAACACACCCAGCACAGCATAGATTCAGCCACTCCTTGCCTTTCTCGCAAAAAGTGGCACATCTGAAATAGTTTCCTGCCTCTGCATCCTCTAAATGTGGTAACTGGCTCAGTGGTGGCTGGTGCCCATTGGGGCTGGTGGAGAAGAAGGCAGGGAGACCAGCACAGGTTGGGCACTGCCTCATATGGCCAAATGGACCAGTCTCCATTGAACTTGACATGCTGACAGCTTTAACATCCTTTAACTGTGCTTAGAGCTCCTGGTGCCCCAGGAACTCCCAAGATATAAGCTGAAGATAATAAAATGCTTCCAAGAAGCCACAGCCTCTTGGTTTAGAGGTCTTAAAATACTACCAAGGCCCAGGGGCGAAGGAAGGTGTCGTGACACCTGGGGCAGGCGTCACTACGTAGGGTGCATGTGCGGCATCGCTACATATGGCGCATGCATAAATGCTGTATAGCGGTTTGCCGCTGGCGCCGCTCCAGCGCCTTATGGATGGTGCCGGGATCCCTCCGGCACTGCTACAGCCGCAAACGAAGGATCCTCCGTTTGCGGCTGCAGCCTCAAGCAGAGGATCCTGGCACCGTCTGTATGGTGCTGGAGCAGTGCCAGCGGCAAACATACAATGCATGTGCGGCATCGCTATGTACAGCGCATGCATGCGATGCCGCACATGCACTGTACTTAGCGGTTTGCTGCTGGTGCCGGGATCCTCTGCTTGCAGATGCAGCTGTGAACAGAGGATCCTCCAAAGGCGGCTGTGCCGCCACGAGCCCCCGTGGGGTGACTTCTTGTCACCCCCGCAGACATGGAACCTGGGGCGAACCGCCCCCATGCCCCCCCTTGCGACGCCGCTGCCAAGGCCTGCCAATGCCTCAGGACAGCTCTTTCATCTTGAGAATCTACGTTATAGCTACCAGCCAAATCCCTCTTGTGTCTCTGCTTTTCCAGGAATTAGTTTTGGAGCCTCATGCACCCTGAGCCACATGGAAGAGGTTCTGCAAAAAGCAGTGGCTCACCTTCCTCCTTACAAATCAGAGGTGTTTCAAGCGGTCCTAGAACAACTGAGGTGGTTTGCAGGGCCTCAGATCCGAAATGTTGCTGTAAGTGCTCTCAAGACCTTTTTTCCTTTTGATGTGAGCAAAGGCAGCTTTCAGGACGGTTGTTCCTTGAGACTTCATGCTAATACATTTGCACAAACTTGCACAAGATTATACGGTGCCTGTGCCTGTTGCTCATTCATCCTGACGTGTTTGCATCGAGGTTATATGATACTGACAGCTATCAATTGCTATGCTGCATTTTACAGTGCAATTTTCTGTCACTTCTTTTTTGTCAGATGACTCACAGTCAGAAAAGTGGAACAATAATTGCACTGAAGTGCAGGCTAGTAATTTGTTGTTATTTGTTGTTAAAAAATAAATAAACAGCCTATCTGGAAGTGCGGAAAGACTCAAATGAGAAAATAGCAGGCAGGCACGATGCGCCTTTCCTTTGAATCTTGCCTTGCTTTGCAGTTTTACTTCCAGTTTGACTCTAGGCCCTTTGCACATTACTCACATGAAGGGGCATTATAGGTGAGAAGTGCTGGAGTTGGGGAAAGGCACTGAGCAAGAGAGCTCTAGAGTAGGGCTGGGGAACCTCAGAAAAGCCCTGATGGATCAGCTCATAGGTCCATCTGGTCCAGCAGCCCGTTTTCACAGTGGCCAACCAGATGCCCTGGGCAAGCCTACAAGCAGGACCTGAATGCAGTCTCCTCACTAGTAATTCACAGCAACTGGTATCCAGACATATATTGTCTCTGATACCATGCTCTCCTCACCCCTGATTGTTGTCTGGTGCTGATGGGAGCTGAGATACAATGGCATATGGAGTATGGAGAGAGTAGGCAGAGAGAGGCTCAGATTGGGTCCTGTTCCTGCAAGTGGACTGGCTTGGGCTCCAGCAGATCCCTCACTCATGTTGCTCCACCCCTGTGTTGGGTGCTGCCCCCGCCCAGATTTGATAATTCAGTAACAGTGTTTAAACAGAAAGAAGTATTCTTGCAATGTCTTTCCGGCTGCTTTCTAACCCAACCATGTTCTGTATTTGGTTTCAGGCTCTTGGGGGAAATATAATGACTGCAAGTCCAATATCTGACCTAAATCCAGTGTTTATGGCAAGTGGGAGCAAACTGACCTTGGCATCAAATGGTAAGCTTTAAGTAAGAATGGCAGATGGTGCATCACCAACCATCTTCTGGCTCACTTAGGACAATGATAACAGCCCAGGGAATTTTGTACCTCTGTTCTTTCTGGGGTGAATCAGGTAGCACTGCAGCACCTGTTGTTTCCATCAGCTTTGGTGGACAACACTTGGTAGCATTGCTCTAGTAGATCCTTCTTTTGCTTTGTTGATTTTGATGGCGAATCTTTTCCAGGTCACTCTGAATGCACAGATTGTCTCTAAATGCCCTCCAGATATTTTCATTAATTTCAATGTTTGAAATTTTGCAGTGTTTGGCAGTTGATATGAGGCAGTATTTTGTATTTGGCAGTATTGGTAGCTCAAATGCAGTGGCGTATCCAAGTCGTCAAAAATGTTTACACTGTTCAATGTCTGTCAAGGAAGCTCTGCATTCCTGTCACAGAATCTTTGACCATTAAAGAGGATTGTTGGACCAGTTCATGGGTGCACACTCAGTTCACATGGAACAGTGTTGGGCAACTGTACTTGTGAGCTTAAGTGTGTTCCCTAACACACCCACACCACCCCTCTGTGGTTGTGCTTTGGCAAGCTGGGTTTGATCATATATGAGAAGGTGCTCAGACAAAACCCTCTCATTAAACCTTGCAGGGTGCAACTCTCCTGTTGACAATCATCTCCTTCCCTGTTGCCTCTCACTCCAGATTCCCACTGAAGCCATCACATAACCACAAACACTTAGGGTGTATATATGAAACCAACCTGCCTCTCAAATGTGGCTACCCCACCCAACATCCCTCCCTCCTTGGCTCTCACCCAGAGAGGAAAACCTATGCTAATACAACCAAGAGAATCCCCACCCCACCCCTTGCTCCTCCCTAAAGGGTGTTACTCCTTTGGGGTCTCCCCATGCTGGGGATGCCCCCTGCCACAACAGTGCCTCCTTTTAGCCTCTGACTTGATACCAATTTCTGCCTGTCCTGGGTTCATGATTTTGACTTCCCAAGTTTTGTCAGCAAGGATGTCCTGCTTAACCCATTTAGAGTGGTCTTTAGGAGACCTTAACCATGCAAAAAGATGCTGATGCCAGTCAGTACCTGACAGTACACAAGAGAAAAAGCACACACATTATGGGAATATACTGCATTACTGTAGCTGCTAGAATATATTCTTCCATTAAGTATAGCTCCATAGTAAGAATGAATGAAATGGAATATGATTTCCCTACACATTCCACCCACTATGTACTGTCTTTTTTTTTGCAGAGGGAAGGAGGACTATAAGGATGGACGAGACGTTCTTCACTGGTTATAGGAAGACTAAGCTTAAACCTCAGGAAATACTGCTCTCTGTTGAGATTCCCTTCAGCAGGAAGGTGAGGTGATTGGAATACAGTATAGCATTGCTTTGAAAGCTAGGTAGAGAGCAACAGTTACTTTAATGGGAATGCAAAATCTCTCTTGGTTCTACTGATCCATCCTTGAAGGAAAGGTGGGTATGTTATGATTCCTCAGGAATGCAGGAAGATCACAAAAATGAAAGGAAAATGAAGGAAAGACTAGTTCCTAGAAAGTAACCAATATACTCCCCAGCTACTTCAAGTGAAGTGCAACCCTGGGACATTTTGAAATATGCACAAGAAGGAGTATGTATGTAACACACACACACAGAGAAAGAGATTACCACATTATCCAGCTCCCATTGCTTCTCAGGCCCTACTTCTGGGAAAAGAGCCCATTGATTAATATTTTTTGATAGTTGCTCAGGATCAGCCCTTATATTTAAAATGGTATTATTTATTCATGTATTTATTTATTTATTTATTTATTTATTTGAGGGGAAGTTAGCCTAATTTTCAAGGAAACTCAAGGCAGCTAGTTAAAGGAACCAAGTTTGTTCCTCTTTTTTGCCTCTTTTTGACTGAAGTGAAAGCATTTGTTTGGGAATAAATTGTAAGGGTTAGTTGAGGACAAGTCCCTCTTGAACTCCTCCAGCTTACAGTAGTTTTCCAGCAATGGAATTCCATTGATTTTAAGTGAGGTCATGTAATATTTATTTTAGGTTTTCTTTGTTCTCAAGGATTCAGCACTTGTTCCAATAGAGTATACCGTTATTAAGTTGGCATGGAATAACTGTTTCTGTGCCACAAATGAGGGACCAGAATGAACCTGTAATTCAGGGGTGAGGAACTCACATTCCTCCTCCCAACAGGCACACTCAATAGTCAGGGATGTTGGGAGTTACAGTACAACGCCTGGAGGGCCAGAGATTCCCCACCTCTACTCTAAATGGAAGGCAGGCGTATCTCCTTCCCCTGCTGAGTCCTTTGCTTTCCAATATATTAATCAGAGCCAAGTGGCTTTGTTACCACCTACCTGTAGAAATGTAACTCGGTCAGAGTTGCTTTCCTGGGAAAAGATGGGCAAAGATTGTGACCTCCTCTCTCAGTGAATCAGGCTGACTTGCACTTCATGAATTTAGGTGTACATGTAAAAATAAATAAATTAAAGCATGGCTGAGATAGACATGGAGGATATGGACACACTTGTGAGAGAGCCAATCAATCAATCAATCAATCAATCAATCAATCATAAACCTGGGTTTGCTGTCACAAAAGTCTATTCATGGATATGTAGTCAGAGTCTGTTATGTAGTGACTGTGCAGGAGTCCTGTTGTCTTTTACAATTGAACCCCCTCCCCCGCCAAGTTCACTGACTGGTCTGGTTTGGTCCTGCCCCTCTGTAATCACTGGAGGATTAAGGGAAGAAGCTGAGAAGTAAGTGCCCCAAAGCCTATCCTCTGAAATACAACAAACAGAAGAACTACATTCAGTGGAAAGTTTGAAAAACAACTACTCCATGCTCTAAAGTGAAATGTCCTTGCATTATTTTTCAGGGCAGAGCAATATGGACCCCAGAGGTGCTGTGTGTCATAGTGCAAGATAGAAACTGGCACTGACTGCATGAAACCGTTGATTAGATTTCCCTTTTCCAGTGTTATATCAGCCTTGGGAGGAATCTCTTGCCTGCTTTGCAGGAACGTGCAGCAGTGTAGCTTGAGACTCAGTACAAATAGTGCAAAGGACGACCCAAACACTTACGTTTTGAATTGTTGCAGTGGGGTGGTTTAATCCAGGGATGAGGCATCTGTGGTCCTCCAGCTATTGTGAGAGTACAACTCCCCTGATCCCTGACCCTTAGGCATGCTTGCTGGGGTAGATGGGAGTTGAAGTTTCACAACATCTGTTCACAGGTTCCCCATGTCTGGTTTAACCTCCTTCCTATTTCTACAGTTCTGTGATTCTGTCTGCCAGTTAGTGAATTTTGCTTTTTAGAAATATAGCTCACAGCACCCTCTGCTGTGCATACATAAAACAACATTAAATCCTGCTTGTTTTAAGAAGTCTCATTTGGAAGTAACCCTGTCCAAGACTGCAGCCTCTTCTGCCATCTTACATGTGGTAGTGCCACTTGACTGCATGGCAAACTGGGCACGAAACACTAAATTCTGATACTGGAGGTAATGGATAGTCAGCTAGCCAGGGGCTACTTTAACCCACTCAAAACTTTGCTATCCAGACATTCCTACTTTTCTGTTAGTGACCAGTGTTCATAGAGAAGGAAGTACGTGAACAACTAGCCTTACACATTAATTTTATGCGCTGTTTAGTGAAGAGGTCTAAGTTGCAGAATGAATTTAGTGTGTGATGTTGTCTTGTGTTTTTACTATTTCTTTGTTGGGAGCTGCCCAGAGTGGCTGGGGCAACCCAGTCAGATGGGCAGCAAACAAACAAACGAACAAATGAACAAACAAATGAACGAACAAATGAACAAATGAATGGCTAATATTGTTGATATGCATTAACAGCTGCTTTTTTTGCGCTTGCTGCCCTGGGTTGAAAATAAAGTACATATTTTTGGGAACTTTCTGGTTTTTAGTTCTGGGTATAGAAATGGACTATGAACCTGTCCATTCTCTTGATCCCACCTGTGCTCAAAGAGAACAAATTGAGGCAAACATTTGTTTCCTTTTCTTCTCCTAGGGTGAATATTTCTCAGCATTCAAGCAAGCTTCAAGGCGGGAGGATGACATTGCTATAGTGACCTGTGGGATGAGAGTCCTGTTTCAAGAAGGAACTGATCAAGTGCAAGATATTAAGCTGAGCTATGGAGGAATGGCTCCCACAACTGTATTGGCTGTCAAAACTTGTCAGGAGCTCATTGGAAGGTAGGAGAATTAGGCCCTGGTGTTGTGTAACAGAGGAAATTATTGTTGCACACCACCCCAATCTCCAAGTGGTGCAAGGCTCCAGGGGTTCCCAGCATTCCCAGGGTTTGCATTTTTTTCAGAATGTGGCCCAGTGGCGACTGTGGTGTCTTTATGATATATGGTTTATTGACACATATATACAACATTGAGCCTACAGTGGAGAGGTTCACAGCAAAAAGGGCCTTGCTTCATCCATCTTGCAGCCTCTGATTCAAACAGATTCTCTATCTCTCTTTCCAGCTTGCTGCTTTTTCTTCTGGCTCACATCACTTCACTCTTCAACTCTCACATTGTCCTTCTAACTATCTGTGAGCTGAGGGCTCATTTGCCATCTCACACAGACCCCCTTCTCATTATTCCCCTTCATGGCCCATTGCCTGGGTGATCACCTCATCAGGAAGCTGGTGTGGCTTATATTTCAAAGCTTGCTGGATCTAGGGGTTAGAAGGGTCTTTGCATATGTCCTACACCTTCAAGTTAAAAACAACGACCCTCATAACATCATGTACCTGCATGAGAGTCTTGGGTACCGAACCCCTTGCTGACAGTTTCTGCTACTGTGTTTTTATCTATTTTGTATTTCTTAGATTTTTATACCACCCTTCATCAAAAGATCTTGGGGCAGTTCACAAGATAAAAATACAAGATAAATACAAGATAAATGTTGACACTGCTGGTTCTTTTCGTCCTTACCCCATCATCGATGCAGATGCATTGGAGATAAACATAGTCTAAGTTAGCAATGGGGAACCTGTTGCTATCCTTATGTTGTTAGACTACAACTCCCATCATTCCTGACCATGCTGACTAGAGTTGATGGGACCTGGAGAACCCCACATAATCTGGAGGGTTACAACTCCCCTGACCTGGCCTAAAGACTGTGGAACAAATGAAATGAGTTTGGGGTTAATTTATGGTTTATGCCCCTACAGGGAGTGGAGGGAAAAGCTCTTGCAGGAAGCCTGTCGCCTGCTGGCTGGCGAGATGAACCTGTCCCCTTCAGCCCCGGGTGGCATGGTGGACTTCCGACGGACCCTTGTCCTCAGCTTCTTCTTCAAGTTCTATCTCACGGTGCTTCAGAAATTAGGCAGGGAACTCAATGGCAACGTGAGTGGTTCCATCCTCTTGCCGGGTTGAGGGTTCAGCAGGAATCCATAGTGTGTAGAGACAGATTCTATTGAGTTCTAGGGGTTCCTTTAGAAATTGGCATACGAGAAGGCTGGAATGGGGTACCTGTGGTTCTTTCAATATTGTTGGACTCCCATCAGCCCCAGCAGGCATAGCCAATTATCAAGAATGATGGGACTGGTAGTCCAACAATATGTGGAAAGCCACAAGTTGCCCATCTCCACAATAGAGGAAATGTCTTTTGTGGTAGGTGTTTTGCACTGTAAGTTCTGGGTCCTTGAAGCTTTCTGGCATGGTCTATAGTGGGCAGTTGTCATAACAGACTAAAAGAGGAGGAGGAGGGAAAGGGGGAAATCTGGAAAGGAAAAGGGGACTTGCTCCTTTCTCAAATCACTCCTCTAACAGTGATGGACCAAAACTGGAACTTTGGGTGATTTGATTTTTTACACAAGTCACAAAGAGGGAAAGTTGCATAGGTAGTATTAGCTGTTCATAAGTTTTTGGATTTGTTTGTTTTTAAAAATAAGAGTAATGCTCTGTGCAAAATGCAAGAGGCATATGAGTAGACTTACACTGGATTTCAAATATGTTTTTACAGAATAATCTTGCTGATACGGTCCCTGCTAGGTATGCCAGTGCCACTCAATTATTTCACAAGGATCCTGTTAAAAATGTACAGTTTTTCCAGGTAAGTAAGAGGAACCAAATGATCATGCCTTCCAGTTCCCAGGTCTATAAAATGTGCTACTCTTTGTCTCCGTTCCCCAGGTCTCATATTGATCAAGAACTTATTCCCATTCTAACTTTGGCCTTCTTTCCTCTTATTTATTTGTTTAAATGAGCACTTCTTGCTGCATAGAATGAGCTCTGCATGAGGCTGAATGTGATGATGATTACTGCTCTATGCATCCTCATGGCCCCATTGCCAGTACTGGAATTTTAGCCTTTGGAGAAGATACTATATTTGCCAGCAATATTAGCATCAACATTTGACCACTAGTCCTGGGCATGTATGACCAGCCTTTGGTTTTGTTACAGGAAGTGCCTCCTGGACAGTCCGTTGAAGACATGGTGGGGAGACCCCTTGTGCATCTTTCAGCTGCCAAGCAAGCAAGTGGGGAGGCAGTCTATTGTGATGACATTCCTCACTACGAGAATGAGCTGTACATAACACTAGTTACCAGCACCAAAGCCCATGCCAAGATTGTGTATGTATTGCTTCTGCAACAGATATATTTTCTTACACTAGTGATAGCCGAGTGCCCACCACTCTGGCAGTTAGAGGATCACTTCAGAGGCACCAGGCACCTTTGCCTCCTCCACTCTCAAGAATATTACAAAACAACAACAACATGTAGCCAGTTTCCATCACTGAGAGTAGCTTGCAAGATGATGGGCTGGAAGAGTCAAACTGTGCTGTGACTCCAGTCTGCCACATGGCAGCTGGGCAACTTAGGCTTTGGGACTTTGGCCAAACTTTCTCTAGGGAATCCTTTCTTCAGAGACTGCTTATGTGAGCTGTGGGGCTAGATAACATAGAGTAATGCTTCTCTGTGCTGTTCTGTTTCCTCAGTTCTATTGACACCACAGAGGCCCAGAATGTCCCTGGTTTTGTCTGCTTTGTCTCTGCTAAGGATGTTCCAGGGAGTAACGTCACTGGGATCGCTAATGATGAAACCGTCTTTGCAAAGGACACTGTATGTAGTTACCTTTTTCCCTTCCTTTTGTAAAATGTGCAAAGCTGTAGCTAAGGCAAGAGTGGCTAACCCGCAGACTCTGGGCCAGATTTGGCCTGCCAGCCCCAACTGCTTTCTAAGATCTCCTGATCTGTAAATAAAGCGCAAAGTACCACAAATCTCCTCCTCCTTCTCCTCGGATATTGATATTGTATCTTTAAACAGCAACAACGCCCCTCTCCAAACAATACCCCAGACCAAGAGTCTGTTCAGCCACCTCAGCTTTTGTAGTTGGAGTCAGTCAGGGCCTTGCTTTCCCATGCCAGGTGGAAAAGGCCTGCAAGGCAGGGAGCAGGTCTTCCAGGACTTGCAGCCAAGACTGGAGATAAGATAGGAGACACACAGAGAGTACCCTGAATCTCCACTTCAAGTCAGCATTTCAGACTGCATTAACTGCTGAGTTGGTGGCGGGATGCTGGTTTTTTTTACCCTTGAAGAGGAGGCAGAGGTCTTTCTCTCCAAGCTTAATGCTATAATGCTTGAGATCAGGAGATAAAATCCATCTGCCTGTTCTTTAGAAAGGATATTCCCAAATATTTGCTTATGTTTCCTACCTAAAGGCTTCCAGTACCTTTTCACCCCCATACTCCCCTTCAGAAATTAATAGAAGAAATTCTGTAGTGAATTAGTAGATTTATGCATGTTCAAAAAAAGAAAAGAAAAGAAAAAATGGAAGAGAACCTCTACTAATGAAGGAGGATACGTGGGACAAGGGCTGGAATTAAAATAATTGCACAGTTAACCTGCAAACTAATTGCAAGATGTTGATGCCTCCCTGATGAAGTATTAACAGTTATTCATGTCAGGAACTTGTTAGTAGAATTCTAAGCATGGGAATGAATGGCAGAAAATAGGATAAGGCACAAACTTGCTGTACTTGAAATGATAATCAAGGGGAATCAAGCTGGTGCAGACATATTGTGCAAGGCTTCCATCTTGTCTACTCTTATGTGAAAAACAAGGACTTCCACTTGAACTCAGTGGGTCACTTCTGATTGTGTGCATTGAAGTTTTACCTCCTACTGTTATTTAACTGCATATCTTAATTCAAAATCCTGCCCCACCCCCTTTAAATGAAGATGCATTTCAAAGATACTGTGTCCAAAATTAAACGCCACAGCACAAAGAACAAAACAGAACTGAGATTCCCAGAAGTCAGTGAATAAACTGAAGTCTTTTGACTTGTAGGTCACATGCGTTGGCCACATCATTGGTGGAATATTGGCAGACACACAAGAACATTCCCGAAGAGCTGCCAGAGCAGTGAAGATCACATATGAAGACCTTACGCCGATTGTCACCATTGAGGTAAGGTGACACTAATGCAATCCCCTTCTAAATGATTAGTTGAGATTTTTTAAAAAATCCTTTGGAGGCAGCTATTTGAGTTTTTACTACTATGATTCTGATACGGATGGGTGAAAATAGAAAGAGAGAATTAAGACACAGAATATTCCTTTTATTTAAAAATTTATTTAGATCCATACAACTACTGTCTCTGTGCTATATGTGTATAGCCTGTGTTCTGTCCATAGGGGGCAGTCTTTTTCTGCTCTTGGGCCCCTTCTGACATACAGATGTTGGCCCCTATTCCATTGTGTTGTCCTACATGCATAAAGCCCATTCCTTATAGGCCAGAGCCATACAACCTATATCCCTGAGCTGATGGTCCTAGATTGTCTCCTATCCAAGCGTTGGCTAGACCCAGACTTGCTTAGCTCCAGCAGGGACACTGCTTATGATTTTATCCAGTTCATATCCAATGCTGGGCAGGTGGACTTCTGCACAGTATCTAGAGGTCCACTTCCTCTTCTCCATCTTGCAACCCTCCATACACCCTCAAAACCTGCCCTGGAGGTCCTGCAAACCTCTGGAGAAGATTTTGAGGGCATGCTAGAGGCTGCACTGTGGAAGTGAGTAAAGGAAAGTCCTGTCATGTGAGTGGAAGTCTGTTGCACTTATTTCAGCAGCAGGGTTAGATACTGATGTTAATCCCGATGAATAGGAGATCCAAGTAGGGTGACTGCATCCAATAAAGAGATGGATCTTGAAGCTCTGGGAGTTGTGAAGAACGGATTTGGGTTGTGTGCTGCTTTTTTCACCCCTCAACACTTACACTGCTTCACCAAAGTGTTTTTTCTTCCACACAACTGTCAAAAGTAGAGGATCTCTGTTCTGTATTGCCTCTAATCCCAGATGCAAAATAGGTGAGGTTATGTTTTAGAAGTGACCCAACCATGGCTAAGTTATGCAGCACTTTATCAAGCAGAATGGAAAGGCAGAGATTTGAGGGCATCTATACACAGCAAGCCAAGCTGTCTGTTGCACTTCCAAATATCCATCATTTTCCTGTAATTTTCCCAGGAAGCCATTGAAAAACAGTCCTTCTTTGAGCTTGTGAGGAAGATTGAGAAAGGGAACATCCAGAAAGGATTTGAAGAGGCTGATCATATTGTAGAAGGTGAGATCCCTTTTTCTTCTTTGTAAGGTTATGTGCATCTAAGAAAATCATTAATGTTATGCAATCTTCACATGAATCATACTAGCGTAACAAGCTTGAGATTCCAATTCTGGAAAAATGGTTAGAAATGGGAGAACCATCAGTAGAACACATTGGTTTGGTCCACGGTTTAGCCCAAGCTCTTCCCAGAATTGGGTGAAACTTGGCAACATTTCCTTGAGCAAACTGGTTGGTTGGAGGATCCCAACTTGTCTGAGGGCTCCTCCAGGTTTTATCCTGATTTGCTTGCACAAAGCTTATCTCGTGGAGGTTGGAGTGTATCTGATCTTCAGATATCTATGTGGGGAAGTTCTGTGACAAGGAGTTTTCATCCTGCTTGAAGAGTGTTTATACATCTCCCCATTATCATTCGTTCATTCCACACTTTTCAATTCATCCCCCCATCAACTTCTTAACTGCAAAAAGTCCATTTCTTCTTAAAAGTAGTTTTGTTGCACTTGAATTGTGCGCAAATCTAAATGTCCTGGTATGCGCTTGAAACCCACCCACCTACAAAATACCGACAGTTGGCTGTTGACTGCTCTGGCTAAGAGCACAATGGAGTGGTCTCTACTCTGGGAGGTGTGGCTCGTTTGAGGGCTCTTGTGATGGGAGACTGTAGACTTTTGCATGCCACCCCGATCTCTGAGCGGTGTGAAAGTCCAGGGAATCCAGTTTCTTCCTGTTAAGAAGAAATTAAAGAGAAGAGGGAAGGAAGAGAGATTGTTTGGGAACTGGGAGAAGTTCCGCAGGTGGTGCTGTAGGTGGCAGCAAGGTGATGAAGGCAAGAGATAGACACAGGATCTTCATTTCCTCCCGAGCTCTTAGATTTTGAGCACTCAAAAGAAGAAATTTGGTAGCTGGAGGCTCATTTAAGTCCCCAATAATCCTTTGGACTTAGATAGTTACTACATTGGGAGGTTTCTTCTTTCCCCCTTCCAGGTGAGATATATATCGGTGGACAGGAGCATTTTTATCTGGAGTCTCACTGTACTATTGCTGTGCCAAAGAGAGAAGATGGAGAAATGGAGCTCTTTGTATCTACTCAGAACCTAACAAAGACACAGGTGAGGCAATCCCTTGTGAAAGCGTTAAGCTGGCTAATGAAGCCGTGAAATTGAAGTACAAAACCTGTGTGATATTGCTGAACAAAAACCCACCTGGTTTGCATAAGTGCTTTGCGATTATGTTTGTCTCCTTTTATAAATACTGGATGCTTATGAAGAAGCCACAGGGCAGTGCTGGAGTAAAGGCATCCTGTGGTTTTTGTGGAGTACCATCTTTTGTTGTTCTGTGATTTGAGGTTGCCCAGAGTGTGAGATTCAGTCTCCTTGGCCAGCTTGGTTAGCAGGAATTTATGGCCTGGCCTTCTATGAATTTGTGTGATTTCAGTTTATTTGTGGCACACCCATTTCCACCTCAGAAGTATTCTACCTAAGATGTGGAGCCATCTGCTGGTTGGGACAAACTACACATGATGTTAAACTCATATTTGCATCTAACATGCAGGCTTTTAAAAGCGCATTAGCATCAGTGCAGGATGGGCTGAAAATTAATGGAATCAGAGAAAGAGAATGTAACATTTCCCTCCTCCACTGTAGACCTTTGTACCAGTGAGGAATCCACCAATACAGATGTTATTTTCAGTAGAGGAATTTCCCTCAGCCTATGTTTTACTTGAGGATTAGCTGCTGAGAATCATTAGTGGGGAGAGTGCTATTGCATTTGGGTGCCTCCCATAGGCATCTGGCTTGGCTGCTCTGAGAACAGGTGTTGGACTAGATTCCCAGGGCTCTTCTCATGTTTTTAGGACAGCAGCCGGGGAAATAAAGCATTTAAAATAAATTTCTGCCAGCCTGCCTGCCTGCCCTGAAACCACAACTTGTCAGCACCTCCCCTGATGAGGCTATTTGCACTTGAAAAACATAAACAAAACTCTGCCTGCTAGATCTGCACCTTCAAAAAGCTGCATGTTTGTGGAGAAATGGAGGCATTTATATTTTATTCTTCAAAGCTACCAGTCCTTCTTTCCCACTCAACTTTGTAAAAAGTCCTATGTAAATAAATGGACACCAAAGAGACCTGGACTTCGTGCTTCTTTGTACTATTAATTACAGGTGAGCCAGTAAGCTAGTCAAAGATGTTTCAGAGCAGTACTAGAAATTCCGGTGAGATGCTCATTAATTGGTGACACTGTATTGTAGTGTATATATAAACGTCTTTTCAAGAGTAGGATTGCTCTTGTGTCTTGTTCTCAGTGACTCTATTGTTGCCTGTAGGCTGATGTATTTTTTTGTTTTTTGGTACCAGGAATTTGTTGCCAATGCCTTAGGGGTCCCGTCAAATCGAATTGTGGTTCGAGTCAAGAGGATGGGAGGAGGATTTGGAGGCAAAGAGACAAGAAACACCATTCTCTCTACAGTTGTAGCAGTGGCTGCAGATAAGTAAGTTGTGATGAATGGCCACATTGGGATAACCTGAAGTTGAATATTAGGATAACTCTTTGTTGTTTATAAGAGGATCAAGATTATGGACTTGTTTCAGATCTAGAACATCTGCATTTACTTTGGCAGGACGGTTACCCTGCTCCTTTCACCACTTAGGAGTTCATAACTCTGCATAAGAACCTAAGAAGAGCCCACTGGATCAGGCCAATGGCCTGTCTAGTCCAGCATCCTGCTTTCAGTGGCCACCCAGTTGTCTATGGGAAACCCACAAGCAGGATTCAAGCACAATAGCACCCTCCCCTCCTGAGGTTTCCAGTAATTGTTATTCAGAAGCATTACCACCTCTGACTGTGCAGACAGAGCAATAGCCAACATAGCTAGCAGGCACTGATATACTTTTCCTCCATTAATTCATCTAATCCTCTTTTAAAGCCATCCTAGATGATACTGCAGAAGACCTCCATTTTCTATCATGCTTATAGCCTCCTATTTGACAGGCGTCTTCCGCATGAATGCTCAAAGGCAAGGGAAATTTGTGAAAGTTTCCATTCCTTTGTGTGAGAGAGAAACAGTATGAACTAGGCATCCACATAACTGAGCACTTTGTGCATCTTTATTTGTGTTGCTCTACGCATGATGGGGGACTACTCTTCTCCAGAATGGGGAAGAGCAGCAGCTTCCACTGCTGTGAAGGAACATGATGGAAACCAGTTTACAGTGTGATTTGACTTTTGACTTGTTTGCTGTTAATTATAAATGTGGTGCGGTATTGTAAATGGTCAGCCCACCCATATCTTGTAGCCTTAGAGAAGGCCACTAGTTTAACAAGGACTAAGTTTTGCAGTCATTAGACTCCTGGATCAATAGGCCAAAGGGATTCCCCCTCCCCAACACAGCGTTGATATTCAGAACTATTTATATCTTCCCTGGGATAGCCTGCCCCTCTCCCTACTTCACAACAGAAAATGTTTTTCTGAGTTTTAGATGTTAGCCCCAGTTCAAAAGCAGGCCTTTGATGTGGTTGAAACTAAATCCAGAAACAAATATTTCCCCCTTTTTTGTTCGTCAGGTTTCCCCCCCTCTTTTGGGGGGGGGGGTTGGTCCTTTTTATATATCTCCTTTTTTTAAAAAGAATAAAATAAAATAAATAACTGCAAGGTTGAAGGACCAGCATTGGCTGGTACAATTGGGAGGTGAAGGAGTAAGTGCAGAATCCTATTGGAGGTGGCATGGGGTTGGGGTGGGGTGTAGTGACTTCAAAGCTGTTGTGGGGCTGGGGGAGCAGAGCTGGACAGTAATAGGTCACTGACGGACAAATCGGAAAAACTCAAGTCAAATTTAACTTGATCTAGCATGTTCATCTTCAGGAGACTCTAGGAAAAGTAGATGAAAAGTATCTTCATGGTTCATTGCAAGAGAAGAATTTCTCCTTCTAAGGCAAGCAAAAAACAAAAACAAGCTTAATTATTAAAGTGAGACTGTTAATTTTCAACACAGTTAGTTCTGGAAGCTTTGCCAACACACTAATTCTGCATCACAGAAGCTACCAGAACCACCTGGAACCCACTGGATTCCTGTAAGTTCAATGGTGGACAGAGCTGCTGTGGTCATCCAGATGTTATTGGACTAAACTCCCACCATCCCTGAGCATTGGCCATGCTGGACCAATGGACATCTCAAATTTGTGTTTTCAGGATCAACACTGTTATTTTGACTGTAGCCTGTTTTAACTGTTTTTAATCTAAATATTAAACTGTTGTAATCGGCCCTGGGGCATGCCGATGAAGAGCAGCTAATAAATTTAATAATGACAAATGACAATAGGATTTGGAGCTCAACATCTGGGAGACCATAGTTTTGCCACCACTGATGCAGAACTTCTGGATTTCAAAACAGGCTCTGGAAGGTGTGGGGGGATCCAACCTTCAAGTTAGAACTATAGAATAAGATAATTAGTATTGGGTACTTTAGGCAGAGAAAAGAGCAGAGCCTTTAAAAGCAAGTCCTACAATAATTTGTTTTAAAGTGGCAATTCCAATTCAGTGGCATTGCCCAAACCCAGAAATTCTGGAAATGGATCAGTGAGTAAGATTCATGAAATACCAGGGATCTGGGAGGTTGTAGCACTACTTCCCGTGCCTTTGAAAGAACTTGGAACAGGACAGGAAATTGCCATTTGCTGATGGAAGCAAAGTGATTGATTAAAAACACTGGGAAGTGAAAGATCTACCATTAATTAAAATATGGAGAAATAAATGTTAGGATGATTTCAGCTGTCCACAGTAGACTTATTGGATAAAGAGGAAGGATGATAAAGTACACAGGATTCCTCAGTAAGTTTTTCAGTATTGGAGCAGACACACTGGAAATATTAATTACAGCTTTGTCAATGAGACAACTGCACAAATTGATGAACTGGGCACCAGGCAAGAACATTTTTTAAATTTTCCCAGGCCTTCTAACTTATGTTGTAGCTTCATATTGCTTTAGCCCTGTGACATTTAAATTTCTCTGCCTTTTAGTTTTAATGCATTAAGGCTGCCTTTCTGTGTGCATTTATCCGGGAATAAGCTACACTGAACACAGTGTGATTTACTTCTGAATAAATATGTATGGGATTGTGTTGTTAGTGCTGCAAAATCTTTCCCCCTTTACTCTGTTTCAAAGTCATTTTTTTATAGTGATGCTGTATAATCAGTAACCTTGTCTCACCTGCATTTTATTAGCTTATTGTAAGTTTGTTTTTGTTTTTTAAATCCCTGTAAGCTATTCAAATTCGGTTTTTGGGATTGCCTGTAAGTTGTACGTACGTATGTATGAAAATAAATTGTGTCAATTATATGACACAGGCTCATTCTCAGCCTGATTTTGGTGCCCTTACAGGACTGGTCGCCCAGTAAGATGCATGCTGGATCGAGATGAAGATATGCTGATTTCTGGTGGAAGACATCCCTTTTTGGGACAGTATAAGGTAAATTGAAATGTTGGTTGTTGTTGTTTTAAGAGAAGTATGCCATCTTGGGAAGGTCACATTAAAAAATGTAAGGGGATCTTTAGGTACAATGCATTGTTCATTCCTACACAACAGGGATGGCCAACCTTTTTTCAGCTGACGGCCACAGTCACCCATTGCCAACCCTGTGGGGGCTGCATGTCAAAGATGGGTGTGGCCAAAGTGGTTGATTTGGAGTATAGAGCATTGGGAGATATATGGACCACCAGTATTAGCAGTACAGTCATACCTTGGATCTCAAATGTCTTGGCTCCCGAACGATCGAAACCCAGAAGTGAGTGTTCCAGTTTTTGAATGTTCTTTTGGAAGCCGGACTTCTGATGGGGCTTCTGCAGCTTCTGATTGGCTGCAGGAGCTTCCTGCAGCCAATCAGAAGCCACGCTTTGGTTTCTGAACTTTTTGGTAGTCGAATGGATTCTGTTTGGCTTCCAAGGTACGCCTGTATGTGGAATGCTACAGATAGGGAGAAGAACACCACTAAACAGGACTGCTGGAATCTACCAATAGCTATCTTTTACACTTTGGGTTTATGGAGCATGAGGTATAAGACTGTAGCTCAGTGGCAGAGCACATGTTTTGCATGCATCAAAAAAATCCTGCATCAATAAATCCTGAAGAGCCACTGCCACTCAGTGTAGACAGTAGTGAGCTAGATGGACCAAAGGGTCTGACAGCTTCCTAGATTTGTTTCTTCCTAAAACATCTGTGAAGACAGGAGTGCCTGGCGTGCTCTGGTCCATGGGGTCACGAAGAGTTGGACATGAATACACGACTAAACAACAACAACAAAACATCTGTAATTGTAACAGGTGAATTCTGTATTCCTCTGTTCTTTGTTTCTTCCAGGTTGGCTTTAAGAAGAATGGAAGGATTACTAGTCTAGATGTGACATATTACAGCAATGGAGGGAATTCTGTTGATCTTTCTCATGGCGTGAGTCAAGGATACATTCTGCTGTTTTTCATTTCTGACTCTAAGAGGGAGAAAAAGTAGTTTGGGGTGACTGGTTGAGAAGCATACCCAAGCCTCTGTATGTGTACACACACACACACTGCACCTACCTCCTTCAGTCAAAATGGTCCCATCCTGAAATTGTGTTTCATTAAACAAAGATCAGTTGTCCCCAAGCCTTCTCTAATGGGGACAGTTTTAATGTTTGATGCAACATCTTGACTACTACTTAACCTGCAATTTCAGTTAGTGATTTAAATAGAAAGATGACAGTATTGTTGTAAAAATTTAGTGCTGCCAATAGTTATTTATTTATTGTGTCTATACTCCATCTTTGCCTCCAAGGGGCTAATAGGTCTACCTATTCTTTAATTAGTTGCCACAACCACCCTGTGTGATAGGCTAGGCTGAGAGGCAGTGACTGACTCAAGGTCACCCACTGAGCTTCATGGCCAAGTGGAGATTTGAAACCTCATCTCCCAGGTTCTAGTCTAATCACTGCACTACGCAATATATGAGGACGAGCATACATTTGCTCCAGTTGGTGTGTTTGTGAAAAAAACATGTAAATGATTACTTGTCAGTTAGTGCAACTTATGACTGTAGAGTCAGAAGAACAAAAGCATGGTTCGTAAATTAAGTCTTTTTTTTAAAGTTCATAAGTCTATTTTTGATCTGCTTTTTATTGTTGGTCACCAGGTTATGGACAGAGCATTGTTTCACATGGACAACTCGTACAACATTCCAAACATCAGAGGCATAGGCAAAGTCTGCAGAACCAACTTGTCCTCCAACACAGCATTCCGTGGGTTTGGGGGTCCCCAGGGAATGATGGTTACTGAGTGCTGGATAAGCGACATTGCCATGAAGTGTGGGCTGCCAGCAGAAGAGGTACGTGCAGGGCTGGATTTAGGTTTGATGAGGCCCTAAGCTACTGAAGGTAATGGGGCCCTTTATATGTCCAGCTGTCCTTTGTCAACAACAAATTGTCACTGTTTTTTGTGTTGAATATATGCTATATGGTAATTTATGGACCTAACAGGTATCTAAAGCCATTTGCACGTGTTGCCATGTAACCAGTGCATGTAGGCACCCTATATATAGAAATGAGCAAACCAGTGATATTTTAGGGAGCTGGCTAGCCCATTACTTAGCATAGGAGCCTATACAACACAAAACACTTTTGCTATATGTAGGTTTTGTTTTATTTGTTTTATATCATATATTTTGGAAACGTACATCCAGGGTTTTTCCCCCTTTAATTTTTTGGGGGGCCTCCAAGAGAGTGGGGCCCTAAGCTATAGCTTATTTAGCTTATACTGTACGTAAATGAGGCACTGGATATGTGCTCTTAGAGGAAAAGGCTAGACATTTCCATAAACCCTGCATGCTTCAGTCAAAGGATGTTAAAGAAATGAGATGTCACCAGTTCGGTACCCGTGAGCTCTTTTTGCAGCTTTACATTGGTTAATGTAATCTCAGTATTGACACTGATTGTTAGAGTCCTTTATGGGTTGGATATCAAAATGATATTACATATCAAGGATGTTGTGTGTCATTCCTTTATACTCCAGTGGGAAGTGGTCGTTGGCCTCCTTCAGCGCAACACTTCACCCAGCCGGAAGAGTGAAAGAGAGAAAGAGAACGAATGGGCGAAGCAGAGAGAGGATGAGTGTCTGTGTGCTTCTGCTTTTTATGAATGGATGCATGTGTATGTTTGTGCGGATGGATGTGTGTGTTTGTGAGATGAAGTGTGTGTGTGGGATGTCCTCTGTCTACTTTTTGGTTTGGCTGTACTGACCACCATTGCTGCGTAGTCCCCTTCTCTGAAGGGAATGCAACCCTTGACCCTGAAATGGCTGCCCACTACAGAATTTTGGGGGAGCTGACCTCCATGTTTAAGAAGGCGTGTTTAGGATCAAGATGCCCAGCATTCCACATTCTGTTAAAGTCATTCTTCCAAAAGACTCGTTGGTGACCATGGCCATGTGGGTTTTGCTTTGGAAAGGTTCGAAAACTCAATCTCTATAATGAAGGAGACCTGACTCACTTCAATCAAAAGCTAGAAGGATTCACCTTGCGAAGATGTTGGGATGAGTGCCTTGCAAATTCGGACTATCACTCCAGAAGGAAACTTATTGATGAGTTTAACCGGTAAGTATCTTGCTTTTCAGAGTGATATCAGGTATACTAAAATATTCTATAAAGGCCTTATTAGTAAGCCTGGAATTAAAGTCCGAATCAAATTTCTCCCCCATCCATACAAATCATCTCTGCAGAAGGTGTAATCTTTTGGGGAAAACATTAACCCATTGTGTTTTAAAAGAGAAGCTCAAAATCAATGAAAAGTGCATGTTGATTTGTTGATTTCAATTCGCTCCCTGGACCCATTCCGATGAAGTCTTGTTCTGATGCAAAATTGTGTAGGAAAAGAGAGCATGCCAGAGAAAGCAGTTTAGGCATGGGTGCAAGGGAACAAGAGTCTGACATCGTTCTGTTTCCCCAGGAAGAATCGCTGGAAGAAGAGGGGCATGGCCATTATTCCAACCAAGTTTGGGATCAGCTTCACAGTTCCCTTCCTGAATCAGGTAGGCAAGCACCCTTAACTATTACAGCTGGGCAGCAAGGTTCTGTGGCAAAATGCTTCTGTCCATCTTCAAGATTCTCCAGTAATGGGAATGGTAGAAGCGATACATCCAAGGCACATTTTAGTTCCAGCCTTGGTTATGTTGTATGTCATCCACCAGTCCGCCTTCATTCTTGTGCATTCTTTGTGACTCTTGTTTTGCTAATGTTGTTTGGGGGGGGGGGATACCAGCCCCCACCCTAGTCAGTGAATGCATGGGCTGAAGAGGAATCAGGAAATGAAGCAGTGCTTTCTTAAGTATTGAATCAATCGAAAGTTAATTTTTAGGCTTATTGGATCATTTCTATCTTCTCTCTCTCTCTCTCTCTCTCTCTCTCTCACACACACACACACACACACACACTTCTATCCAAAGTAGCATTCAATCTCTTGTTCTAATAGAGCAAGGATTTACCCTTGCACAGTGGAACTCCCCCCCCCCCGCAAAAAAAAATCTGTTCTGGGGTTTCTTGCAACCTTCCAGAGCAGAATTGACGAGGGCACAATGCATGCACAGAGAGAGGAGAATCGGGAGCAGTACAGTAGCATAAATGTAAATCCTTGCGCTAATGGAACAAAGGCCTTGGATACTGCCTGAAGTGAGGAATGTTGATTTGTATGTAGACGATGTGCTTCAGGGAGCTCGTGTGTCAAAACAGTCTTTGACAGCCTCTCTCTCGGGTTTCTGTTGTAGGCTGGTGCCCTGGTACATGTGTACACGGATGGGTCAGTGCTGCTCACGCATGGAGGGACTGAGATGGGCCAGGGCCTCCATACCAAGATGATCCAGGTAAACTGTGAATGCATTAATTGTCTGGTGCTGTTTTGATTAACATTATCCATTAAGCAGCCCTGTTTAGGGAAGTTTTTAATGTTTGATGTTTTATTCTATTTTTAATCTATTGGGAGCTGCCCAGAGTGGCTAGGGAAACCCAGCTGGATGGGCGGGGTATAAATAAATTATTATTATTATCCATTAAATGTATTAAAAATGTACTGCAGCATTCATTTTCAGAATGTTATCTTACAGATGCTGCAATTTCCCCCCACATCCATTCTAATTTAAATGTGGATATGTAGGGTGAAATCCAAAGAATGGGTTCTTGTGGGAGGAATTTAATAATAAATAAACTTTTACTCAGAGCAGTCATGGCCATTAATGTCTACCCTGAGTAAGAGTTGATCAACTACAACCCATACTTTCTCACAATGTATGGAGGATGTGTAGCAGGATTACAAAGCAGCATTCTTTAGAAGCTTAGCAACTTTCCTGTGTGTTTTGATTTTACTTGCAAATATAAATTAAGACGGATCAGAAAAATATCCCACAGTTGCATAACAGGACAGAATACAGGACTATTCAAAAGTCTTTGGAGCTTTGTGGACTTGGAATAAGAAGAACTGTTTCAAGTCCTATGGATTTCATTGGTGGCGATGACAACTGCGGTGAAGTTCACTTTTGGGCATTGTCTCTCTGCAGGTTGCCAGCAGGACTCTTGGAATTCCCACCTCCAAGATCTACATCAGTGAGACAAGCACCAACACAGTGCCAAATGCATCTCCAACAGCTGCTTCTGTTAGTGCTGATATCAATGGGATGGCTGTCTTGGTAAGGGATAGAACTCAACACACTGCTCTACAAGGGATGCTACCGATTCTGTCTGCAGTGCACTTCATTTGCACCCCAGAAAGAATCTGTCTCGTTGCCTCTATGAAGATATGCCTTGTGGGAGGCTTCTAGCAGACTTTGCTTTCGGAGGAAAGCACACTATCAGCATGTGTGCTGCTTAAAAGTGCCCAGTGTGGTGACTTTAACAGTAAAGGAGCCAATGATGTGTATTCTCTGGTGATGTGGCGAATGTTAGGTTGCTTCCAAATTGAACAATGGTATTAACTTAGGAAATATGTTAATGCTACATTGGAAGCTATCATCTACTGTGTCAAACCACTGGTCCTTCTAGCTCAGTGTTGTTGACATTGATGAGCAACAGCTCTTTGGGACTTCAGGCGATAATTGGTCCCAGCCATCTCTGGGGATGCTGTGGATTGAACCTTGGACCTTGCCCATTTCTAGCCAGAGCCTTCCGTTAAAAGCATAGTTAGTCAAAAGAGTACAAGACATTCTGTGATATGTGGACACCTGTTGCCACATCTAGATTGATGAAAGTGAGAATGTTTAGTCATTTAGTCGTGTCTACGTGACCCCATGGACCAGAGCACGCCAGGCCCTCCTGTCTTCCACTGCCTCCCGCAGTTTGGTCAGACTCATGTTTGTAGCTTCAAGAACACTGTCCAACCATCTCGTCCTCTGTCGTCCCCTTCTCCTTGTGCCTTCCATCTTTCCCAACATCAGGGTCTTTTCCAGGGAGTCTTCTCTTCTCATGAGGTGGCCAAAGTATTGGAGCCTCAGCTACACGATCTGTCCTTCCAGTGAGCACTCAGGGCTGATTTCCTTAAGAATGGATACGTCTGATCTTCTTGCAGTCCATGGGACTCTCAAGAGTCTCCTCCAGCACCATTATTCAAAAGCATCAATTCTTCGGCAATCAGCCTTCTTTATGGGAAAGTGAGAATACCTGGTGGCAATTTGCTGTAATATCAAAAGATGCATTCTGTTTGCTTTGAATTATTTTTCTTGCTTTCTTTTAGAATGCTTGCCAGACCATCCTGAAGAGATTGGAGCCAATCAAACTTGCTAAGCCAAAAGGTTCATGGGAAGACTGGGTATGTTTGTGTCTGCCGCAGTTTGGAAGCATGGTGTGGATTTGCTAGCATTAGGAAAATCTCAATTATCTATTAATTCATTGTGGCGTGACAGGGGCTAAAGGAGCTAGCAGGGAACTGGCTGATATTCTTGCAACTCTTCCAGCAGTTCTGTAAGCCCCAAACAAGTATGACTTCAACAAGAGAAACTTTGGATTCCATATACCCAAGGTGGTGATGCAATTGATACACCTCTGAATTGTGATGGTTTGTGAATCTTAAGCAGCTTCCCCTCCTTGCTGCTTCCTTTAGCTTGGTCCCTGTCCCACTTTATCTCACCATCTTATGCCATCATCAAAGGGCTGTTACTGGCACTCTGTTCTGCAGTGACCTCTGCTATAGGATGGGGTGTTTTCTTTACACACACACACACCAGAAAACAGTCCGTCCATATGAGTTGGTGAGCATAATTTTGACACCATCAGTTCTTGTGATCTATTTTATTTGGGGCTTTAGTTTTTCTGTTATGAATTGTATTTAATGTTTTGTGATACATGTAAATCCCTCCATGAACTTGAGTGGCATTCCTGATGTTGATTTATATGACGATGATAACAGATGATGTTGATGATGGACTAGGCTTCCGAAGGTTGCCCTTAGATTTTTTTTCTTTGTGATTTGATGAATGAAGATATCTCTCAAGAGTGGGATCTGTTTAACAGCTCCGTTTGTGCACTATTTCACAAAGTTGGGCCTGATGGGTCTAGAGGTGTCAAATGTAAGGCTTGTTGATAATGGTGCTCCCCTTTTTGCACACGGATAGAGTGCACTCATTTGTATTTTGTTGAAAACACACACCCATTGCTAGCTTTTCCAGAATACATTGTGGCTACTGTATTTTTTGCCCTATAGGGCGCACCGGCCCATAGGACGCACCTTGTTTTTTTGGGGGGGAAATTAATTTAAAAAAATTATTCCCCCCCCCAGCCGCGGGGCTGGGGCAGGGGAAGCCCGAGCTTCCCCTGACCCCAGCCCCCAGAACAGGCTGCTATCCGCAAGCCTTGCGAGCCTGGCGGCAACTCCCGCTGGGCTCGCAAGGCTTGCGGACACCTGCGCGAAGAACGGGGCGCCCTCCAGAGGGCGCCCCATGCTTTGGGCTGCAGGCTGCTGCCCTCAAGCCTTGCGAGCCCGTGGGAACTCCCCCTGGGCTCGCAAGGCTTGCGGATAGCTTCCTGAAGTCTGTAGAGCGAGAGGGGGGCGTGCGCACTGACCCCTCTCGCTCTCCAGGCTTCAGCGAAAGCCTGCATTCGCCCCATAGGACGCACACACATTTCCCCTTCATTTTTGGAGGGGAAAAAGTGCGTCCTATAGGGTGAAAAATACGGTATTTTAGTTCAGCAGAACTAATTTTTTTAAAAAAACCCAGACACAAAGAACTCTGTGTGTTTTCATTAGGTGTCAGCAGCCTACTGTGATTGTGTGAGTTTGTCGGCTACAGGATTTTACAGGTGAGTTGGAACAGGACCCAAGTGGGATTCCAAATAATACTTCTACTGGTCTGATATTTCAACTAATTTCATGAAGTGTGCATATAATAAGAAGATATGATCTAGTAATCTCTTTGAAGGCTGTATTCTATAAACTTTATGTGCCGGCTAACTTTTCCTTGGCACTAAAGTCATCTGCAGTCTCTACTTGACCCATGGCATACAAATGTAAAAACAGTTCCCATTCATTCAAATCATACCTTAAAGTGTTAAGGCTCCAAAGTAGAACCAACCCTTTAATATTCCCATTCTGTAAATACAGAATTCAGAACTATGCATCTCCTACAAGCTTCAGAAGACCTTAGATAAGGTGTGGAAAAAGTGACACCCTCCAGACATTCAAACTCCAATTCCCATCAGCCCCAGTCAAAATGGGCAAGGGTTGGGGTGATGGGAATAGGAGTCAACAACATCTGGACAGGAACAACATTGGCTACCCCTTGCCTTGGATCTCTAACTATCTACTAACTTAGATTTCAGTTTACTTTATTTAAAGTGCCGTTTTGGTGCAGAAACTCAGGCTCCACAAGAGCTTTCAAGCTCACTTGCCAATTCTTTATGTGCAACATCATTTGCAATGCCCTAATTTCTGCAGGTGGCGCTGTGGGTTAAACCACAGAGCCTAGGACTTGCTGATTAGAAGGTCGGCAGTTCGAATCCCCGCAACGGGGTGAGCTCCTGTTGCTCGGTCCCAGCTCCTGCCAACCTAGCAGTTCGAAAGCACATCAAGTGCAAGTAGATAAATAGGTACCGCTCCGGCGGGAAGGTAAACGGCGTTTCCGTGCGCTGCTCTGGTTTGCCAGAAGTGGCTTAGTCATGCTGGCCACATGACCCAGAAGCTGTACGCTGGCTCCCGCGGCCAGTAAAGTAAGATGAGCGCCACAACCCCAGAGTCGGCCACAACTGGACCTAATGGTTAGGGGTCCCTTTACCTTTACCTTACTTTCTGCAGTAGTTTTGGGAATCAAACAGGCAACCAATTTAAGCTTATAGAGCTGAGTGAAAATGATCTCCTCAAATTATCCACACTCTCTGTGGGTGGTAAAAACGGAGGAGGGCATTTTACTGAAGACTGAACTTCTCTAATAGTTTTAGGTGGAGCTGGAAAAAGAGGGGAAACATTTAAAATTTGCAATAAATTAATTTTTGAAATGTTTTGTATTGCTTAATATTGAAAGGAAACTCGATTTTTTGTTCATGCTTGTGAATAAAGGAAGTGATGGACTAAGATGGGATGACTGGAAGGAGTAGAGATCCCATCCATTGCTTTCTTCAGCATTATTAAACAGTATTAAAATTGGATCTACCATTGTATCCAGAACTGGAGCGGGTGCCAAAGGGATGTGGCCTGGGGAGAGGCCCAGGGGCCAGGCAGAGAAAGCTGGAGGGCTGCATTTGGCCCTCTGAGGTTCCCCATCCATGGCTTATCATCAGTGTCCTGGCTTGTTCCATAATAATGTAGTAGGCCCAATGTTGTAACTCCTTGGAGTTACATGAGTGAAGAGGAAGAAGCCTAGTTCTAGAGGTATATGGACAAGATGTTGGAGAGCAACTAAAAATCTGGTATGGTTGAAAGATAAAAAGGGAGAGGTGGGGATCTGGCCTGGCATACTTCACAGAGCAATCAAAGGCATGCAGATCTCAAACCTTTGGCTAATCATGATTACTGGCCTGATCCTCAAAACTCCCCGAATTCTTGTTGAGTCCAGTAACTTGCATTTTTGCCCACTAGGAAGTGATTCAGTGGAGTAAGAAAAAGACCTTTATTTCAGTCAAGTGATGAGTAAAATTCCTGCAGATTTCATTTTTTCCTTCTTTCTTGCCACCCTTAAGAATTCCAGACCTTGGGTATGACTATGAGAAAAATGAAGGAAAGCCCTTTTGCTACTTCTCTTATGGCGTGGCTTGTTCTGAGGTTGAGATTGACTGTCTGACAGGTGACCATAAGGTAAGTAAGCTAGGCAGATTTGTCAAAAGTATTTCTTTTTCTGGTGGACTGGGAAAGTACCTACTAACCTGAGTATATTTGATAAGGAAGTTTATTTCCAGCTCTGGTATTCGTTGAGTGAAATACCTGACTTCTCTGTGTATATCACGGATGGGCCACCTGTGGCCAGCCAGAGGCAGTTGATGATGGGAGGTATAGTCTGAACTTCTGGAGGAAACGCATATAATTGGGCAATTATATACTTCATAGTGATTATGTTCTGAGAATGGTTTCCACACAAGCCACTAGCTATGAAGACTTATACCCAAGTTGCAAAGGCTCCAGATATTTGACTTCCAACCAAGAGCCAAGACCTTTTTGCTGAAGTACTCTTCACGTCTATTTCCCCATGATCTTTGCAATAATCGTGTAACTTAGGCCACCTCTCTTAGCTCAGGCTAGGCTATTAAATGGCTGCTTCTCCCAGACAACATGGCACATTCATGGCTGAGCTGAGAGTTCATCTCTTCCAAGTCGGAGTTCAGGCTCAGAGCTACTATGTGACAATTCAGGTTCAAGTGAGACTTGGGAAAAGGCACATCTCAGTGGTAGAGCATCTGCTCTGCCTGGAGCAGGTACTGTACTGAATCCTTAGCTTCTCCAGGTAGAGCTGACAAAAAGCTCCTACCTGAAAAGCTGGAGAACAGATTAAACAGTACTGAACTAGATGGGCCAGTGGCCTGACTCTAAGGTAGCCTATTGATGTTCATATGTCCCCCTTTTAATTCATTGCATAAAGTGAGTCCTGTACTTACTCAGCCTTTGCTTTTGCCGATATTTAGAATGTCCGCACAGACATCGTGATGGATGTTGGCACCAGCTTGAACCCGGCTATAGATATAGGGCAGGTAAGCAATACAACACGATCCTGTTCTGTGGCGCTGTAGCATGTCTGCATGCTAGCTGGATTATTAAATTGGTCAATGAGCAGCAACAGGCCTGATAAACAGCAGCATGAACTGTTGTGGCAGGAGAGATGGTTAATTGCTAATTTATTATTAGCTTGTTTTTGCTCATCAAGTTTTTGGCAAATGATTCATTTCTGCACAATGAAACAGGGGAAAAATTAGATCTAGTGTTCATTGCACTGTTCCCAAGCTTTTGTTTTGCATTCTCCAAGTCAGTTACTCTAGAGTAATTCTATTTACTTCAGTGGCCCTATTGCAGCAAGTAGTCAAAGGAGTCTTGTTTTGGAGAGGCAAAACCTCATATTTTCGGGTTCATTTTTCATTTTAACCTGCAGACCACCCAAACTCTTAAAACTAGATGTACTAGCCTAAACTTGAGGCTTCCTGTACCAGCAACTAAATACTGAAATTGGGCAGATACAGATAAATTTGTTTATGAATCATGACTCATGATGACCATATGCCACAAGGTCATTCTGCTATTATCCCATAAATATTTGGACTACCAATATTTATTACTAATACCAGCAGTGGCAGCACTCCTGCCACTCCTGCATGATGTTCATTTAGCATCAAACATGTCCTAGCCAATGAGAAAAATTAACTGAAAAGTTCCACATGGCAATGGGATGGAAACTTCCTTACTCAGAGTAGACTAGTTGAAATTAATGAGCATGACTGAGTTAGGTCCATTTATTTCAATGGGTCTTCTCTGAGTAAAATTTAGTTGAATACCACCCCAGGAGTGCTCTCTACCAGCTTTGGTTGGAGTGGGATGGTTTTGCTGTGGTGATTTGGTCATGTCCAAACAAGACTACTGTAATGTGCTCTGTTTGGGGCTGACTTTAGAGGCTGACTTTTTATTTTGTGTCTGATTTGATTTTTGTGTCTTTACATTTACAGATAGAAGGAGCCTTTGTCCAAGGAGTTGGGCTTTTTACCCTGGAGGAGCTGCGTTATTCCCCAGAAGGCAACCTGTACACCCGCGGGCCTGGAATGTACAAAATCCCTGCATTCGGTGACATCCCAACAGAGTTTCATGTGTCTCTTCTCCGGGACTGTCCAAACAGCAAAGCCATCTATTCATCCAAGGTACAGTATCATCTGGAGCTGCAGCTTTTCCACAGACATTGCACATTTTGACACAAAATAAACAGCAGTGATGGAATGAGGAATGCTATTTTGCCTTATATTTCTTAGAGCCACTGGCAGAGCCACTGGCAGTCAGTGTAGGCCATGGACCAATGGTGTGAGGTGGTCTAAGGCAGCTTACTATGTTCCCAGTACAGTGGTACCTCAGGTTGCGAACACCTTGGGTTACAAACACCTTGGGTTACAGACTCTACTAACCCGGACGTAGTACCTCAGGTTAAGAACTTTACCTCAGGATGAGAACAGAAATCGTGTGGCGGCAGCGCGAGGCCCCATTAGCTAAAGTAGTACCTCAGGTTAAGAACGGTTTCAGATTAAGAACGGCCCTCCGGAACGAATGAAGTTCGTAACCAGAGGTACTGGCCATGGGTACTGCATACTGTGAGCTGTGAATTAGTAGTGGCTGGAGCAATGCTTGATGCTCTTCAATCTCTCTAGGCTGTTGGTGAACCTCCCTTGTTCCTGTCAGCCTCCGTGTTTTATGCCATCAAAGATGCCATCGTCTCTGCCAGGGAAGAATCGGGACTGAAGGAGCCATTCCGACTAGACAGCCCAGCCACCCCAGAGAGAATACGCAATGGTTGTGTGGATAACTTCACCAAACTGGTAGGTTAACTGGCCTCCTTTCTCACGATTTCATCTTCTGTAATGCAATTCAGTAATCATTCCTTGGTTGTCTGCAGCTTTCATTTCAGTGGGTTCCCCTATCACGAATTAACGAATACTTCACATTTGTATGGCATCTTCAAGTGTGCCATACAAACACGTTGCCTATCATCATCATCATCATCATCATCATCATCATTATTAATAATTTTTTATTTATACCCTGCCCATCTGGCTGGGTTTCCCCAGCCATTCTGGGTGGCTTCCAACAAAATACTAAAAATACAATAAAACATGAAACATTAAAAACTTCCCTAAACAGGACTGCCTTCAGATGTCTTCTAAAAGTCAGAAATAATAATAATTATTATTATTGCATTCCTTATAACAACCCTGTGAGGTAAGTCAATATTATTATTAGGAACAGGGGACAAATTTGATTCAGTTGGCATTTAAAGGCAAACTTACTTAATTTACAGTTTTCGAAGCGATGGGTGAACAGATATGTAGCCATCCGTTGAATGCCTCCCAACTCGCACTTTGCCAAATTTTGCAGAGAAGTTCTGCAGCCAAACAATGTGTACAAAAATTCATGTGGGACTGAACCAGATATGCCTACATCCTTATCATGTAGTCAGTGCTTCTATAATAATAATAATAATAATTTATTATTTATACCCCGCCCATCTGGCTGGGCCTCCCCAGCCACTCTGGGCGGCTTCCATAAAAACCAAAAATACACTAAAATATCACACGTTAAAAACTTCCTTTAAGATGTCTTCTGAATGTCAGGTGGTTGTTTATCGCTTTGACATCTGCTGGAAGGGCGTTCCACAGGGCGGGCGCCACTACAGAGAAGGCCCTCTGCCTGGTTCCCTGTAGCTTTGCTTCTCGCAATGAGGGAACCGCCAGAAGGCCCTCAGCGCTGGACCTCAGTGTCCGGGCAGAACGATGGGGGTGGAGACGCTCCTTCAGGTATACTGGACCGAGGCTGTTTAGGGCTTTAAAGGTCAGCACCAACACTTTGAATTGTGCTCGGAAATGTACTGGGAGCCAATGCAGGTCTTTCAAGACCGGTGTTATATGGTCTCGGCGGCCGCCCCCAGTCACCAGTCTAGCTGCCGCATTCTGGATTAGTTGTAGTTTCCGAGTCACCTTCAAAGGTAGCCCCACGTAGAGCGCATTGCAGTAGTCCAAGCGGGAGATAACCAGAGCATGCACCACTCTGGCGAGACAGTCTGCAGGCAGATAGGGTCTCAGCCTACGTACCAGATGGAGCTGGTAAACAGCTGCCCTGGACACAGATTTGACCTGTGTCTCTATGGACAGCTGTGAGTCCAAAATGACTCCCAGGCTGCGCACCTGGTCCTTCAGGGGCACAGTTACCCCATTCAGGACCAGGGAATCCTCCACACCTGCCCGCCTCCTGTCCCCCAAAAACAGTACTTCTGTCTTGTCAGGATTCAACCTCAATCTGTTAGCCGCCATCCATCCTCCAACCGCCTCCAGACACTCACACAGGACCTTCACCGCCTTCACTGGTTCTGATTTAAAAGAGAGGTAGAGCCTCTAGAAAAAGAGATGCTGGAACTCACTATGAACGCCTTCCTTGTTCTCTTAGAATGGCAATGGTGCCCACCTGAGAGGTGCCAGAACTGAGTTCTGGTGAGTTCTGGCTGAAAAAGTGCTCTGCATGTAGTAAATGCCAGTCAGCCAAATTCAGTGCTCAGCTTGGCAATCTTGTTCTGTTGGCTACCCCTGATTTACACCATGTGGCTGTCCTCCAGCTGTTGTTGGATACACACCTCTCGTCAGTCCCAGTGTGGTGAATGGACAGGGATTATGGGAGTTGTAGTCCATCAGCCCCTGGTATAGAAGATAAGTAAATCTGAAGATGGTTACATTCTGTAGTTGCCCATCAAAGGCCATGCCAACTTTGGGACATGGTCTAGACATTTCAGATGAAGGCAGCTGTTTATCATCCTTCTCTTTCAATTATTTCATTCTTTTTTTTATCCAGTGTCCATCTGCTGAGCCGGGCACCTTTAAGCCCTGGTCTGTGAGAGTATGAATGAAGTAACCTCTAGGAACCATCTCCACACATCAAGCTGGTTTCACCTCAGGGGACCAAAAGGAAGCAATGACTCACTGCTGAAAACAGATCTGTGTTCCTGCACCTGCCCTGCAGATTCATGAAGCTTTATAATTTAATAGCTGAATCGTCCATTGCCTAAGGAAAGGGTTCCTGTTGGTGGAATACAGCTGGCATGAAAAGTAACAAAGAGGGGGAAAATGTATGGTTTTGTTCTCTGTGAAATCTGAAATCCTTACGTAGTTCATTTAAGCTCATGGCAAAGATCAGCGAAACCCGTTCGCCAATATGTTCACTTTTAAAGTGTAATCACGACATTCAATGAAATGCTAATTTGAATCGATTATGATGCAGCCAGTCCTCCCTTTTCAGTTTTCCATCCTTCATCTTTTGGATATATGATTGCAAGCAACAATGAGGGCAGGACCCCATTGCATCCTCTCTCTGAATCATAAGGATGTGGGAAGTTCATTAACATTTAGCTAATGAGATCCCAGCCTCCACTCCCACCTTCTACTTTGCGTTTGTATGCTGAGGATATGAGATAACACTGGAAGCAAATGCACAAGGGTTGGCTAATGATCCTCAATATAGTTACCGAGTAGGTAGATATGTTGATTTCAGTACCGCTTACTACAAGTGTGCTTGGAGCTGATGTTTAAGAGAGTTAGGGGGAAATACCTATTACCTAGGTGCTTATGAATTATGGAGAGCCAGTTTGCATCCCATAGTTAAGAGGGCCAGGTCCAAAAGTAGCCAGGATTCCTGTATCTTTTATTGGCTGTGCAGAACAGATGACAAGCTATGCCTGCTGAAATCCTCTCTTCTACACAACTATTAGAAGAGCAGTAGTCTTGCCCTGTTTGTGCATCCGGCCACCTCACTTATGGTGCATTCCCCTCAATTGGTTTTGCTGAAAGTAGACCAGGGTAAATTGGCTAGGTTGCAAAAATATGAATGTGTTGAGGCTCACAAGGGACTGCTTTCACACATTACTTGGCCTTACAGAGGGGTTATGAAAAACACTCCATCAGAAAGATATTTAGCTAGGCTTTCCTTTATATTCTTCCTGAGCTATGATGCTTTGTGCAGCAGGCACTAAATCCCATTTGCTAGCCGTTTGCAAATCTCCTAGAGTTACCATTATATCATTCTGCAAACTTGTCGTTAAAGTTTCAGGTGAACCCCTCCGAGTGAACTGAAGCAAATTGTACAGTTATATCTGAAATTTCATGCAGATTGCTGTGATCAGTTGACAAAAGACTGGTCCTTGAACGATGGCACAATGCAGAGAGTCTCGGCCAGTTGGCCAGGTTTGCTCCGAGATTGTCCTGTGTTTCCCAAAGGTGTATCAGTTCATAATAGAGCTGTTTGAATGAAAAGTCTGCACTCCATTTTCCTAGGCCGCACAATGTTGTATTTCCTATGCTAAACACCTCCTTTTCATATCAAAACAAAACAACCTTATGGGAACTAGCTCTCAGAGAGAATTAAACATGAACGTATCCACGAAATGTTCAGGAATCAGTGCACTGCATCGTTCAAGCAAATGGATTTGCATCATGCCTTTGGGATAGAGTTGTCTTGTTGACATTGGATGTGCTATATGAAAGCAGAGTGCTTTCTGGAACTTCTGAGACAGACGCATACTCAACATTCACGGATGCTTCATTTTCTTGATTGCCGATAGTAAATGGCGTTCTCACAATGTAAGAAAATAGCCTGCCAGAAGCAAATATGTGCATGAGCCAATGACAATTGAAACACTTGCTGCTTTTCTAAGGGTTTGCTTAGTATGCTAATATGCCCATCTTGACTTTGGGGCATTAAATGCTCTTCTGGAACTGTTTAATAATTATGAGCTGACACTATTGCCATTTACCAAAATGACTCCTAGCTGTTGATAGAGAACAATTTCTGTTCTGTTGAAATAAACAGATCAATCATGTCTCCCGCACTGGTGTTAACTCTCCTGACTTTTGTGGTTTATGTGGAGTGGGCATATTCAGAGTTCGTCCCCAGTGCAATAATTCTGTACTGCAGCTTAAAGTGTGACTTTCTCTCATGCCAGAAGATCCATCCTTGACAGTTTCTCTCATAAACCAACCCATGGCTTTTCTACAGGTTTCTGACCCATAAAAGGTTCTTTTTAACAGTACCTTTTGTAGGACAAAAGCTGAGGTTTCTCTCGCTAGTCTACATAATATCTTGCCAAGCATAGAAGCAAACTGAAAGCCTGTAGTGTGATATTCTGGAAAATATGAAGCAATAGTAACACTGACCTACAATTGTTAGTCCATGGTAACAACGACAAGTTACCAGGAAGCATGTAGTTTTGCTGAAACTGAGGACTTTATAGAATCTTTTAAATGAACTCTCTCATTAATTAGTGTCTTCATGATCTGAATGTATAAGAAACACTGCTTGAAATGAACTATTTGGGGGGGGGAATAAATGTGATTTGAAAAGCACTTTGCAAGTTTGCAAATTACTCACTAGGAAAATACTGTCATTATTATGGGGGCTCTACATTGTGGATGGCTGTGCCACAAAATGTTGATATGGAGGGCAGAAGATTTTCTTGCCCTTTGCATTGGCATTCCCTATCCTAAACACAGTCATTTATAACACCACCCAATTTATAACATGAGAAGAATGTCAAGCATGTACACATATGGGAGAAGACAAAAGGCCGCACATATCGAAATGAGGTAGACAGGAGGCCAAATCTCCTCCCGACTCCTGATTACCTCAGAATCGATCCTTGTTGCTTCCTGCATCGCTCCATCGTGGGTCCTGGTCACTTATAAAGCAGGGAAAGAGAACCTGATTTAAGTCCCTGCTCTTAAGTCAGTACTACTAATTGGATGGTTTAGTTCCATTCCATTTAGTCGAAGGCCTTTACTAGGAACTGCAGGGGAACACAGTGCTGTTGTGCTTGTGTCCTGCTTTTGGGCTTCCCACAGGCATCTGGCTGGCCACTGTGAGAACAGGATGAGCCATTGGCCTGATCCAGCAGGCCTGTCTTACGTGGCCCCCCACATGCTGTTAGACAAGCTCCCATCAGCCCCATCAAGCATGGCCCAATGGTTGGGGATGCTAGGAGTTGTTATCCAGCAACCTTTTAAGGGCTGCAGATTCCTTTCTCATGTTCTAGGGCATGTAATAGCAGTTCAATTGCTATGGAAGCAATTACCTAGAGTGGGGTGGACTCTTCCCCACTAGAGGTCTTGAAGCAAAGGCTACACAGCCAGTTGTTGGGGGTTGTTTCAGCTCTGGCTTTCCTGCATCCAGCAGAGAGTTGGCCTATATGGTTTACTGGACATCTCACCTTGATGGTTCTATGCCAGAATCTTAGAGCAGAATATCGTGCGCCACGTGTGGGAAGAACATGTGCACAAAAACAGTTCCAAAAACTAGTGTTAATAGTGCTTTAAACTCCCATAGTGTTTCTCTGTTGGGAGCTGCCCAGAGTGGCTGGGGAAACCCAGCTGGATGGGTGGTATATAAATCATCATCATCATCATCATCAAAGTATTCCAAAAACAACCATGAACTTACTGCCCTTTAAGCACTGATTAAAAAAGGAATACAGTGTTACCAAAACCAAAGCGTTCCAAAAGCAAGGTTTTCGGCGTTTGAGAACCAAGGCATTTGAGAACCAAGGTGTTTTGGAACCAAGGTACCACTGTATGGAAGGAGGGGTTCTCAAAAGATTGAATGGATACCAGATACAGTAAGGATGGATGGATTAGGTTTTATTATGGCCACAAACTAAGAAATATATATATGGGAAAATAACACAATCAGAACACAGCCTGTGAAGAAAACATAAGATTCACAAGAGAGCCAGCAGAAAATTTACTTTATCACCTGCTTCCTAAGAAGTATACGCACACCATTCATTTTGTTCATCACTGCGAAACTTGTATTAGGTCAGCAACTGGAGACCTGTAAGTAAAATCCAGCCCTGGGAGGTGCTGCATGTTCCATGTTGCCAACCTAGAGGCAAGAGATATGGGGAAAGTGCCATTTATGGCAATAAAACATATATGGAGTTCACTATAGCAGGCTGAGTTTGACCAAACTGCGGGAGGCAGTGGAAGACAGGAGTGCCTGGCGTGCTCTGGTCCATGGGGTCATGAAGAGTCAGACACGACTAAACGACTAAACAACAACAAAATAGCATGCTGAGGCTGCACGCTCTTTCTCACTCATGCTTTCAAAGTAGCTCTCCAGGAAAAATAGATACTGACCAGGAATCCCTGCTGACCAACGAGTAACGTAGATCCCCATTCTGTATACAAAAGAGGCTGTCACTAGACCAGCTAATTTCTGCTGCATTTGTCCTTGATCACAGTAAAGGCCTTTCTCTGTTCTTCCAGCCAAAACAACCCTAACCACTTCCTGGAATGCAAGTGAGGTTCCAGAGCAAACTGCGGGGAAAGCGAAATGCTTGATAGTCAAACCGGAAAAAGTGGCATAGTCCTTTCCTCTCCCTGAGGGACAGTTGGCTGAGCATCTGCTCTTCTAGCCAGCGATAGGTCCACCGGATTTTGGAGTCTATGAACTCGGGGATCCGGATATTCTCCGGAAGCCCAGCCCGGAGCATTAAATGGCGCACCTCGTTGTCAAGGAACCCAAACATTATTACGTAGTCATACCGCATGAGGCACGGTCTGCACAGACTGACCGACGGTGTCCACTCCATGCTGCGATTCCTGGACCCGCTGTATAAGATGTACTGAACGAACTCCTTGAAGTTTAGGCCGTCTGCCATCCCATGCATGTAAGCGGAGATAAGTCTCTGGAAAGGCTCCCTGACAAACATCACTTTGGTGTAGGACTGCATTATAGCCTCCATGGAGGTCCGGTTATACTCACTCAGTGCCTTTTGGCTGCCAAACTGCTGGTGGTGAGGAATTGGCAGCTGCAGGCTAACGTTTTTCTCCAGAAGCATCTCCAACAGCCGCTCCCAGCCTTCCACCCCAGTGGCTGGGGTTTTGCAATACAGGAAGTGCAGTTTGTGGTCCACCATAATTGAAGACAGGGCCTGGGAAGCTTCCTGTTGGGTAGGTGGGAGTCGGGTGATTTTACCTCTTTCGCTGCAGAAGGACCTCAGCGCCTTTTTCCTGAGCTGCTGAATATGCAGGAGACTGTCAAATGTCTGTGGGGCATCTTCTTCCGCATCCTCCATGGCCAATCTGCCTGCAAAATAGGATCGGAGGAGGGAGCGGAGTTTGTCTGTGCAAGGGAAGGGTGCTAAGGACTGTGGACCTGGGATTAAATTATTCTCACTGGCTTGCACGGCAGCAGAATTACTATTGAGTTGTTTTATTGCCTATTACTAATCGAAATAGAGTCCCCTTATATGTGCTTTGTTTTTTAGATGCCATGCATGAATCTGTCAAATGCTTTCAAATTATTATTTCGTTATCTTATTGCATTTATATCCCATCTTTCCCTCCAAGGAGCTTGAGGTGGTGTACCTGGTTCTCCCGCCCCCATTTTATCCTCACAACAACCCTGTGAGGTAGGTTAGGTGGAGAGGCAGTGACTGGCCCAATGTCACCCAGTGAGCCTCATGGTTGAATGAGGATTCGAACACTGGTCTCTCAGTTCCTAGTCTAGTACAATAACCACCACACCACACTGGCTCTCCAGTCAATGTGAATGTTAAATAGAAGACTAAAAGCACATATAATTTATTTGAGTAAACAGGACCAAGGAATGGGCATTTATGAATATCTCACCATATGAGATATTCTACAGAACTACCACAACTACTACAGCAAAAGGCTACAGAGGTGCGAAAAGCTTCCTCTGTCAGAATCCTTCATTCTAAATAATTATTAAAAGTACAACCCCTGTCCTCTAGTACGCTTGATGACTGAACTCAAAGGCACTTGGCAGAACGAGAATACATTGGTGGACTGCATTAGGCTATAATTGTTTCTCGGATTGTCTTCTTATGGTAGCGGTGAATCCTACCTTGGTTCTGTCGTGTGTTTCTCCAGAGAAGGTGGCTCCACCACAACAGGGAAATGAAACCCAGAGAAGCTAAGGTGAGGAGTCGAGCGAGGAAGCGCATGATCTTGTCTGCGCTATCAAAGTGAATGGCTGCTAATGGAAGCAGAGAAAGCAACCTGAAGCAATGTCAGCAGGAGTCCCCTTGAGTGTTTACTCTGGGATGAAGCAACTGCGAGGGTCAGGTTAAAGTACTGTTTGTACATTCGTGGGCATTGCCTGCTTATCTGACTCTCAGGAAAACTGGGACTGATTGAAGAGCCCCAAATCATAGCTGTGCTTCCAACATACATAAGAATGATATAGCATGGGAAACTACAAACAGCTTCAGGTGTCTGTGGGGAATGGCCAAGGCTGGCATCTTAATCTAAATGGAGCCATTTATCCTCTTAATACATAGTTGTAAATGAAGCCTATGAACATCCCACCTAGACATTTGGGATGCTTTGGGGAAACCACACGCTTTAAATAGATGTGAATGGCTCTCCGATTGCTTTCTTCTGCAGAATATTTGTTATTGTTTCTAATAAAGCATTTTTAGCCACCCTTCAGGGCTAATACCTTTAAGGCGGCTTACAATACAATAAAAACTATTTTAAATGCAACAGATTGATAACCCCAGCTTTAAAAAAAGGAAATACTTCAATTACCTTCATTTCCCCATTGCACCCTTATATTTCCATCAAAGGGTGCTCAAACCATGATACTTTTAAAAAGCTGTGGATGCCAAAGCATCAAAAATTGTGGATTGCCTAAAAGGTATCGCCCATTTCCTCTCCTACAGACATGTCTATGTGTGTTTTTAAACAAAGATTCAGTATGTGAAGATTTTGATGGAAACAATTCTTACATTCAAGAACAAGGAAAGGAAAGGCTTGCCTGCTGAAATTACCTTCAGAAGACTCAGAACCTCACACTGAGCTTCATACTTTCTGGCTAAAAACAGAAGATGCACCAAAGAGGCTTACATGGAAAGGTGGAATTCACTGATTTTACAGGAAAATTCAGGGGGTGTTCTGGCTAGCTTGCAGACTTTTGCAGTTTAGTAGCATGGCACACAGTGGGGAATGGGGCACAAAAGATTGCCCCAAACTTATCGAGTTCACACTTTAGAGCTATCACTTAGGCACTGCCGAAAAAGAGGACACAGATCTGTATAAAAACTGCAACTGCTAATTTATAGGGCACAGATACAAATTTATTTATCAATTTAAATACAGAGTACATCTCACCAAGGTGGAGAATAAGACTGTGATCAGGATGAATGCATAAACATAAGTCATGATAAATGCATTGCAATAAGCTTGTTTTTACACACTGAATATTTATTGTTAATTTTTTTATAGTTATATAGCCAACTATCAACACATCTCCCCTGGGTGGCTTACAGGACAAAGTCTAAAATACAATATTGACATACAATGCAATCAATGAAAACAATAAAACGCAGCAAATAACTTTCATTTTTGTCAGAGAGAAATACAATCCTTCAACAAACAGCTGGATAAAATAAAAACACAGGCCGCAAAATCAAAGCCCAGGTTTTAGTTGCTTTACAAAGCTAGTTGTTTAAAGTCCCAGGTGAATAAGTTTCACTTGATAATGGAAAGACCACAGAGAAGGCACCAGCAAGAAGGTCCTCTGCTTAGTAGCCCCCACCTCATCTCAATTGGGGAGGCAGGAGCTTTGAAGAGAATCTTGTTTGCCTATAGAATATTAGTGCAGGTATAAAACAAGTTATTTTGTTCTGTCTTCATCCACCTTCTCAGCATCAACAAAACCCACATAGACTCGAACCTCTACCCAGACACCAACTAAATAATGGGGTGGAGAAAGAGGAATGATGCGAAATAAGGCTGAGAAAGAGCAGCAGAAAATACCTTGGCTATTCTGTCTGGACAAGGTTCAGAATACTTATCCTAGAGGCCTGCTGGGTCAGATGAAAGCTCTGTGCAATGCAGCATTCAGTACAGTGGCCAACCAGATACCTATGGGAAGCCCACAAGCAACAGCAAGATCACTGTCCTCTGACTGATGTGCAAATGGGTGCTCTGGGGACAGATGTCTTACATGGGCTGAACAGACAATGAAAGAGTAGAGACTTGTCATTTCTGTTGTAACATCAAGATCAGTGATGGAATGTAAACACACTAAATGATATTAGTCCAAAACCATGCTTGACCATAATTCAAAGAGATGTGAAATGCACTGTCCCGTTTTAGGGATAGGAAATGCCAGGAAGAGCTGCTCCCCTTGTCAAAAACCTTGATCCCCTGCCTCTGATCTTGCCATCATTTCCTTGCAAGGGACTCACTTGAACTCCTAACCTCTCACTCTTTCTACCCCATTCTCCCAGCTGCACCGCTGTTCTCAGACTAAAGTCACAGAAGTACAGCGGCACAGACTTACAAACTGGCACCCCGTTAACTAGAAAAGGATTTAAGGCTCTTGATTCGAACCTAACATTTCCAAAGCATTGGAATGATGTGGCATTTTCAGTGCAGGTTTCTCACCAAGAACCTATAAGAAAATGCAGGTGCCTAGGGGGGTGATTTTCCCTTGGACTGCTTCTCCAGAGATATTCTGCAGACAAATGTGTACAGTAAGCCCACAACATACATGCATTTAACCTGTGCACATTCAGTTTTAAGTAGCTGGCAAAACAAAACAAAACAAAAAATTAAAAAGGGCATAGAAAGGGGGCAGGTATCGGGGATGTGTGTGTGTGTGGCTTTGGCAATTCCACTTGCCATTGAACCCACTGTGTCTTGACTATACATGCTTTTGGCTTTCCAGAAAGAAACCCCCTTGTAAATTGTAGGCTTCCTGTACTCAATAATTTTTTTTTTAAAAGGCACAACAGACAGGAAGGCTGAACAGAAAGTAAAGACTATTTCACAAAAATACTAGGTATGTTTTAAGCACAACTCCCACCCAGAGTTTTGGGGTCTATCAGGGATTAGAATGCTTTTCTAAAGCATCAGGGATATATGCAACAGGAATTTCAGACATTGCTTGACTGAACAGTGACAGAAACTATCACAAAGCTTTCCAGATCCCAGCCAACTTTGCACCTTCAATCTGTATCAGTTCTTATCAACAAATACATGGAAGCCTGGAAGATACCAGGACAGAGCTAGTTGCATCTCATCATGAGAAAGTACTGGGGCTTTGCTTCACATCAGTTTCCTCTTCACATCTGAAAACAGTTCTAAGCCAAAAGGTGACCTAGCATCACTGCAGGCACAACTTTGGTACATTCCCTTCCCTTCCCTTCCCCGTTCCCCATTTTCTTTCTGGTGGCTTCTCACCCAGCTAGTTTCCTCTTAGATGGGGGGATGAGATGGGATGGGAGGTTCCCAGGAAGCTCATGACCTTCCAGCTTCACTTTTATAAGATGATTCGCCAAAGCAAATTCCTCATCGTCCAGCATCCCATCCTCATCGATATCAGAGAGTTTCCATATCTTGCCCAGCACTGAGTTAGGCAGCTTGGACTTCACCATCTCCCTTTTGGCATTGGCCCCGGTTATTTTCCCATCAACGGGCGATAGCGTGTAGAAGATCTCGTCGTACAGGGGCTTATCTTTGGCCACCACCCAATCGGCGTCATCAATTCCTTCTCCTGCCCCTTCCCCATAGCCATGTCCAAATGGGCCGTGGAGGGTGCCTTCAAAGGCTCCCCCTTTCACCATCTGAGCAGGCCTCCGGGACTCCTCCTGACGCACCAGGACCATGAGCTGAGCGATGTCATTGGTCAGCATATCCTCTACTGCATCCAGCAACTTGGTCTTTAGGGGCTGGAACTTGCTGAAATCCTGAGCTTCAAGCTGTTCCTGAAAAGAACGTCACAAACAGAAAGGGGGGGCGGCGGTGAGGACTGTTTTATTGTTCAGTGTACCATTCAACATAAGAGGAGTGGCTACAACAATCCAGACAGATCCCCTCTTCATTTGCTATCAGCTGCTTATTGAATACTTTTATATTTCAGTCAGCCGTATGGTGTGTGTTTTAAAATGCTACCGACCCTGGCTTTTTACAGCTTTTGATTCTAACGTCGTGATCCTTTCAATTTTGTTTGCCGATCGCTATTTATAGATCTGTGCTCATTTCTATTTTTATATTGCTTCAGTGTTTGCAATCGTCTATTCTGTAAGCCACTGTGAATAACTTTGTGGGAAAGTGGAGGAAAAGTAATAAGCTAAACCAAGCCTATTGCTATTGTTAGCCTCACACTATATAAATCTGCCTACTTAGAAGACCACCTCATGCATCTGACAAAGTGAGATTTGGCCAGCGAAAGCTTATCCTGCATTGTGTGTGCTGTCTTTTGGGTGCCATGGGGCACTTATGTTTTGACTACGACAGACTAAGATGTCTGTCATTCTGGCTTTTAGAAGCACAGCGGCTTTTCCCCCTCACAATAATATTCTAAACGAAAAACTAGGTTGTCTTTCAGGTTAAAACATTCCTTTTGAACCAAAATGTCCCAACAGAGCAGAGGTTGGTGAAACCAGCCTCCGATGGGGGCACACCAAAATCACCTATCAAACTACGGAGTGTATGACATATCTCTGTGTGGCGATGCGCCACTGTGATCGTGGCAAGCTCAAACATGAAAGTAGCTTCCAGCCCTTCTTGCACTGTGGCTCAAAGGTGATTTTTTGGGGTGTGTGTGTATGTGTGTACATGTGCCAATACAGCTCCTTTCCAAGGGTGCAAGGGACCCTAGGTATGCCTCTGCAACAGACGCAGCAGCAGTGTTCATCTTTGCTCCAAACCTATTCTGTGCAATTGAAATGGAGCAGATTCTGCCATGATTCTTGGATTATTGTTTCTGGCCCTCACCTGCATCTTCTTCAGATTAGGAAAGTCTCCTGGTGAAATCTGATGCTCCTGTACGATCCGTCCATAGATCTCCCTCAAATTGTTCACGAGTTCTTTCTTCTTATTGTCTTTGCCAAACACCGATGGCATTTCCTTCTTAAGTGAGCTAATGATGTACGCATGAACCTAAGGGCATTTCAGAGGGTGGATACATATTTTATGCATTTGCAACAATGGGATCACCAGAACACAGCTAACATAACGTACCCTCCCAACGGATCATCTGCGCTTCATTCTCATTTTTTCTCCCTTCTTTTTCCTTTCCTACAGCATTTCATAGTTACAAATTGCTTTATAGTTTTTCTGCCTCATTCATTCTCACTATGACTCTGAGGGTTGTTTGGGCTGAGAGGCTGTGATGTGCCCATCAAGTATGTATCAACAATCAACAATGACCAACTAGCCAACCAACCATTGTGAGAGCTGCCATGAAATTGTTGATACTGTTGGAGATAGATGTGGTGGTGTGGATTCAAACCTCCATTCTGCTGTGGAAATGCATTGGGTCTGTCAGTCACACTTTCTCAGATTCTGAACGTGAAGAAAACCCACCCCATGTAAGATCCCCATGGCAATTTTGTAGGATCACCCAACATCCTGCCTCTGTTTGCGGTACTTCTCTGTGGCTCAGACAGGGATAAACTGCCCTCGAGGATAAAATTGAGGCCCCTGAGATTTCTCACTTTCAAATCTAGAATTTTGCATAGGATCCCAGTCTGATCTTTATTCACTTTTCATTGGGTACTACTACAACAGTATTATTACTATTGCTACAAGGGAAGACCAATGACTATGAACAGTGGTTCTTTTCCCCCCAGGGTATTAAGTGGCCATTGTGCCTGCATTGCTTGTGCATCTCATGCCATGCTTTGAACTGACCTAATCTAGTTACGCCCGGGATCTAGCTCCACTATAAATCCACCCTATGGGCATATTTTGTCATCCACACTTGCGCAATAATGGCATGCAGAGGATTTATAGATTTCGATTTCTGTGCAGTTTTGGGACTGATTTCTTCCTTGCTAATTCCTCCATGACGGGGATGAACTTACTGCCAGCCTCCCTACAGAAAACTTCCTTCTGCGTCCAAATACCAAACTACCTCAAGAAATCAAAAAGAATTACAATCTCAATTTTGACCACATAGGTGGGAAACTGTTTTAACTGCTATAACAAGTCTCTGGATCTTAGACTGAGGCTCATACAACAAAAAATAATATTTAGAATATGCTGGACCCAATAACGTTTGTTTAAAAAAGGGCTATCTAAGGTATCTAACTGTTGGAGATACAATAGGGACAATGCTTCTCTGAAACATATGTTTTTTCACTGTCCTATATTGAAAGATTTTTGGCAGAAGGTAACTGAAACCATCAACAGAACTGTATGGAACAGCCTTACATTTACAGAGCAAAATATCCTCTTGAATTATATACCCAGCATATGGAACCTTACAAAAGGACAATATGAGTGGACTCTCCGTGTCCTTACCACAGCAAAAAGACACATACTGATGAATTGGGAAAATAAAAATGCGGCTCCCTTCTACAATTGGATTGAAGACATATAAACTCACAGCATATAAACAACTCACATATAACCGCAGACTTGCCATGGACAAATTCAATGATATTTGGAATCCATTCTTACAATACAGTACTGTAATAGGTTAAGATCTGGTGAAGTACAACAACAACCTTGTAAAATATACAGTTTTGGGTTCCCCCCTCCCCCCTTTGTTTTCCCTTCTGCATGGGTTCTGTTTCTCTTTTTCATTTTCTCTTTTTTGTTTGCGTCTCACCATGTCTGGTGCACATATAGCTATGTACTTTTTGAACTTTCAGTAAAGATGTTTTAAAATAATAATAATAAAAGAAATCAAAAAGTAAAGCCTGGGCAGAGCCACTTGGAGAGACTCACCTTGGCTAGCCGTGCCCGTTTAATGAGATCATTCAGTTTCCGAAGAGCAGCATTGCGGGGCAAACTTTGGATATCTTTGAAGAGATCTTGCTCCTCTGCCTCAAAAAGCTTGCGGTTATCTGGGATGAGCAACTGGTGTGACCAGAAGGAACCGATATAGACTCTAACTACCTCAGGCGTGTTGACAATCTTCCCCAGAGACCACATGAGAGCGCCATAAACCCTCATAAGCTGTTGGGTCTCGATCTGGTCTGCTTTGTTGAGCACGACCCTCATTTTATCTTCATGGTTCTTCAGGGCTTTGATGACTTCCGAGAACTCGTCCGAGATGTCTAGCTTGTGGGCGTCAAAGAGGAGAATGATGCGGTCCACCCGCTCGGCAAACCACTCAAGGACAGCAGCAAAGTCATAACCTTTTGGGAAAAGAAGACATCCCCATAAGAACAGAGACAAGGCCGTATGGCAGGGGAACCTTCTGCAGTCTGAGGGCCACATTCCTTTCTGAGCAGCTCTCTGGGGGCCACATTCAGTTATTTAATATAATCTTGCAAGGTGGTGGAGATCTGGTAACATGGTTTACAGCTAGAATCATAGTTATTCCAACACCTGGGGAAAGATAGGCAAATGGTGGGCTCCAACTGGTCCATCACTTTACTTAGATCATAGAATTGTAGAGTTGGGGGTCATCTAGTCCAACCCTGTGCAATGCAGCAGTCTTTTGCCTAACATGGGGCTCGAACCCATAACCCTGAGATTAAGAGTCTCATGCTCTACTGGCTGAGCTATCCCAGGGTCTTAGCCAAGACCAGAGGCTCTACACTTCTATTTTGGCAGCTAGGCTGAACGGGATAATTTCTCTTCTTTAAGCCCCCTTAACAAACTATTGTTCCTAGAATTCTTTGGGGGGGGGGGAGCTACACACTTTAAACATATACTGTGGATGTGACCATAGCCCAAGGCTACATTTTAAAGGTCCTAGCATCACGTTTTAAATTAGCAGTTAGAAACAAGCTCTCCAGTGCTGTGATAGTAAGAAGCTGCAAGTGAGTTGCTGCTGTTAAAATTATGGCTTTATCTAGGAGTGTGGCACAGCTGTGGCGACAGTTGCCTAGCTTACACTAGGCCAGATGGCCTGACCATTTCCCCTCACTTCCTGTGAACATACCAGGAAGCCTTAATCTGCACATGCTAGCGTTGCCTCTGTTATGTAAGCCACTCAATATCAGAAGCTAAATTTGGTGAAAAGTCTTTATTTGATTTCATCATTAAATTTATATCCCACCTTCCCTCAAAGGAGCTCATGGTGGCATACATGGTCCCCCCTCCCCATTTTATCCTCACAACAATCCCGTGAGATAAGTTAAACTAAGAGACGGTGACTGGCCCCAAGGTCACCCAGTCAGCTTCAAGGCTGTGTAGGGATTTGAACTCTGGTCTCCCAGGTTCTAGTCCAATACTCTATCCACTAAGCCACACTGACTCTCTACTTCAACCAAGTCTTGTGACTAAAGTCTCTGCTTTCGTTTAATGCACAATCAAGTTTTCAGATCCAATTAAGGAAAGTATCTCAGCAGGCCAAAATTCTCAAGAGCAATCTAAATGTGTAATTAAGCACACTTGAATTGTTATTAAACAATCACAGGGTGTTGTGGGGCCAATGAAGTTGAAGAATTCAACCATTTTAGTTAGGCCTGGACCATTTGGTGATTTTACCTTCTAGATCAATCCTACGTTTTCTTTGATTAGACTGAAGCCAAACCCACAATCCCAAATATTTAGTAACAGCAACCCTGTTTAAAAGACCCCCAATGCAGTGCATATGGTGAGGATTAGTTTGCTACATGCCTGAATAGCTCATTGCTCTTTTCAAAGCATTTAGCTTTATGAACAAAATAGCCAAGGCTATAGAAAGCAGGTGGCTGCTCTGATGTAAATACCTCCATATGGGCATCTGTGCAGACTGCTATAACCCATTTCTTTGGCTGGAGGAAAATGAAATCAGACACTTGTTAAATGAAGAAACCTGGACAATGGAAATCTGGATAACAAACAGCCCATCTAGAGGATGCTTGAAGGAATAATGGCCTAAACGAACAGGCCTTGTGTCCCAAAAGGACAACAGCTATTTCCTAGACTCATAGAACTGTAGAGTTGGAAGGGACCACAAGAGTCATCTAATCCTGATAAACACTGATTTCTAGTTGAGGGAATATTTGTGCAGAAATTTTTAGAAAATATTGTATTTCTGGTTATTTTTTTAACATGGCAAACAAACTCAGGAGAACTGAAAGAAGAAAATGATATAAATCAAATAATATAATAATTACACACATTTACTTTAAGCTTGTAACTTACAATGGACACATTCATAGAAGTTAATTGGTGCAGGTTCCAAACTACTGGGCCTGAGGGGGAAGCATCTCAAGTTTGAATGATCTCCCATTTTGAAAAACATGCCTACACACAGAAATGAAGTATAAGGTTCCAGGTGTTGTTGGACTACAACTCCCATCATCCCCATCTAGCTTGGCCAGTGGTCAAGGATGATGGAAGTTGTAGTCCAGCAACGTCTAAGAGCACCACATTGTCTACCCCAAGTGAGGTTAAGACTCTTTCCCCTCAACAGTGCATGACTCTTCTCTGTGTTGAGGATTTTTCATATTGCGGAAAGCATTCAAAACATGAGCTATTCCCTTCTGCTGCAGTGGTGCAGTAAATTTTACCTAGGAGATGCAGAAAGTCTGTCCCGATTTCCCCTCTGAGATCTGTTTTAAAGCTTTCTAGAACATTCCACATCAATGATCAAATGAACAGTATTGTGAGGCCGCCATCTTGACTTGTGCATTTTGAAACAAGTCATAAGCTGAAACCAAAAGAACTGCACCTATGTTAATCCGCCCCCTCCAAAATAAGAAGCTGCACCTTTACCTTACCTCGGCTTATTCTTTGTTTCTCCCCTGAAAGGATCCCTGGTGTATCAATAATACTGATACTCTCCAAAACAGGATTTGGCAGCTGAGCACACATAAATCTACGGAGAGAGGTGAAGGGAAGGGAAAAACACAATAAAACGTTACAGCAAGTACAATATTTGGGTGGAGTGGGGAAGATAACAGATTTTAACAATGTGAATTTTAACGATGACTGCTTAGATGCCTACTTTGGCATTTCATGGCATATAAACACACACATACGGTAAATAAATAAAAAACGAGTGTCTACCTGCCAAATATTTTTTGGAAGCTGGACATTTTATATAAGATGCCTGTCAAAATCCAGACAAAACCAAGCGCTTGCTCATTGGGGATCAGCTCTTTATTCACAACCCTACATTTTTGAAGTATGAAACGTCTTCAGCAGGAATAGAATGCTTATTCATGCAAAATGTTGCATGTCAGTCTTCAGATTTATGTGCAAATACAAGGGCAGAAGAGGGTCCACTGGTCCAGGCCCCTGCATCCAGGCAGGAGCTGTCAAAGCTGACAGTCAGAAAAAGAGATCAGTCTATGCCACCCAGATTATAGAATGCTAAGCACGAGTTCCCATTATTTAATGTGCAGAGAAAAAGATAATGAAGATTCTTTAGCAGGTTACCACAATATGAAAATATATCAAGATTTTAAAATTTAGTATGATGATTAAAAAACAACAACCAGAGCTAGAGAAAAAAAAGGTAGGATTTCTGGAATAAGAATCTGGTAAGTGTTTGGGATATGAAGCTTCATATGCACATACTGCTACATTAAAAGATATAAATAGTAGGAGTGACTAGTATAATTTACATTGTGTTTCAAGCACATATGTGTATTTCCAGCGCAATCCTTGGTGAGGTATTCAAGTTCTCCACTCTAGCTATTTGAATCATATTAAACATAAATCTCTTTGCATGAACAAACAAAGCATCTTCTTTCAAAACCCATCTTCCCACATCAAGTGGCATGCAGTCCTGTTCATCGCCTACCTTCATTCTATCACAATTATATGCACCACCCCGATCTATTCATTACTGACGAATCAGCAGAAAACAGTACTAAAATTTCAACACTGAAGCATAACACTATCCTTTGATCGAGGGACGTGGGTGGCGCTGTGGTCTAAACCACTGAGTGTCTTGGGCTTGCCAATCGGAAGGTCGGAGGTTCGAATCCCCGTGACGGAGTGAGCTCACGTTGCTCTTTCCCAGCTCCTGCCAACCTAGCAGTTCGAAAGCATGCCAGTGCAAATAGATAGATCGGTACCGCTGTGATGGGAAGGTAAATGGCATTTCCGTGCACTCTGGTTTCCGTCACGGTTCTCCGTGCGTCAGTAGTGGTTTATTCATGCTGGCCACATGACCCGGAAAGCTGTCTGTGGACAAATGCCTGCTCCCTCGGCCTGAAGTGAGATGAGCGCCGCAACCCCAATAGTCGCCTTTGACTGGACTTAACCATCCAGGGGTCCTTTACCTTTACCTTTTATCAGTGTGGTGTAGTGGTTAAGAGTGTGGTGTAGTGGTTAAGAGAAGTAGACCCGTAATCTGGTGAACCGGGTTCGTGTCTCCGCTCCTCCACATGCAGCTGCTGGGGGACCTTGGGCCAGTCACACTTCTTTGAAGTCTCTCAGCCCCACTCACCTCACAGAGTGTTTGTTGTGGGGGAGGAAGGGAAAGGAGAATGTTAGCTGCTTTGAGACTTCTTTGGGTAGTGATAAAGTGGGATATCAAATCGAAACTCTTCTTATCCCTTGATCTGCAGCGGGCTTACTTCAATCATCTTCACAAATGGGTAAACAGAAACAGGAACCCGCGGAGGCTACTGTACATTCAGAAGGTAGAACAGATGTGAGAGCGGCTGAGTCACGGGGAAAGGAAAGAGTGCCAATGCATGTCTGAAGGAGCATGTTGCCAGTTTCCATCCTTAACTGGGTGCCCTCCAGCTGCTATTGGACTACAACTCGCAGCAGCCCCAGTCACTGTGCTCAGTGATTATGGATGAAGGAGAGGTGCAAGTCCCACAATCTCTGGTGAGATAGGAGGAGGGCGAGTTATTATTATGATTATGATATATTTATTTGTACCCTACCCTCTCCCCATGACGAGACTAAGGCCAAAAATAAGAACTGCTAGAAACTTTGCGGGGGGGGGGGGAGAAACAATCATTAGAAAACAAGTAAGCATTGATAGAATTAAAACTATATATATGTGTGTGTGTTTGTGTGTATGATCTATTACAAACCATATAAATAATTACAATAAAAACAGCATAGCACCAGTTACAGCTACAGCTGCTGCCTGCATCCAAAGGCTTTTGTTCTTCCATTCGGTTCCACTCTGTCAGGCAAGAAGGAACATGAACTTTCAAGAACAACGCGCATAGATTTCTAGGGAACAGGAAAAACATTTTAGCCATTTCTAATCTGGCTGCTTGTTCCGCATACCATACATCTTAAAGAACTGGGTGGGAGGGGGAGGGAACTCGTTAAATCATCCAGAATCCACTGTCTGCCAAAGGTTCTTCCTTCTTCCTAAACCACTAGAGTAATGCATATCTCTAGAATATTCAAGTCATGACTCACATTGTACAGTTTAACCCATTTCCCCAGCAAAGAGCAGGACGAACTGGGTGAGTGGCAGAAACTTTGCAGAATACCAGCTTCATTGCAGCATGGTCATTTGTTGACTTTGACGATAAGAAGAACCAAAGGACCATGTAGACCAGCATCCAGATAGCACAGAATTCTAATTAGCGTACTTTTCTCTGTATAAGACTTGTTTTTTTCCTGTAAAAATTATGCTAAAAAGTTGGGGTCGTCTTATACATGGATAGTGCATAGGGTGGATGTTTGATTGGTTGCTGCCGTGGCTGTCAGCGGCTGTTGGGCATGTAATTGGTTGCTGCGTCACTGGTTGGCACTGATTGGCTGACGCTGCGGCAACTGGGCGGGCGATTAGCAGCTTCTGCCGGCGAGGAGACAATAGGTGAAATTTGTGTCACATGCGGGGTGTGCAATTTTTTGGCAACCCCCCCAAAGAAAGCTCAAAAACTCTGGGTAATCTCCCCCCCATTTTCTTAAATTTGAGTCCCCCAAAATAGAGGGTGCCTTATTCATGGGGGTGTCTTATACATGGAAAAGTACGGTAGGTCTGCCTCTCCGTTCGATTCCCATGCTCCCCACCAGAAAGCTGTGTCTACTAGCCCGGGCGCTTAGGGCCACAGTTTCCAATCTCAGTTTGTTGCCTCTCCGCTTTTTAAAAAGATGTTTCGGTTACAAAGAGGTGGAGACCCTGGCAGCAAACATAAGAAGAGTCTTGCTGGATCAGGCCAAGACCCATCTGGGCCAGCATCCCATTCTCACAGTGGCCAACCAGATGCCTATGGGAAGCCCGGAAGCAGGACCTCAATGCAGCAGCACTTTCTCCACTTGTGAGCTCCAGAGGCTCCACGGTGGAGGCAGAACATGACCACCACGGCTATTAGCCACGTTCCCTGCCCTAGAGCACGGTATCTCGCATTGCTCCCAGCAGATCGCAATGCCCAGCTATGACCTCCTTTGTTTATGTTCATTTCCCACAAAAAAAGTACGCTTTGTCTAAGTTCTTTTCAGAACTACTGAAATAAATGCACCTAAGTTAGTCATATCTCTTAACATCAATATTTCCACTCCAAACAGGACAATCACTCGCTATAACCTATGTGGGGATAGATGGTAAAACAAATTAGTGCTGGCCTGCTCCATTTCAGGAGCAAGATTTATACTTATACATTTTACTTTTTGTTTTTTAAACTTTTATTTATACTTTGCAGATTTATACATTTCACTGATTTTATAATCATTTTAACATTTTAAAACTTGACTTCCTTCCCCCTCTTTCTGTGGTTCCTTAAATTTATTTTTAATATCTTCTGCATATCCAAATTAGCTTACTCATTTATTTATTTTCTTTAAATATATACTCTTATGTAGCTGCAGGTTATTACAATAATCCTGCCATTGTTTTTATCTGTTTACAATTTATCTGTAAATATTAAATAGACCATTTCCATTCTTTTATAAAAAGTTTGTGTCAGGGAACTGACATCGGAGCTAGAGGCGGAGGGGAGGCTCTCAAATGATGCTGGAGAAGGGCCCAGCAGGGAGAGAGGCAGCTCAGCAGATGGGGAAGCAAATAAGCGCAACACCAGAGATAAAGGGGGGCAGATGGGGGAATCGGCGAGAGGGCTCCAGGACTCTTCACCGGACACCAGCGGGGAGAGCCCGGGTCCTCTGCTACCCACGCCCTCCCTGCGCAGAAGGCTTCCGCGCAGGGAGAGTAGGAGGAGACTTGGCGTCAAACAACTTTTATGTTGGAAAAGGTTTAAGAAACGCCCACTGACGGATTCTGCTAGTGACTGAGGCAGCCACGAAGTGAAGGGCTGTCCAGACAGAAAGGTTTAAACAATGCAACATAGCCAGGAGAGGCGGCAACTTACGCACGAGCAACCCATACTCATTACAGTTTGTTATCTTGATTTCTTATTCTTCCAGTAAGTTTTGCCATTTCTGCATATTCCATAAGTTTTTGTATCCATTCTTCCTTTGCTGGGACTTCTTCTTTCCATTTTGAGGCAAGTTACAATCTTGCCGCTGTAGTTGCATACATGAATAAATTTCTATACAATTTAGGTATCTATCCCTAAAATTCCCAAGAGAAAGGCTTCTGTGGTTTTTTTTTTTTTTACAAATGTTATTTTAAACATCCTTTTCATTTCATTGTATATCATTTTCCAATAAGCCTTAACCTTACTACTGATACATTTTATAGCTGTTAGGGGATATTTTGACCCAGGAGGTGCTTCTTGTTGGGTTTTGCCTCCCCTCAAAACAAGTGGCTACTCTCTCTTACAACCATCTTTTCAAAGCTACAAGCTCAGCAAATTGTCCTCTGTAGTCTGCATTGCATAGACAGAACCACATTCCATGTGCATGGCTTGTAGTTGGCTATTTTTTTCTTGTACTGGAGGGCCAGGCTAAATAGTGACAATAAGAATTCCCGCTACTCTGTTATTGTCGTTTCTCTCATTCACTTTGGCCTGTGCCTCACTCCTTCAGAATTCTTTAACTACAAAGAGTTTTAAATTAATCTCCAGAACCAAATCACACAGTTTGTTGCAGCTTTCAGCCCCCTCTCTGTTTTTTCTTTTCCTGCTCCCATTTCAATCTCCATTGACAAAAACACAGCAAGATAGCAATTCTGATGCAGCAATTGCATTATGAGACTTGTGCGGCATTTTACCAATAGCGCACACAGTGACATCAATGCTGTTTTGTTTTGTTTTTTGGTTGCTGCCGTATTTAATAATGCATACGAGCTCAGAGGCAAATGAACAGTAAGCTGCAGCAAAGAGCAGACTGTTATATAAACTTTGAAAATCAAACAACTGACTAGTGGGAAACTCCTGCTATATTGGCTCCACACTGAAGACAGGGTTAGGTATTAAATCCAGCAAGAAATTTGGAAGAGGATTTCTGAAGTATACTTAGAAGTAGATAGATTACAGGTTACTTCAGAGACTGGGGTCGCCGGGTACAGATTTTTATCCACAACACCCAAATTTGATCCAATTCAAGCCCAATATCTTTCTGTCATGGCAGTAGCATTGCAAAGCATCTTGATATCATACTAACCTGTTCAAGAAGGCATTGCCAAAGGCATTAAGTTTCCTGAAGGGCTTTTTGGGATCCACTACCAATGCATTTCCAGGAATGATGCCCTCCGTATCGCCCTGCATCACAGCAATGAAGGAGTCAGTTGTAGGTTCTGGCCCAATCCTCATCCCAGGGAAATCTTGTTCAAGAAGGTACCTAGAAATAAACAAGAAGCACAGGATGTGTCATTGGTTCAGCTTAGATGTGGAGATATAGAATGCTCAGAGGCTTGTTAGCGGTTGCAGGTGTGGAGCTAGATTCCTTCAAAATTTTTGGACAGCACCAAATTTGTGATATTAAAACTATTTCATTTTGTTATAGGGTTGCAGGGAGGTGTGTCAATCTGTAGGATATCCGTGGGTCCCTTCCAGGGCTGCGATTTTGTATCAAGGGAAACTTAGCATCTAGTAGAAGGGGCTGCGGAACCAGGAAGACCAGTTTCTTTTCCCACCTCACCTGGTTGGATGGAAAATATTAGGTCAAAGGGGGACTGTGTGGGAGACAGGTTTTTGCTGATGCTGGAAGCTGGAGACACAGAGGCTTGTCTTCCTCTGTCCTAGACCCAAAAGTATGACTTGGGGATCTCCCTGGGAACCTAAGGGGGAGGCAAGATCTATCAGATGTTCATACACTCATAGAGTATAAAGGGACACGAGGGTCATCTAGTCCAACCCTCTGCAATGCAGGAATCTTTTGCCCAACGTGGGGCTCAAACCCATAACCTTGAGATTAAGAGTCTCCTGTTCTGCCAACTGAGCTATTGTGCTGTGAATCTGCAAAGCCTCTTGTGTTTGAAGAGTCAGGGGAGTTAACTTCCAAAAATAATAAAGCCTTTCAGTATATTTCCTGCCAAAAGACAACCATAAACCACCAATTACACAACACTTTCCCTATCACTCACTTCTGTGTCTTCCTGAAGACACTCAGAGGAGCAGGGTGGGGAATCGCTTATCGTATATAAGCAGTCTCCATACATCACAAGCAAGCATGTGATATATGGAGGCAGGCAGCAACTGCGTGGACAGCCTGTCTGCTGGCTCGAGTCATGAGGCAAACTGAACATGATCATTCTTTTGCAGACAGCAGAAAATCCAGGGGGAACAGGATGTGGATCCAGACAGCTAGGAATATCACAAAGCAAGCGACAGTCAGATGCAGGCTCTGCCAAACCTCTGGAGAAAGGAAGGCTCAGAGCCACTTCAACAGCAAAGGTTCAGCATCATAGCAAGCCTCCCTAAAAGAACCACCTTCTCCACCCTCAGCAGTTTTTAGCAAGTTAGCAGACTGCTGCCTGGAAGTGCTTTCTATTGTAATCTATTTGACTCCTGGAAGAGGATAGATTCAAAAGAAGCAGGGAGGAAGGTCAGGATAAGAGTCTTTGGAAATCCTAAGGACTGCTCAACTGGAGAAATATCCACACTTATTTCCAGCACCAACCACTTATGCTTTGCATTAATCAGAAGAGGGGTCTGGGAATCTGGTGGTTTGCCTTCTGGACCAACCGAGGAGGTCGGGTCTGCACTGGGAGGGCCTCCTCATGCTTTAAGAGCCCTTGGGTTTGAAAGCATCTCTTATTTTTTTGCCAATTTCCCCCCAGCACGTTTGAGACAGCCATTCAAAGCAGGCAATGTTAGTCTAATTTCTTGGCAGATGCTAAATAATCCAGAGTCCCATCATCCAATTATCCAGTTTTCCAGATATTCAGAGTCCCTGAGATCATTAGTTCTGTAGGATGCTGTCCCTTCATTCAAATGTTTTCACAAATAAGGGGGAAAGGAACACGTCTCTGAAGACATAACATTCAGTGAGGCACGTAGACTCAAATTTCCAAGAATTTTTAAAAAATTGCTTATTATAAGTAATTTCTTTAACCTATGTGGACATATACAGCCTAAAATCTACAGGTAGAATTCAGCATCACACCATTACAAATATTCTGTTTGCAAGGTGGACTTATTTCCCTGTGCTTCTCCTGATCACCCCCCAAGCATTTTTTTTTGGGGGGGGGTATTGCAGGGGAGAAAAGCCCCATTTCACAAACAGAAGTCCTTGCACAGGGTTTCCACAGGGCTGTTTATGTGAATGAATCCTGCTGAATATCATGAAATGAGGATGGTTAGGATATTTGTATTGTTGATGTTAGTTGGCAATGTTTGCATTTTGTTTCCTCTTTGTTATATTTACATTTTTTTATAAAAAAAATAGTGGGCAGTGATGGATGGATATATAAAAATATTAATGGGGTGATGTGCTCCAGGAAATATGCTGGCTTGATGAAACAGAAGGAGGTGTTGCCACTGCTGCGCTTAGTAACAACTTCTTTTCAAGTTGTTCATTAAGGAAAAGCACTAAATTATGAGAAGATTCAACACTGTCCGGGAGCATCAGAGTTGATTCCACTTCTGCAACGATGGCTATTGCTCTAGAAACCAATGCTCACGGTACAGTGAGTACCATAAGGTCAGAAGGAAATCTGCATATCTGAACCACTGAGTGGACATGTGCCAGAAGTGGCTAGGCATGGCTCTCCTTACCTCTTGTCCACTGCGTGTCCAAGTGTGTGGAGGGTTGTGTCTTCCCTGCAAATCATGAGTATGACGGCAAAGCATTTCTTTGTGGCATGTACAGTGGTACCTCGGGTTACAGATGCTTCAGGTTACATACGCTTCAGGTTACAGACTCCGCTAACCCAGAAATAGTGCTTCAGGTTAAGAACTTTGCTTCAGGATGAGAACAGAAATCGTGCTCCGGCGGTGCGGCAGCAGCAGCAGCAGCAGGAAGCCCCATTAGCTAAAGTGGTGCTTCAGGTTAAGAACAGTTTCAGGTTAAGAACGGACCTCCGGAACGAATTAAGTACTTAACCCGAGGTACCACTGTACATAAATGTAACAATTTGTGCAGGCGAATCAGCCCACAGTCAAATTAGCCAGAACACAGTCCAATCTAGACGTGGTGTTGTTGATGTTGTTTGGTCTTGTATAGTTATAGTTTGAAGGGTGTGGGCCAGAGCTGGATCAGGACTGTGGTGCGCAGGGTGTGCGGCTTTAATCCTTTGCCTCTGCTGCATGCCCAGTGTGAATAATCTCCTCCCCCCCATCCCACTATTTGCAAAGAGCAGAAAGGATTGTGTTTTCAATCAGCAATGGGTGCTTTCTTCCCATAGCAAATAACAGCCCCCACCTGTCTTGCACAGTGCTAATCTGGGTCCACACACACGTAATCTCTCTGGAGTGTGTCTCTGTAAGGGGGGGGGGGCGTACACGCAAGGCTGAAATGATGTGAACAGCATCACATCTAGTCTGGCTCTGACTGAGACTTTTCAGAAGAATCTGGTGTTGCATGAAGTACAGAAGAAAAACGGAGAGCCAGTTAGGTCAAATGGCAGCAAAACCTAGCCAGCAACATTTGCCCAAGGAGAGCCGAGGAAATGGTGCAACAAGAATTCAACAGAACAAGGATTTTATTATATTCAGACTGAGGAAGAAGAGAGACAAGGAAGTTGTTGTGAGCAACAGACTGTGCCAGGACATCAAACAACACACCAGTGAAGCATGATGCATTCACTACTGGTGGAAGAATCACATGCTGGCAAGTTGATATGCTTCTCTGTGTTGCTTAAAGAGCAGTGGTGCCTTCTAGATTCAGCCTGGTCAAGTGAAACAGAAGCACCTTGGCAACTTTTTCAGTTAGACTATTGCAGTATGTTCTAGGTGGGGCTGCTCTTGAATCAGCTCAGAATCTTCAGCATTAACTTCCCACCAATAGCACCTTAGGCTTATATAGATTGAGCTTGGGTTTGTTGGCTCTCATCCAGTCCATTACTGAGGCTAGGCTGACTGAGAAGAGAAGTAGACTTGTGTGTCATCAGCATATTGATGGCAACACACTCAAGAACTCCAGGTGACCCCATGCAGCAGTTTCATGTAGATATGAAACAACGTAAGGAATAAAATTGAACTCTGTGGAACTCCCTTTTTGAAGACATCATGGGGCCAACCATTATCCCCCACCACCACAAACACAACATCCCGAAACCATCCAAGTAGGCCTGGACTCACAGCAGTGGTGGCCCCTACTCCCAATTCAGACAGTTTCCACAGAAAGATACCATGGTTGATGGAATCATGAGGCTGAGAAATTGCAGAGAATCTTCTGACATAGGTCATCATAGGGGGCAACCAAGGCAGTTTTTGTGTCAAAACCAGCATGAACCCTGGTACTACTGGTTGATATAGACCTAAAATATCCATCTTGTTCAAGGCTGTCTGGAGTTGATCCACCCACTCAAGGGCAATGTTCAGGAAGGGGAACAAGCAGAACCTATAGTTCTGGGTCTAAAGAGGATTTCTTAAGGAGTAGTATCACTGCTGTAGCTTTCAGGTGGCCTGGGACCAGGGCTTTTTTCAGACAGAACTCGACAGAACTCAGTTCCAGCACCTCTCAGGTGGGCACCATCACCATTCTAAGAGAACAAGGGAGGTGTTCATGGTGAAAAAAATATCAAGAAAAATAGCACAGCCTGGGACACTTCTCTCAGAGAGATTAATTACCTCCCTGCCAGATGTTATCAGCCATGAGGGCCAAGGGTTGAGAACACACAATGCCTGCATCCATCCAAGAACCTTGACCACAGCCTTCAGTCTTAACAAGGAAAACGCACCCATTAACACCTGACCAGGCAGTACTCTGGACAGCCCTGCGTGAACTTGTTGGTTTAATTTGGCCTGCTCTGTTCACAATTTTTATTTCTATAGATACTTCACAGGCCAGAACCTGAGCTGGTTTTTGTGGTCATTTCTTCTCTACTGAGACCTGTAGTTCAGTGACAGAGGTGTGTGTGTGTCTAGATATCTCTAACAGCACGTTTGCAGCACGTTCTCTAAACTCCAACTCCCAGGATACTTTGAATGAAACCATGACAGCCATATTGGTTTTGTGCTATTTAAAGTTTCATACCATTTTCAGTATTGCAGAGGGTTGGGCAATCCTTTCCAAGTCTACAATTCTAGGGTAGATATGCCCAGTGAAAGGAATGGCACAATGAAAACAAAACAAAACTTGTGGGTTATATTGAGCCATAGAATTGTAGAGCAAGAGTTTCAACTAAATCATACATAACAGATGGACATCAATTTCAGCTTTAAAATCTCCAAGGAAGAAGAGCACATCACCTCCAAGGTGGAAAGAGTGGTTAAGCTGCAAATAAAAGGAGAAGGGTTTTTAACACAGCCCACATGGGCAGCCAGCACTGCAGTAGTCAGTTTGTGTTTATTTTATTAATAACATTGATATTAGGCAGGTGCCTTGGTTGTACTGCTTTTGACATCTGCTAAAACCCTTTTCTGCTTAAGCGAGCTTACCCAGGCATGCAATTTCATTAGGTGCATTTGTTTTTAAAACCTATTGATTTCATCTATACTTGGATAATTTTATGATGTCTGAAGGATTGTATCCAGCAAAATTGGCCCATTAGTGCAGGGATTTCCACCTGCGCAATAGGACATTTCCTCTCCCCCCATGCACCTCCCCCCCCAAAAAGTGTTCTGGAGAGTTAGGGGAACCCTCAAAACAGACTCAGGGAACATGCGGGGAGAAGAAGTCTAATCACACAGGAAGAAATCCTTGTGTTAATAGGATAACTTTCTTTGGATACAACCCAGTATTTTAAAAGTCTACTTTATGGTTATTTTCAATGGAATAGTTAATACAATTTTTATGTAAGCCACTTGCAATTTCTGTTTTGATTAAGTGGTATAGAAATCTTGCTAAATAAATAAAAAGGAAATTTGTTATGAACGAGGTTAGTGGACTCAAACCAAAGCTATCTTCTTCTTCTTCTTCTTCTCTTTGGTAATCACTTCTAGCCGAGTAAGCAGGGATGACAATATACAGAGCACTGTGACTCTACTGTCCCTTCTCGCCTTCTCATTCCCCTGCAAACAATATATAAAGGCTACTGCGTTTAACTACAGTTTGGATCATGCTCATTAGCAGATAGTAATGCGCTTAAATTTCAAAGGAAGGTGCAACTGGAGAGTTCAGCTCCAGCAGGCAGTTTGCACACTTTTGAACTCAGAGAAGACAGCCTGGGGTGAGAAAATGAGTACACAGCAGGAAGGATTTTAAGGGAGAGCTGGCAAAAGAGACCATCTCTTGGATCTGCAAAGAAAACGCAGTTGGATTCCCCTGGAACCAGACAGATATACTCCATTGACCTTAAGCACAGCAGGCCTCTTTTTCCTTTTCAGTTTCCAAACCTGTCTAAGAATACCAAAAACCAGCTTTCCCGGCCATGCCTCTGCAACCTCATCCACCGGTCGTGACGCTGACAGTTTTGTTTGACCCTTCGCCTTGATCTAAAGCAGATAGCTCAAGATGTCGGGAGGAAGGCTGAAGACTACACTGAGGCTCTTCAGCCAATTGTCTTTAGATGCAGCTTAAAGCATTATGGTTTCACGGATAGCCACTAAAGGTTTTTAATCTGTTGGGTCCAAATTTAATCTGGGACTGGATAGCTCAGTTGGTTAGAGCGTGGTGCTGATCATGCCAAGGTTGCTGGTTCACTGCAGGGGATTAGGCTAGAAAGATGATCCTCAGGGTCCCTTCCAACTCTAAACTTCTATGATTTTATATCATGCATCTTTTAATTGCATCTCTAAAGGCCTGCTTAACATTCTGAAGGACTTTAAAGGAGACCATTATGTGCCTGCTATTCCGTTTGGAATAAAAGCAGAAGACAGTGATGAAAGATCAACCATGTACAATCCATTTTGGTACTTACCCCCCAGGTAAAACAGTTTCACATCAGAATAGGCTACATTGATAACAAGGAAGACTGCTGCTAACTAAGCTCCAGAGACAGCACAACCTCACTACAGAATAGGAAGGAATGGGTGGGTCTGAAGCAATGACATGGAAGAGCAAAAGAAGTGCCCGTTTGGATCATCTCACCTCTTCCTCACCTTTCCCCTAGACTAAAAAGTCCCAAATGCTGCAACCTTTTCCTCCATCACCTTGATCATCAAGGTGTTGCTCTTTTCTGAACCTTTCCCCCCAGTTATATGCAAAAGGTAACAAATGTACAACAGTGAGTTTCTGTCAAAAACAGAATTAGCACAACTTGTTTTCCAGTGGTGATATGATCATTTGAATAGCCTTTCATTCTTGCATGGATTAATTCATTCATGTTTGCATAGAGGTCTTCTACATTTCACCAGACTACTATTTACAGAGCTGCTGGAGGGACTTCCAGACTGCTGCTATTTCCGGGCTAGATTCAGTCACACACCTGCAAATTCAGGTAGTGCAATTATAGTTGGTTGGCAGGTCTTGCACAGCAAACCTGCTCCCCCCCCCAAAAAAAAACCCTGGACTGTTTGCAATAAGGAAAGTGATGGGAAAAGGCATAGGAAAAGCGTGGGATAACCATTACTTAAACCCAGCACCCTCTAACCTCCCTACAAACAAATCATAATGATTTGTTGCCTGGAAGCTGACATGTGAGATTTTCCTTTGAACCAGTGTTTTTGGAGTCTGATCAAACCACAAGCCGGAAGAATAACAACCTTCAAAGTCACAAGCCAGAAACAAAGAACACAATTAGCAGCTAAATATTTATCCTGAAAGATGAACATAGGGATATTTCATGCATGCATGCACTTCTAACAATACACCCTAGTGTACACCTGGAAGGTAAAGAGCTGCCATGTTTTACCTTATGAAGGTGGTCTTCCCGGTGGAATACTGCCCAACAAGAAGGACCATAGGTTTGTTGTCAAAGTCCGCATCTTCCAAGGCAGGTGAATGAAAGGCGTGGAATTTGTAGTATTCTTCCAGAGGGAGAAGCTTGGTTTTGTACAGTTTTTTAAGACCTCCACTCACAGTCTGATACACCTCCGGGTCCTTCCTTCGCCCGTCTTCATTACCCAGCCAGCTGAACATTTTTGTAATTTAGCAAGAAATGCTACCAATTGTTCCTGTCCTGTCTGATCTGCATTAAATGGAAGAAGAAGGTCATTAAAAAAATCAAATCAAATAGATAGCTCTCTAGTGGAAATCTCCAAGGTGCAGAGCTAAATCGATTGCCAGTATTCTTTCCTCCTTACCACTTCATTGCTTGGCCTAGGAGCAATTTTATGATTGTTGAAAATAAGCTCAGAAAGGGGGATGCTTTGATAAATCAATTGAGTTCTGAGCTCCACTTCTCTGCAGGCTTTCCAGTTGAAGGGCGAAGGCTGATGAGCTAATCTGCAAAGAATAAATTCTTCTGCCGCAGGACCAGCCGGCAGCAATAGCAGCCAGCAGCCTCTCTTGCAAAACAGCTGGCTGTTTAAATGGAAATCGACCGGGAAGCAGGGAGCCCGCCGCTGCAAGTGGAGAGCGACGGCAGCGGCCCTCATCGGTTGCGCAGACTTGTCACCTCCACATCTGCATTTTTCATAGCTTTATGGCCGCTCTCCCGGAAAGACTTTCCGCTCAGCCGCCAGCAAAAAGTCACCGTAGAGATAGAAAGCTATAGAACGCAGCACCGATGTGGGTGACGGGATCAGCTACACCCAACCCCAGCCTAGCCAAAGCTTCCTCAGAGCTGCCTGCAAAGCCAAAGGCGCGGAGCTGGAGGACGCATTGCGCCACCTAGAGGGCAGAACGAGGATTTGAGCGAGGATTTTAGAAGTCTCATAAGAAAATACCGCAGGCAGAGTCTGTCTGAGGGCGCTTCTAGTGATTATACTGTACACCCCAAGTAACTGTTCAAGGCAGGCAAAAGAAATGACATCTTTACAAACTAACCACATAACTTGTGGAACTCACTGCCACAAGGTGTCTCTTGACAGCCTTAAAAGGAGATTTCTCAAACCAATGGAGAATGAAAGGGCATCAAAGGCTACGAGTCAGGAGGAAATGCATGCTAACTACGGGATGAGAAGGGGAGCGTTGCTCACCCAGCTCATAGCTGAAGTGTGGATCTTGCTCCCACAGAAGCCAGCCAGAGCCACCAACTTGGATGGCTTTAAAAGAGGATTAGGCAAAATCATGGGGGTTAAGGGATCAGTGGTCACTAGCCAAGGGGAAGGCCTTTTCAGTGGTGGCTCCCAGACTTTGGAACTCCCTGCCTAGAGAAGTTAGACTGGCTCCCTCCTTGTTGTCTTTCTTCCGGCAGGTGAATACTTTTTTGTTCCAACAGGCTTTGGGGAACTGTCTGCTTTTAATGAAAATGCTAGTGCCTGGCTGTTCTTCTTGCAATTATCTGTTATGTTTTTTATAGATTATAGATAGATAAAATCCTATCAATCTTTAACTGTTTTAATGATTGTTTTCCTGTATGTTTTGGCTGTTTTTATTTTCTTATTTGTAAGTTTCCTTGAGTCCCTGTCAGGGAAAAAGGTGAGGCATAAGTAAATATATAAATTCAGGGTTTGCTTGTTTTTTTAAACCAGAACTTGCTGGAACTCAGTTCTGGCACCTCTCAGGTGGGCGCCATTGCCATTCTAAGAGAACAAGGGAGGCGTTCATGGTGAATTCCGCCACCTCTTTTTCTAGAAAAATAGCACTGTATATAATAATTATTATTATTCAGCTGCAGGCAGTGATATCAGTTGCTGGAAACCACAGAGTGTTTAGGGACTGCTTTGCACATATCTGGAGTCCTCTGCCATGGATTCGGCGATTTTTTTTGGGGGGGGGGCAGTCTGCTGTATAAAATGTTGAATTGTTTTCTAGCATTTAAAACTATTTTCTGTAATGTTTCCAGAATGCTTTCTAAACTTAATTTCTTAGTGGTATTCTGCATTTCATTGACATGTGTTGTACATGTGGCTGGGATCACTGTCGTGAGTAATGCAGTTTTAGTCCTTGCTTTGTTTTTGTGACGTACGTGGGAGAATGGGTTGTGCAAGGACAAGGTGAGCAAAGTGTTTGCCCCAGACTGTTACTAATTTTCGTTGTGCTTTGGTCCAAATGCATAGGATCTGACCCTTTGCAGCTCTACGCACAAAACTTTATCCGTTGACCCTGCTGGGCCTCACTCCAGGTAAGGGAAGAAACTTAATTCAATTCGCTTTTAAAGGCAAAGTTACCTTTTCTGAATTCTGCAATGTACTTCTCCTGCCAAGTAGTGTATATATATAAAAAATGCATATGCCAGGAGGAAGTGTGCAAATTAATGCATATACGATTGAAAGTAACATTCAAAAACACATTCCTTTAAGGAAAATTGCTTTGGAAAAAAAGGTGTATATTAGAACAAATTCCATACAAATATATATAAGAAAAAAAAATTTCTGCTAGCACAAGGACTTTTAGCTGCACAACGGAACTTCCTTGCTCTCTTTTCTTCCTGCATGTCCCATAATGCCCCAGAGCATTAGAGGAAATCCTGGAACAGATTTAGGGTTCATGGGGAGGCACGCAAGGAAAGAAAAGGGTGGAGTAGTTCTATGGTGCAGCTGAATGGCCTTGTGATAGGGTTGCCATAATTCACAAAGTTGTTTTTCCTAATCTGGACACAAGGCACGATGAACTTTTTTTGGAGCAAAGTTGTTGCACTTTTTTTAGATTTGCCCAAATTTGTTGAGCTTTCTGGACAAAATCACAAAAAAAAAGAAATCTTTGAAAATCGCCAAAAATGACAGTGCCAACAATATGTCTGGATTTTCCTGGAGGTTTTGTTTTTTTTAAAGCAATTTCTGCCTGGACACTGTTTCTGGACATATATATGGCAAGCCTACTTGTGATAGTCATACTTAATGGAAAAAAATAGAAACGCTGAGAAACCAAAATGGAAGGATTCACCACCACTCCTGCTGGGTGCGTAACTCTGCCTTCTGACCCTCGCTGGGCTCTACCCCCAGAGCCACCCAAGTCCCTCAGTAGGTGGCAACTGAGTGATTGTTGCTATTTTTCTCCTTTCACAACATTCTGTCTCTATATTATTCACCTGTACGTGTTTTTCAGCATGTTTTGTACTGTACTGTGCTTATATTAATAGACAGCCTTTGGTATCTATTATTTATTGAAGGCATTTATATGCCACTTTAGTATTTGCATTTCCTAGCCATGCACATAAAACAGTCTACAGAAAATGGATGGGACAGTAAAACAATAAAAAATGATCATAAAACCAAGCACGACCTTGACAATGTCTGCTGGACTATGAGCCTGAAGTTCAAGGAAGGGACCTGTCTAATCCCAATTAGGGGGAAGTTCCACAGGTTTGGGCCCATGACACTGACTGCACAGCTTCCATTAGTTAGAAGTCATGTATCTGAACCATGGGGGGCTACCAACTAGTGTTAGAAACAGAAATGAAATATAGGAGCTAAATGGCACCTTAAACCTAGGTTATGGGTGCAACAAAGGAATGTCTAGGCATGTTTTTTAATAACAAGAATACAAAGCTGAAAGTAAATGAACTTCAGCTAAAATATTACGTTCATTTTTCACAGGGTCTAGTCCTTCCCCTGCCCACCCCACTAATACTCCTAAGAGGGGCTCTTCTCCAGTCTTCAAAGAGTAGCTGGAAGCGGGGAGACAGAAAAAAGGTCCTCCTTTCCTTCCACTCTGCAGTTTTAATTTGAAATCTTAGGCACAGTACTGCACCCAGAGCTCAGAAACTGCTCATGCTAATGAAATTCCCTGTCGCATAATGCACCTAGAACAATGGGAGTTTCGAACATTGCTACCAACAGAAAGTCCCCCACAAATCTCAGTAATTTGGCAGGAATATAAGAGATCGGGTGGTGCTTAAGATATCCTGGACCCATGCTGCTTGTTGTTGTTGTTTAGTCGTGTCCGACTCTTCGTGACCCCATGGACCAGAGCACACCAGGCACTCCTATCTTCCACTGCCTCCCGCAGTTTGGTCAAACTCATGTTGGTAGCTTCGAGAACACTGTCCAACCATCTCGTCCTCTGTCACCCCCTTCTCCTTGTGCCCTCAATCTTTCCCAACATCAGGGTCTTTTCCAGGGAGTCTTCTCTTCTCATGAGGTGGCCAAAGTATTGGAGCCTCAGCTTCAGGATCTGTCCTTCCAGTGAGCACTCAGGGCTGATTTCCTTAAGAATGTTGCTTAGGGCTAGTAAATTAATACAAAAAGATTGAACATGGCCTGGTAACACATGGGCAACCAGTGCCAACTTTTGAGCACCAGAGTTATGTGGGGGGTGGTTACGTACCGATCAATGCTCTAAATGCAGCCTTTTACAGGAGCTGGACTGAACCAGGTGCAAGGATAGCCTTCATAGAGTGCGTTGCAATAACCAAGTCTTGAGGTCACCACTGTATGACTCAGCGCAGCTAGGCTATCCCTGTCTTTGTTGCACTAGCCATAGCTGGTAAAAGCCACCCCTAGCCACTGAGACTACCTGAGCCTCAAGTGACAAAGTGGACCCCAAAATTATACACCTGTTGTTTCAGAGGGAGATCAGCTTCATCTAGGACAAGCAGAGGATCAATCTCCTGGACACTGGAGGAACCCACCCACGGCGCCTCCATCTCCCCAGGGTTCAAGCTCAGCTTACTAGGTCTTATCCGTTCCACAACTGCATCCAGATGTCATTCCTGACCATGCTCAGCCTCACCTGACTCAGATATTATGGCGAAATAGAGCTGGACATCATCAGCGTATCTCCTCATAAACCACAATGTCTCCTAACACAGACAGTGAGGTTTATGCAGAAGTGCATTCCCTCCACACCTGAGAGTGACTAACTGCTTACTCATTATCTGCTTGAAGAAAGAGACTCGCTACCTTTACCAGTGCCTCAAAATTAGTCACCTAAGAGGAAGTAGATAAATTTTATAAAAATATTTTCTCGTGTTTGTAATAGTAAATTTGGTTTAATGTCTACAAACTTGGCATGTTAATAGGGTTGCCGTGTTTTGAAGAGCAGAAAAAAAGACGCTGTGAACCCATTCAAAGCAAATAAATGCAAATTGTCTCAAATTCTACCCCTGAAAAAGATGACGTGTGCTGGAAAAAGAGGACACATAGCAAAATAAAAATAAAAATATTATTCCTACTACTACTGTATTTCTACATATCATTTTTGGGCAAGCTTTCACAAGGCAGCTTACAATACATATAAAAGTTTAAAGCAATGTAGCAATGATTTTTTAAAATACAGCATCCAATAAAACTGTATATCGGGGATGGGAAAAGTAATTAAATCAACAAAAAGCCTGGCAGAATAAGGCAAGTGAGAGAACTATGCAAAGTTCTTGGGATGGTACATTGGGCCCATCACTGAAAGAGCCCTCTCCCTGGTACTAATAATAATAATAATAATAACAACAACAACAACAACAACAACAACAACAACAACAATAATAATATAATAATAATAATATAACAACAACAACAACAAAACAATCATCATCATCATCATCATCATCATCATCATAATTTATTATTTATACCCCGCCCATCTGGCTGAGTTTCCCCAGCCACTCTGGGTGGCTCCCAATCAAGTGTTAAAAAACAGTACAGCGTTACATATTAAAAACTTCCCTGAACAGGGCTGCCTTAAGATGTCTTCTGAATGTCAGGTAGTTGTTTATGTCTTTGACATCTGATGGGAGGGCGTTCCACAGGGCAGGCGCCACTACCGAGAAGGCCCTCTGTCTGGTTCCCTGTAGCCTCACTTCTCACAATGAGGGAACCGCCAGAAGGCCCTTGGCGCTGGATAACAGTCTGATTGCTCTTAATGGGAGCTAGAGCAGCCTTTCCCAACTTTGGGTCCTCAGATATTGTTGGACTACAGTTCCTATCACCCTGACCATTGGGTCATGCTTGATGGGGGCTGTAAATCAGTTGGTTAGAGTGTGGTGCTGATAACGCCAAGGTTGCAGGTTCAATTCCTGTATGGGACAGCTGCATATCCCTGCATTGCAGGGGGTTGGACTAGATGATCTTCGGGATCCCTTCCAACCCTGTGGTACTATGACCCATAGTTTAGGGAAGGATAGGACACCTGAAGCAAGTTGTAGGACCCATGTAGTTTTCCATGGGCTGTAGTCAGTGCAATGAAACCAATTAAATTTAACGAAATGAATTCAGCAAGAGAAGCTATTTGTTTTATTTGACCAATGATTTTTGGAAATGTTGGAACCTCAGTTTTCCATTTGCAACTTATTCTTACCCGCTGCAAGATTTCTCTCTCCACACAGAGTAGTGTAACCCCCCCCCAAAAGTAATGCATATTAAACAAAATGTCTAAGAAGAATTAAAAGAGGATTTTTTAAAAAAATGATATTTATTAAAATTTCAGAAAAAAGAGTTACATAAAAACAAGAAAAGGAAAAACAAAAGACAGAAATAAAAATACAAGAAAACTACAAAATACAGAATAAAAGAATAAAAAACACTTTAAAAAAATAGATCAATCTTTCCATGCCTTACATTCATATCCTTGTTTCCCTGACCTCCTCATACCTCCCTTTTTTGTATTCCAATTCAATTAGTTAATTCAGCAATTTCTTTCCCTCTTTATTTTCTCTTAATCCTTTAACTTAATATACTATAACTTTAAATTCCACCTGTTATCAATCCATTTTTACATACACCTTTATAGCATTACTGCTTAAACCACCTAACTTCATTCTAACATCATTCTAACATTCATTAATTTTGCAATATTTCTGTAGATAGTCTTTAAATTTCTTCCAATCTTCTTCCACCAACTCTTCTCCCTGGTCTCAGATTCTGCCAGTCATTTCCGCCAATTCCATGTAGTCCATCACCTTCATCTGCCATTCTTCCAGAGTGGGTAGTTCTTGTGTCTTCCAATACTTTGCAATAAGTATTCTTGCTGCTGTTGTGGCATACATAAAGAAAGTTCTATCCTTCTTTAACACCAATTGGCCCACTATGCCCAGGAGAAAGGCCTCTGGTTTCTTCAAGAAGGTATATTTAAACACCTTTTTCAATTCATTATAGATCATCTCCCAGAAAGCCTTAATCCTTGGGCACATCCACCAAAGGTGAAAGAATGTACCTTCAGTTTCTTTACATTTCCAACATTTATTGTCGGGCAAATGATAGATTTTTGCAAGCTTGACTGGTGTCATGTACCACCTGTATATCATTTTCATAATATTCTCTCTTAAGGCATCGCATGCCGTAAACTTCATACCTGTGGTCCATAACTGTTCCCAGTCAGCCATCATTATGTTATGTCCAACATCTTGAGCCCATTTAATCATAGCAGATTTCACCGTTTCATCCTGAGTATTCCATTTCAACAGCAAGTTATACATCTTTGACAAAATCTTAGTTTTGGGTTCTAACAGTTCTGTTTCTAATTTTGATTTTTCCACCTGGAAGCCAATTTTCTTATCCAAATTATATGCCTCCATTATCTGATAATAATTAAGCCAGTCTCGCACTTTGTTTTTTAATTTCTCAAAACTCTGCAGTTTCAATCTATCTCCATCTTGTTCCAAAATTTCCCAATATTTCAGCCATTTGGCCTCCATATTGAGCTTTTTCAGAGCCTTCGCTTCCATCGGTGACAGCCATCTTGGAGTTTTATTTTCAAGTAGATCCTTATATCTTATCCAAACATTAAACAGTGCTTTCCTGAATTAAAAGAGGATTAAAGCAGAACTTTATTTGGTAATCAGGGTTGTCAACTGCAAACAAATGAAAAGTGGATTCTGGGCATTTCCATCAGAAAGTAGGCTGGTGAGATTAGGGATGCCCATATGGAACAGAAAAAGGGTTTCCTGCCCCCTAAATAGTAGTGTAGAAGAAAGAATTTCAGGAGGTGTCATTTGCACAACAAATCACATATGCTGAAATTCCTTCTTCTATACAGCTACTGAAGATGCAGGAGACCTGCTGTCGTTTACATCTGGCCTATGGAGATTTCATTAAAAAATAATAATGAAAGGAGGAAATGTTCCAGCCAACAGCAGTCCTAGCATAGATTAGAAGCCTTACAAAGGCATATTTCTGTGTGATCTAAATAGATAGATCAAAGTAATTGGTAGCCATATTGCGCTCACAGAAGTAAAGAGCAGCAGCAGCAGCAACAGCAGCAAACAAGGCAATGCCTTTTATTGCACTGATTAAACTGCGGAATGAGAATGCAGTAATCCCCTACTAGGAAAGCATTTGGGGCTTTTTAGTTTAGAGAAAAAGCAAGCAGCAGGTGATACAAGTTTATAAAATTCTACACAGCATGGAGAGAGTGGATAGAGAAAAGTTTTTCCCCCCCACAACTCGCGAACATCCACTGTAGCTGAATGTTGGAAGATTCAGGATAGATAAAGTAATAACAATTTCTTTACACAGTGCAGGATGCTTCAAAGGAGAACTGGGCAGATTCATGGAGGATTATCCTATCAATGCCTAGCCATGATGGAGACTTTGCTTGGCCTCCATGGTTGGAAGTTGTATATTTCTGAATACCACGTTCATATTTTTATGTACAGGGTCTTGGCCTCAGCTGATGCGCAGATACGTGGCAACTGTCACAACCTAGCTGACTTCCTCGCATGAAAACCAAACTCTAGTTTTTTGTGTACTAGTCCCAAGTTAAATAAGCCCATCCATCATGCTGTGGAAGGAGGCGTTTCTGTCCACAGAGTCACCTGTTTACACTTTAAGGTTTGGAGAGAAAAACAAGCCATAAACAGAGAAGGAAGTGCTCTTTCTTTTGGGCAACAGCTGTGTCATTTTCTGTCAAGCTGCCAGGTCCTTCCAGGTAAGTCATGTGATTGACGTCGAAAATGCCTACTGTTGCAACACTTTCAGCAAACCCATTCCGTTAACATTTACCTTCCTTGAACTTTTGCTTGGTAGGTGGAGATTACCTGTTAGATTTGCATAAGCAGGATGTACGTACACATAAATGTTTAGATGAGAGAAATCGTCGGAGCTTTACTGCCAGTTAGGGCGAAAGATAAGGTGCTACTTGAGACTGAGACTGCTACTCTGCTAGGATTTATTACTAATCTCTTGTGAACAGAAGAAAATACTTGGAATAAGGTAAGATGTTTCAATGTTCTTTTGTGCTACAGAAACCAGAAGTCTAGAAATTGGAGCTGCGTTGCTTTTGATAGTTTAGATTTAAAGATGCCTAGGGCCCAATCCACAGCCCAGTGGAACTGAAATGGTTAAATTTAAAAAGATTACTGTCCAATTGAAGTTGCCCATCAGCTTAATCCAGAAACCTATTTGATTACCAGGTATACATTTCCATCCTATTATCATTATTGGCATCTTAAATGCCAATTATATTTTATTACATACAGTCTGGTGGCTGGCTTCCTGGGCTTTTATACTAAACAAAGTGATGGAAAAACTTGCTGGGATCCCCAATCTCTTTAAAATTTGGCAAATCAATGAGATGTGTGTTTCTGTTGAGAGATGGTCAGGACGAAACACTGGAGGAAGTGGATTTAACACTTTCCCCTGCAGCTATTTGGAAAAACTATATATCCACGTAAGCTCCCCTAATGGAACAAATACCTTGCGGGAAAGTAAGTATTATGGGGGAAGACTGGGCATGGATTTCCTTTGTCTCAAAATTTGGCCCCTAGCTTGGGTATGAAGGATGTAAGCACCTTCCAACCTGTGTTTAGATCTCATTTGATTGACAGATCTTGTATATCCTTGTATATTTCCCTAATTTGTTTTAATGACAGATATGCTGCATACTTTCTTCATTTGATTATCTAGTTTAATTTGGTTTGCAGCGTTCTCCCTGGTATTCTGACCATAGCTGTCAACTTTTCCCTTTTCTTGCGAGGAATCCTATTCGGAATAAGGGAATTTCCCTTAAAAAAAGGGAAACGTTGACAGCTATGATTCTGACCCTTCTTGATTTTGTAACTGTGCTGGATCATGTCATTTCTTTTCACACGTGACTGTTGTATATTTTACACCCGCCCCCCCCCGCCCCCCAAACCCACTACTCAACATAGTGTTTTTTTAACAGTGCAGTCTTAGTGAACAGAATAACAAAATGTTTGAAATGGCCGGATTAATGTTAGGGGGTTTCTTTCAGAAATTATTTTGTATGTAGAATATCCAAGAAATGAAACAAAATGACACTGACATGTAAAGCTTTTACTTTCAGTTCTTGCATTATTTCAGTAGCTGTTACATTTGTGTTTCACTGGCAGTTTCCTATTGGGGAGGGGTAGGTCTGAGTGTAAAGAAAAGTTGTTATAAGGACAAAGTAAGTGAAGTGAGTGGAAAAGAGAGGACATATTTACCACCTCAGAAATTAGATAGGAGAATGTCTTTAACTGCACAGTGCAGTGGTATCTTGAGTTAAAGCTTAATTCATTCTGGAGGTCCATTTTGAACCTGAAACTGTTCTTAACCTGAGGTACCACTTTAGCTAATGGGGCCTCCTGCTGCCACCACACCACCGCCTCACGATTTCTGTTATCATCCTGAGGTAAAATTCTTAACCTGAGGTACTATTTCTGCGTTAGCGGAGTCTGTAACCTGAAGCGTCTGTAACCCGAGGTACCACTGTAACTGCTTTAAAAATGTTTTTAATAGTAGCTACTTTTATATGTTTTTAATTGCAATTAGTTTTAGAATATTTTAACTGTTTTAGAATGCTTTTGATGTCTTTGTTATTAAATTGTGCATCTGTTTGCTGCACTGGGCTCCTTGGGGAGGAAGGGTGTGGTATTAATAATAATAGTAATAATAATTAATCTGTCATAATATGGAATTCTAAGGCCTGGGGGCATTTATTTATTTACTTACTTACTTACTTACTTAAGCAATTTATATACCTCTTAGCCACAATAGTCTCAAAGCAGTTTAGAAGGAAACGATACAGATTGTTTTTGCTTTCTTTGTGTTTAAATTGTGCATTTGTTTGCCACCCTGGGCTCCTTGTAGAGGAAAGATGGGGTTTAAGTTCAATTATAAATAAATGAATAAATAACCTGTTACAATAGCCTATATGGGATCTGAAGGCCTGGAGACATTTGTTTGTTTGTTTATTTACTTAAACAATTTACATTGCTATCTACAATAGTCTCCAAGCAGTTCAGAAGGATGCAACACAAAAAGTAAAAACCCTTGGATGGTTCAAATAGAGACTTAATATCGTTTTTTTTTAATGATATGAACAGTTTTAGTATCATCATTTATTCAATTTATTTTAAGCTTCCTGCTGCAAACAGAATCTTACGTAAACAAACAGATCATGACAAAATATCAAACAGATACAAATACTCTAAGGGCTGACATTTAAGGCAGCATACTTTACAGAAATACAAGATATTATTTTCTTGAACATTATAAAAGAAAATATTTGTGAAAGATAGTTCTTGGAGCACCCCACAATTGCCTAACCTTGACTCCCATAGGTTCAGGTCAGGGGTCACAAGCGAGAGACTTCAGCCAGGTGATAACAGGCAAAACAGCGGCCTGTAGGCCTGATCTTTATTGTTGCAACAAGACTTTCCACTACCACAAAGACGAAGCAGCCAGAAGCCCTGATCAATCGTTACATCAGGTTTTTAAAAGTTTCCCAAATCTTCCCATAATGCATTTCCAGAAGCATCTTCAAGATATCATAGATACGTCACAGAACAGGTGTGGTCTCAGGTAGAACCTGAGATCCAGGCATGCCCCTGTCAATCAAATACAGCAGGGGTCGGCAAGGTTTACCTTGCCTGGGCCGGTTCACTCCAGTGGAGATCCTTCCGTGGGCCGTATTGCGTGCACCTGCTCACACGCGCACCTGCGATTTCCGGCATCTGCACAGACACGATTTTTGGCGTCTGTGCATGCACAAACGCAATTTCCGGCACCGTGGAAGAGAGTCCTCACGCTACACTGCGCTGGTTTAGCGCAGCAGGCGGGGATTTGCTGAGTGGGTGGCTTGGTTTGGGAGCGGCTCATGGGCCAGTTAAACGAACCCTGTGGGCCACTTGTGGCCCGTGGGCCTGAGGTTGCCTACCCCTGAAATACAGTCTTTCACATTTACTCCATCACAGTACAAAGGAAAGTATTTACAGTTGCTTGGTCCCTGAGTCAAGTCAAATGCACCCCTTTGTCTTGTCTGGTCTTCATCCCACTATGAGATGGGTATGCATTGTGACTGAGATGGTAATCTGTCTGACACTCTTGGGGCAGGATCAGGGCCAGATTTAGGTTTGATGAGGCCCTCAGCTACTGAAGGTAATGGGGCCCTTTACCGTATTTTTCGCTCTATAACACGCACCTGACCATAACACGCACATCGTTTTTAGAGGAGGAAAACAAGGGGAAAAACTTTCTGAATGAAACAGTGGATGTATCATTTTTGTGCTTCATGCTGTGGCCACAGACATGTGATCTGATGGTGAATTTGGGGTGACCCAATGCAAAAATCCTGAGAATCCCTGTGGATCCATGCTTTGTAACCACGTTTTTGCACCATTGCAGCCCCAGGCAACAGTGGGTGCATGATTTTGGGGGGGCAGGCTGTAGCCATGGACATGCTATGTGCTCTGATGGTGAATTTGGGCTGACCCAATGCAAAGATCCTGAGGATCCATGTGGACCCATGCTTTTAACCACGTTTTTGCACCATTGCAGCCCCAGGCAACAGTGGGTGCGTGATTTTTTTGGTGCAGGCTGTAGCTATGGACATGCTATGTAATATGATGGTGAATTTGGGGTGACCCAATGCAAAGATCCTGAGGATCCATGTGGATCCATGCTTTTTAACCACATTTTTGCACCACTGCAGCCCCAGGCAACAGTGGGTGCGTGGTTTTGGGGGGGCAGGCTGTAGCCATGGACATGCTATGTGCTCTGATGGTGAATTTGGGCTGACCCAATGCAAAGATCCTGAGGATCCATGTGGATCCATGCTTTGTAACCACATTTTAAGTGGGGAGGGAAGGAAAAACACAGAAGGGACAAGGAGCACGAGAGGGGTGTGCAGAGAAGCAGCTGGCTAAGAATGCAGGAGAGGGGTATAACGGGAGGGAGGAAAGGAAGGCAAAAGTTTCCCCCCACCCACCCACCCAAGCCAGCCAACTCCCGCTCTCTCTCTCTCTCTCTCTCTCTCTCCCTCCTGCATGTTTTCCGGCTGGAGCACGGAGAGGAGTTAGAAGGAAGGACGCTCTGCTTTCCCCTCTTCTTGCCTGGAGGGGAGAGGCTTTCCCTGCTCTTTGTTCCGTTTGAGCAAACACAGCAACGAAACAGAAGAGGGTGGGCAGTAAGACCCTGAGGCAGAATGCAGGAAAGCAGCCGCTTCCTCTTTTCAGGTTTCCCTTCTCCGAGACGCGCAATTTGATTTTTGCCTCCACTCGCGCCAGTCGGCTCCAGGGACCACACATTCGCTCAATAACACGCACAGACATTTCCCCTTCCTTTTTAGGAGAAAAAATATGCGTGTTATAGAGAGAAAAATACGGTATATGTCCAACAAATTCTCGCTGTTTTTTGCGTTGAATATATGCTACACAGTTAAGTACCTTGGGTTAAGTACTTAATTCGTTCCGGAGGTCCATTCTTAACCTGAAACTGTTCTTAACCTGAAACACCACTTCAGCTAATGGGGCCTCCTGCTGCTGCTGCGCCGCCGGAGCACGATCTCTGTTCTCATCCTGAAGCAAAGTTCTAAACCTGAAGCACTATTTCTGGGTTAGCAGAGTCTGTAACCTGAAGCGTATGTAACCTGAAGCGTATGTAACCCGAGGTACCACTGTATGGTAATTTATGGAACTAATAGGTATCTAAAGCCATTTGCATATGTTGCCACGTAATTAGTCCATGTAGAATGTAGGCACCCTATATATAGAAATGAGCAAACCAGTGATATTTTAGGGAGCAGGCTAGCAGGCGGGGCCCATTACTTACATCATAGGAGCCTACACAACACAAACCACTTTCTGTATGTAGGTTTTATTTTATTTGTTTTTTATCTTATATTTTGCAAATGTACACCCAGATTTTTCCCCTTTATTTTTTGGGGGGCTCCGAAGAGAGTGAGGCCCTAAGCTATAGCTTGTTTAGCTTATACGTACAGTGGTGCCCCGCAAGACGAATGCCTCGCAAGACGGAAAAACCGCTAGACGAAAGGGTTTTCCGTTTTGAAGTTGCTTCGCAGGACGAATTCCCCTATGGGCTTGCTTCGCAAGACGAAAATACCTTGCGAGTCTTGAGATTTTTTTTCGCTTTTCCCCCCCTTTATCTAATCTGCTAAGCCTTTAATAGCCTTTAATAGCCTTTTAGCAGCTAATCCCCTAAGCCTTTAAGCCTTTAATAGCCGCTAAACAGCTGATAGCGCTAATAGCGCTAATCCGTCAATGGGCTTGCTTCGCAAGACGAAAAAACCGCTAGACGAAGACTCTTGCGGAACGGATTAATTTCGTCTTGCGAGGCACCACTGTATATCCTGCTGCAGGATATCACCTGTTATGACTCCTTGGTGAGCCCCTGGGACATGACTGTACATCTCAGGGATTATGGTGGGTTCACTCACCCCTCGCCTTATACCTCACTTCCCTGGGCCCTAAATGCCATTGGAACTGAGAAGATTGATACGAGTGATTTCTTAAGAATTTCTAAATTTTCCTATTGAGCCAGTACGTAGATAGATTTATCAGCTACATTTGGTATTGACACTTTCCCTGCTTTCCTCTGTTGGAGACCTGGGGCTCAGCTGGGACTCTGGACTCCTTCAAACTGGGCTGAGTTTACCTTGCAGATGCAGGGCTTTTGCAGATATATTGCTGTTCATTTTCTTGCCATTAGGGGCTGCCGTCAGGGTTCTGGAGTTTCTGATTAGGCAGGCCCTTTGTAAATGGAGTTTTGAACCTAAATGAATGAGGTTTTGGTAATGTGCAGCAAAGACCCCTTATCCTTGCCTCGTGGTGAGGCAAGGCTCGGGTGGTGGTGGTAGGGCAGTCTCTCAGCCTCTCTCATCCAATTTCCCTGTAACATATTACAAATGAAAACCAAATGCAAAAAAATGATTAAAAAATCCAACATTATTAATGACTCAGAAAAAGGAAGAAAGAAACAGACGTTGCACCCACATTCCTCTCGACAAAAAGTTCTTTTCTTGTTATGAGCCATTTTCATTTTGACTGAAAGCTGGTGTAGAAATCTTTTAAAAATGCATTTATTCGACAACACCATAAATCTGGCTGCTCTATCAAACAAAAGCAAGTCCAAGAGAAAGCTTTATTCTGAGGCCTAGGGGTGCAAGAGGCAACTGAGTACTCTAATAATGTTATTTTTTGTTTGTAGCGTATTCCCTTAACACCCAGACCTGGCTATTGTCAAGAGACAAGAATGCTGGGTGAAATGGCGCTACTTGCCTGACCATTTAAGGTTATCCTGCCTTTTGGTTTCTGGCTTCCGGGGAAGCTGCTATTGTGCCACAACAATAAATTTAGCTCATTGACAACAGCAATAAATCTGTCCCGAATTGTTTGACTTGCTTAATCAGTAGCCCAGTTTCATGAAGCTACGGTGCTGTCACACAATGTTGTATATTTGATGCAGAGTTGCCTCCCAAATAGTCAGTATTTCATTATATCCTGTGAGGCATTTTTACAGTCTGACGTCTAACTTGTTTTCATTCTATGTCACAATAAATCATGGCTCCTTAGGATTCTCTCATCTGCCACCCTTCTCAACCCTCCCGCTACATGGATATTTGCCCAACAGAGACATACAGTACAGCTAACATACAGTTAAAACTCTCTGTTCTCAAAAACAAAGAAAGATTGTTTGTCACAATAATTTATTTATTTTTAAAGGAACAAGTCTTTTTATTATTTGTATTTTGTCATGCGCAAGTAACACGAAATGTTCTCATCTCACTTACCTACCTGGCTGGCTTTTATTTATTTCATTAATAATAATAATAATAATAATAATAATAATAATAATAATAATATTGTTATTATTTATATGCCGCCCATCTGACTGGGTTGCCCTAGCCACTCTGGGTGGCTCCCACCAAAATATTAAAAACACAAAAAACATCAACATCAATTTATACATTGTTTTTAAGATATGTCCAAGGCATTTGGATTTTAAAGCTAGAAGATAAAAATCAAATCAAATCCAGAAAATAGATTTTTAGCTGTTACAGGCAGCCCTGTATTGGGACATTTTTAATGTTTGATATTTTATTATGTTTTTCTGTGTATTGGAAGCTGCCCAGAGTGGCTGGGGCAACCCAGTCAGATGGGTGAGGTTTAAATAAAAAATATTAGAGGGATGGGAAACCTGTGACCCTCCAACTCCCATCAGTCCCAGCCAGCATGGCCAGTGATCAAAGATGATGGGAGTTGTAATCCATCAATATCTGAAGGACCACATCCCTGGGTTAAATAGTGCAATCCTATGCATATCTATGCAGAAGCAAGAGCTACTGAATTCAGTGGGACTTACTCCTAGTTAAGCAGGTGCATGATCACAGCCAAAGTCTGAAAGTCTCCCTGGAAGAAGAACTAGGACAAAGAACATTGCTTGGCATTATTTGGATCCAGTGAAATAATAATAATAATAATAATAATATTTATTTGTCTCCCATCTGACTGGGTTGCCCCTGCTACTCTGGGTGACTTCCAGCAGCACAGCAAAACATCCAATATTAAAAATATCTATAGTTTTTAATGAACATCTATAGTTAGTTTCATTCTGGGCCTACAGATATGGGTTCATTAGAATGGACCAGTTTTTGTTCCCACATACAACTTGGCTTGTTTGATTAGAGATTGGCTTTGTCCCTCATTCCACATTTCAACTAGGAAATATGTGGGAACTAGGAACCCGTTTTCTGGGTTAGTGGCACGGGATATGATGGCATAGTTGCTGTCACTTACCGGGCTGGGCTTGGCCAGCTTCCTTGAATCATCCTCACTGACTCCTCTATGGTTTACATTCAGTGCAGCACATTCGCAGTGTGGCACAGATGTGGCTTCCCTGAAGTTGCTCCAGTGACATTTGAATAACAGATTGCTTTTAGAATCCTATGAGCTATAATTGAATAATAATAATAATAATAATAATAGGGCTCAGCACTAGGTTTTGGGAAACCCTTTGTCATGTTATTGGATTGTCTTCTGCTAAAGCGGACATGGAGAACCCCAGAGTTCTTCACAGGCCACACCCCTCCTCATCGGCTCCGCTTCAAATCCTTGGCCGAAATGCATCCTCGAACTCTGGTGACTCTCGCTTGTCTGAATGGATGAGAGAGGGAGCTGTGCGAGTGTGTAGACATTTTGCAAAGGTAAAACATTATATTCATAACTTCAACCCTTTTTGCCTCTGGCCCCATCTACCACTGTCATGTGATCTCCAGAAGGCCCTTGGTGGCTCATACCCAACACATGTAGGCAGAGGTTCTTACGTCGAAGTAAAAAAGGGATCTTTATTCAGAGGGTAACAGTGGACAGGTTGGGCAGTGGACTCAAGAGTCACAATTCAGGAGCTCAGGGATCAGGCAAGATGTTTAGGACTGGACAGAAGCCACTAAGGTTCCTCAATAATTTTCACACCCTGCCCACCAAGCATTTAAAAAATGAGGCATGAGGTACTTAACTGGTGAGATTCACTTGCTTTGCGAGAATGTTGGGATTTCAGGGCAGGTAGATTCAAAGGTGTAACAAGGTCAGGTGGTATCTGGTGCGAATTTTTTTTTTGTCACCCCCCCACATTGCAATTTTTGGGAACGTTGCCCAGAGTTTTTAAGGGAGGGTACCTAGCATCCCCGGCGGGCAGATTTTCGCGATTGGTGCAGTCGTCATGACACCCGGGGCGGACCGCACCCCCCTTGTGATGCCCCTGGGTAGATCTGCTCCCACCTATGGAGAGCAATGTCTAGTTCTAGGAAACAAATTTGCCCCTCTCCTGAGACCAGGCCCCCCAACTGTCTCAATTTGATCAGGACGTCCCACAATTACAGAAGCCATCCCGGCTCCTGATTGGATCTCAGAATGTCCCACTTTTGGGTCTGCCGCGAGTCAGCTGATTGGCTGCCGCGAGAGCTCAGGACCAAAAAAGAAGCAACCCAATTATGACCAGCAGGATGTTGGAGGGTATGTGGGACTCTGTTAGAAGGTGGTGATGGGGGTGATGGCATCCCTGCTCCCCGTTCTGAAGTGGCTGAAGTCGAGGCACACTGCAGAGAGCCTCCCTCCTCTCACCCCAGTTCCCACTGATATTTGGCATCAATGTGAAAGAGATGTGCATGTGTCCAGATGTACATGCCTGTTCAGATGTATGTGGCCCCTTTACCTTGATGCCCAATATTTAGACAACAGGGGGAAATGTAGGGGCATGTGGTCCTGTTTCCTGCACCCATGTTCATGAATTCAAACAGTCTGCATCTGTATTGGAATTGTTTTGGGATGGTTTAATTGCTTCACTGCTTGTGTGTTTGCCACCTTGGTCTCCTTTGGGAGAAAGGGTGCGATATAAAATTTAATAGTAAGAATAGTGAGATACACTGCCCTCTGGAAGTTATTTTAAGTTGCCCATAGAATGTGAACCAACACAGGACTTTAACCCAGCCAGTGTGGTGTAGTGGTTAAGAGTGGTGGACTCGTAATCTGGTGAACCGGGTTCGCTTCCCTGCTCCTCCACATGCAGCTGCTGGATGACCTTGGGCTAGTCACACCTCTCTGAAGTCTCTCAGCCCCACTCACCTCACAGAGTGTTTGTTGTGGGGGAGGAAGGGAAAGGAGATTGTTAGCCGCTTTGAGACTCCTTCGGGTAGTGATAAAGCGGGATATCAAATCCAAACTCCTTCTTCCTTCTCTGGTCCAAGGCCAATATCTTTTCTACATACCTCCTAAGTATTAAAAGGGTGATATTTACTATTAGTCATAACCCTCTGTACATAATTACAGTGCACAATAACTATCATGTATGTGACAGTTTTACAGATGCGCAAAGGGACACACTGTGATGATTATGATCAAGTCCAAACAAGAAGCACTTCTTTTTAATGAGGACTGGGTTCTTTCCAAGTGTTGTAAAATGATATACTCACCCATTAAATTTATTAGAAACATCCATTAAAAAAATGGTTTTAGTCTTGATAATTTCTGGCAAAAGCCAGACTCTTCAGGTCAAAAATGAAATGGCACATAACATGACCCCTACATGTACAGCTGCTGTTAGTAATGCAAAAATCTATTTATAATGCATTTGGGGAGGGGAAAAATAATAACAATAATAATGTAGATTTCTTACCTACCCTTCACTACTGCGGTCCCAGGCCGGGTTACAACAATTAAAATCCTTGGGGTTACAACAGGATTCATAGAATCATAGAGTTGGAAGTGACCATGAGAGTCATCTAGTCCAATCTTTTTGCTCAACATGGGGCTCAAACCCACAACCCTAAGATTCTGAGTCTCGTGCTCTACCAGCTGAGCTATCCCAGGAACTGATACTTGGGATTAACATAGTCAAGAGTTTGGGGACGCCGGTGGGAGTTTGGAACTAAGTATTATAACATCCAGCAGCTAAAGTAGAACACATGCTTAATAAATAAAAGCACCGGTCTTCTTCACTTTGCTTTTCCTTAAAAAGATTCAACTTCTTGGCTATATTTTATGGAAAAGTTGAATCTTTTTAAGGATTAGCAGTCACTTTCTATTTATTTATGATTTACAGAACTGTAATTTTTGTGGGGATGTTCTTGATTTGTGTGCAAGTTTTTGCTTGTTGTACAGATGCCCTTTACTCAGTAACAGCCACACTCCCTCCCCAAACTGACCTCTATAGGCTCCTGCCAGTTTAGGGCCGTTAGCTTGTTCTGCTCACTGCAATATAGTTGTGGGGTGGGTTGGGAACTGGGCTAGTAATACCTATGTTTTAACCAAACGTGATCTCAGCAGCACCTGCCAGCCAGCAGTTTAAAAGTACTCCTTGTACAGCCTAGAATTTTCTTCAGGATATCCTTATTTTATTAATGTTCAACATCATTGGAGGTACTTATTTCCCTGGCAGGGCATGGGCGGGTAATTTATCCTTAAAACAACCCAGCAGGGTAGGCGATGGTGACAGGCCCAAGATCATGCTGTGGGCTGAGTAAGAACTTGAACTGAGGTCTCCCCCCTGTCCTAGGCTGGATCTAGACACATCAAAGAAGCGTTTCAGTTAAATGTGCTGTAAACTCATACAGGGAAATCCGGTTGGGAAAGACGGGACTCCACAGTGCCATCTGGTGTCACGGTGTTATATCGCATGTAAAAAGGTAGAGAGACCCCTGACCGTTAGGTCCAGTCGAGGCCGACTCTGGGGTTGCGGCGCTCATCTCGCTTTATTGGCTGAGGGAGCCGGCCTTTGTCCGCAAACAGGTTCCAGGTCATGTGGCCAGCAGAACTAAGCTGCTTCTGGCGAACCAGAGCAGCGCACAGAAACACCGTTTACCTTCCCGCTGGAGCGGTACCTATTTATCTACTTGCATTTGACGTGCTTTCGAACTGCTCGGTTGGCAGGAGCTGGGACTGAGCAACGGGAGCTCACCCCGTCGCGGGGATTCGAACCGCCGACCTTCTGATCGGCAAGTCATATCCAATGCATATAAAACACTTTTTCTTTACCAATCTAGCTGAGTCCCTAGTCCAACACTCTTAACTATTATGCTGCACTGCTTTGTTCTCTGGAAAGTAAATATACCTCTTGCTTTTTAAATTTCATACCTAGGTTGTGATGGTTGAAAAGAGACAGTTTGCAGTTCAGGCCATGATGGCTCTGCTCTGCCTCCACGGTCAGTGGCAGTAATGCTTCTGAATACCAGTTGTTAGAAGCCAAAGGAGGGGGGTAGGATCAGGTCCTACTTGCAGGTTTCCCACAGGCATCTGGTTGGCCACTATGAGAACACGATGCTGGACTAGATGGGCCATTCAGATGTCTGATTTGTCCACAGTGACACAGTTACATCCCATGTGGATTACTGCAACGTACTCTACGTGGAACCGCTTTTGAAAAGTGCTCAGAAACTTTCACTGGCTCAAAGAGCAGCAGCCAGATTGTTGACCAGGGCTGGTTAGAGCGAGCTGGTTATAACAGCTCTGCTAGCTAGTTTCCGCCAAAGTGTTGTTTATAACCTATAAAGCGATGGCTTATGTCCAAGCGATCTGAAAACCCATATTCACTCATATGAAACTATCTGCATTTTGAGATCTTCACGGGGGGCCCTTCTCTCAGACCCGCCACCATCACAGGGGGGGACATGGGAGAGGGCCTTCTCGGTGGCGGCTCCCACAATTTGGAACTCCCTCCCTAGAGAAGATAGACTGGTTCCCTCCTTGCTGTTGTTCTGCTGGCAGGCAAAGACTTTCTTATACCAACAGGCTTTGGAGAACTGACTGGTTTTAATGAAAGGGCTGGTGCTGTGCTATTTTTATTGTAATTATCTGTATGTTTTTTTAGCAGATGAGAGAGAGAGAGAGAGAGTTAATTCTATCAGTGTTTAATTGTTTTTTAATGGTTGCTTCCCGACCCCAGCAGTGTTTTTAGCTGTTCTTATTTTTATCTTAATATTCTTATGATTATTCCTATGAGGATAGCTTACACTGCTAAACCACTCACTGGTTCTGTATACTTATGAATTAAGTTCATCTTTCTGCAAATCCAGCTAGCTTCTAAGACGTATCATCGAAAAATAACTTAGTTTAATCATTAATGTGCTATCCTGTACATTTTTAATTCACTTGCTGACTTTTTACATTATTTCCCATAGGTGCACATTGCATTGAGGAAGACTTTCATCTTCAGGAGGAACGAAATATCCCAGTCCCTGTAGGGACAAATCCTGTCAGGTTCCCCTGTCCACCTCTGCCATGGCTCTTTTGCCTATCCTGCACTCATGGAGGAAGAAGAGTCGTCGTCAGTGGCCTACATGCGAAATGGGAGCCGCTCAGAAGCCCAGCAGTCTTAGCCAGCAGAATTACCAAACTTTGCTGGAGGAATGCTTGAAGAAACGATGCCTGTTTGAGGACGAGTTCTTCCCAGCCGATATTAGGTCCATTGGAAAGGGACCATTGCTCCAGAAACTACCTCAGAGGTTACTGTGGAAAAGACCACTGGTAAGTGATGGAAATTTCCGGAAAGGGTTGGTTTGGAGAGCTGCACGCCACATTCTCAGAGGGATTGGATGGATGGCCTGTGGTTCATGGGTAGAACATATGCTTTGTGCATAGAAAGCGTGAATCAGGCTGCATTTGACAACACCTAAGACACACAGGGATGGGTAAGCAAACAGTAGCAATTTCTGCTCTTGTTTCTGTTGGAATTCTCTGACATCCCTACTTTGCACACAAAGGGAGCACTTTGTACAAAACTGCCATTAGGCCACAGGGTGTTATTCTCACAGTGGTTTCACAGGCCTTGTTTTCCATTGAATGGCATACCGCTGTTCAAAATTGGGGTGCTCGGTTTTTGGTCCTGAGCTCTCATGGAAGGCAACTGACTCATGCAAGGGCACTGGACAAAAAATATGGGACATTTTGGCATCCAATCAGAAGCCAGGATGGCTTCTGTAATTCTGGGACAACCAGCTCAAATTGGGAAGGTTGAGGGGTATGGCATGAATGTATGAAACCTTCTGGCTTGGCATTTCCTTATAAGACTGCTATTTTCTTTTAACCTTTCAGGAACTGCATAGGACCCCAGTGTTTTACGCATCGAACAAAAAAAGGCTTGATCTGTGCCAAGGAGTGATAGGTAAGGACCTTTGTCTGCGTGTCACAAGTATCTCCTGGAATCCTAAACCCTCTTACTAGGGAGTAAACCCCATTGAACACGAAAAGATCTGCTTCCAAACAAATATGCACTGGATTACTTCTCGGGTTTTCTGCTGTATTTTGTACAATATTGCCCCATTCTCAGGCAGACCCCTCCCCCAGCCCTCCTACCTGAGACACCAGATTGAACATCAGACCTTGATCCATAAGCAGCTAGACAGAACCAGCAGAGCTAATCCAACAATACAATTTCTACATTTGTTGTTTTTTGTTTATATTTTACGCATGATAGAATAAAATGAATTTAAGGGGAAAACCCTTCACTCATGCCCTGTTGGGTTCCAGGCCAAACATTTCAACACGGATATTTGCATGGATGGAAATTGTGCGGCGGCAGAATAAAATTTTAGGTACTGGCACATAATTCCAAAGTGCTCTGTTTCATGGAAGGTTTGCTCCCTAATCTAATTTTAAGTTCAATAAAGAAGTGGCAAAATCACCCTTGAATGTGAAATCAGGTCTACATAATAAGGCAGGCACCAAAACAAGCCTGTTCTAAATTATCCAGTTACATGCTAACGATATAGTTAATAAGTATTCAAACTTACATTGCTTAAGTCCTCTGAAATAGGTTTGTATTTTATTCCGGTTTCATACTTGCTTTTAATGTTTGCATAGCTATGTAAGTTGCTTTGGGTCACTCCTTATGAAATTAAAAAAGATGAATAAATGCTAATAATGATGTTAATAATGCTGTTTACATGCAGTTATTTTATGTTGTCGTGTTTTGAATAGAGGACTGCTGGTTTCTGGCTGCCGTGGAAGCGTTATCATTTCACCCAGATATCTTGTCTCGGGTCGTGCCCATGAACCAAAGCTTTGAGAGGAAGAAGTATGCTGGGATATTCCATTTCAAGGTAAGCATCACCCTCGGCAAAGCTGATACGGCAAAGGTCTCCTAAGGTGCTTTCAGGTTTCGCTGTTTTCAAGCAGGATCCAACCCATGCTGTCCAATTCGGGTTGTGTAATCACTTTCATAGGTATTCTGAGCATTCAAAGGCAAAAACCACCTTTGTGAGATGCAGCGCCTTGTGTTTGAATTTGACTATCCATTGTGGCCATTCGATGAAGTTCAGTGCTCCTGTTTGAAGCCGACGCCCTTGCCGCGTTTCCAAACCCACGCCCTGGTGGCACAGCTGGGGTTTGTATGATCCAAGCTCTTCTGTTCTTGTTTTGCTCTTTTTGTCTCTGGTCTACTTCTCTCAGTCATCCATCTATCACGCTGAAGCAGTAAGTCAGAAAAATCTCCTCATGTTTTCCTAAAGCACCAGCTGATGGGTCGATGATGACTAAGTGTGAAGGCATGTCAGGGCTATAGCTGAGTCATGGCTTCAGTCCTCTCTTTAAGAATGGCCTCTTAGAAACGTGATCACCTGCTGAAGAAGATTCATGCCCTCTTTTCTTTCCCAGTTCTGGCATTTTGGCGAATGGGTTGATGTGGTAGTCGATGACCGACTGCCAGTGAACGAAGCCGGACAGCTTGTTTTTCTCAGTTCCGTTTATAAGAACCTGTACTGGGGAGCTCTTCTGGAAAAGGCTTATGCCAAGTAAGTGGGCCTTCCTGCATTCCACATTGACTCTCGCTATGAAATGGGGTCCATATACAGTGGTACCTCTGGATGCGAACGGGATCCGTTCCGGAGTCCCTTTGCATCCTGAAGCGAACGCAACCTGTGCTGGTTGCGATTCACTGCTTTCACGCATGCGCGTGACATCATTTTGTCCGTCTGCGCATGCGCGAGTGGCGAAACCCAGAAGTAATGCACTCCGTTATTTCTGAGTCACTGCGGAGCGTAACCTGAAAACGCTCAACCCGAAGAACATTAACCTGAGGTATGACCCTCTCTCTCTCTCTGTGTGTATATATATGTGTGTGTGTGTGTGTGTGTGTGTGTGTGTGTGTATATATATATATATATATATATATATATATAACCTGTTCATCCTTGTCTCATCCCTTTGTAACTTGATTGTAGGGATGGGCAACCTTTTCGAACTCGAGGACTGCATTCCTCTCTAGGCAACCTCCCAAGGGCCACAGGCATAAAGGTGGGCGGGGCCAGCATGAAAAGTGGGAGGAACAAGTAATGCGAATTTTACCTTTGTACAGTAGGCTAGTTTCCACACCCACCCATCCACCCTCTCTATCTTCCATCCAGATAAGCAGCAAGCATGGTCAGAGTTCAAGGATGCATTCCATCCAGGCATAAACACTCAAGGAGGGCTGCATAGGGGGCGTGGAGGGCCATACTTGGCCCCTGGGTCTAAGGTTCCCCATCTCTGCCCCATTGCAATAATCAATAGAGTGTCATATATCTATAATGCTTGGCATATTTTTATTGACAGGCTGTGTGGCTCTTATGAAGACCTGCAGATTGGGCAAGTGTCCGAAGCTCTGGTGGACTTCACAGGTGGAGTTACTATGACGATCAAGCTGTCTGAAGCTCCGCCTGACCTCTGGGATATCATGACAAGAGCAAACTACAGCAGATCTCTGATGGGTTGCCAGACACAGCCAGCCAGGAGAGTGGCAGATAAGGTATGCAGCGTCCAGGTCAGTTTATGTGGGGAGAGGTGTTTCTGAGGTGCTGGAGCCACATAAGGCTTTTATAAATCAAAACCATTACTCTGAATTGGGCCCAGAAACTATGTGGTGGTTAATACAGTTACACCAAGATCGGTATTAAAGGTTCAGACCATCTTGCCCCAGGCAGCAACTGAGCTGCTGATATTTTCACCGGCTGCAGTTTCTGAAGTACAGTGGTACCTCAGGTTAAGTACTTAATTCGTTCCGGAGGTCTGTACTTAACCTGAAACTGTTCTTAACCTGAAGCACCACTTTAGCTAATGGGGCCTCCTGCTGCCGCCATGCCGCCGGAGCATGATTTCTGTTCTCATCCTGAAGCAAAGTTCTTAACCTGAAGCACTATTTCAGGGTTAGCGGAGTCTGTAACCTGAAGCGTATGTAACCTGAAGCGTATGTAACTCGAGGTACCACTGTATCTTCAAAGGCAGCCGCATGTATAACACATTATATTAATCCAACCTAGAGTTTACCCAGTGAGCTTCTATGCCAAGCAGGGATACGAACCCATCTGTCCTGGGCCAAAATCAATGTACTACACTGGGTTTTGTGTTGTTGATATCAAAATGGGAAACAGATTTGGCCCTTTCCCAGAAATAATTCCCTCCTATACACATTACTACTGTGATTTTCCTTGTATAAGACGCCCCCCATGTATAAGACACCCCCTCTTTTGGGGACTCTAAATAGAGAAAATGGGGGGAGATTGCCCAGACTTGTTGGGCTTTTGGGGGGGTTGCCAAAAATCGCTCTCCTGCAGGAACGCAACAGCCAATCGAACACACATCGGCCAAAAGCAAGCACCGATTGCCCGCCCAATTGCCGCAGCAGCCAATAGCCAGTGGACCTTGCAGCACCCACCAATCACCCGCAAAAACGCCACGAACAATATCCTGCTTGCAGCAGCTACCAATCCCCCGTCCCACCTCTCCACTATCCATGTATAAGACAACCCCAAGTTTTTAGCACAATATTTTAATAAAATAACCTAGTCTTATACATGGAAAAATACGGTAAATCCCCCCTAATATAGAAAATGGCTCTACCGAATCTTAATTGCTATTGTTCTAATATAGTATACACAAACTCTCTTTTGCAACCATTTTTTTGTACGCCTTCTCTTAACCCAATTCAATTAGTCAGTTCTATCATATGATCAGTTCCATCATACAAGCCATATGTCACGCCATACTTAGCAGCAAATCAATGGAAGGTGGAGAAGGGCATTTCTGATTCTGGTGTATCATCAGTTTCACTGCTGTTAACAGATGGATTGCCATTTAGTATACTGAAGGTACTCCAATATCACTACTGGTCTCTACAAATATTTTGATGAGTCTACAAAAACAGACTCCCCAAAAGCTTTCAGCACTGGGCCATCCCACATAAGATGATAGATATTTGCTTTTGGGAATATGTCTTGCAGAAGCACCTAAAGCTATTTCACTTAAATATGCAGCTTCCCTTTTGACCCTGAGTTTTTCATGTTGGCAAAAGGAAGTGTCTCTCCATAGCAAGCACCATCTTGTAAACCTCTATTTCTGTGCCTCAACTCGATAATCTGTAGTTTTTCTTTCCTGAATACTTTTTTTTATATGGAAGGTGAGTCACCCCCTAATGTCAAAATAGACAAAGCAGGAAGTTTGCTGAGGTGTTTAGTGCAAACTGTGAGTGGCATTTACAGTAAACCCAATGGAAACTACTCCTGTTTACTCACTTTAGTTTTCTGCTCTCTCTCTCTCACCATATATTGAGTAGCATAAAAATGGTCACCATAATACAGTGGTACCTCGAGTTACATACGCTTCAGGTTACATACGCTTCAGGTTACAGACTCCGCTAACCCAGAAATAGTACCTCAGGTTAAGAACTTTGCTTCAGGATGAAAACAGAAATCATGCTCCGGCAGTGTGGCAGCAGCGGGAGGCCCCATTAGCTAAAGTGGTGCTTCAGGTTAAGAACAGTTTCAGGTTAAGAACGGACCTCCGGAATGAATTAAGTACTTAACCCGAGGTACCACTGTATCAGAGACTAGAGATGTGATCAAATTTCTGCAGTGTTTCGCAAATGGGCCCAACAGGGTTGGCGCTTCCTGGTTTACAGCATAGCTAAATGTTTTTATGCCCTTCGCTCCAGGAAAGAAACGTCCTGTCAAATGGATTAGTGTCTGGCCATGCCTACACTGTGACTGGCATTCGAAAAGTAAGTTCCACCTTTTTTTGTAGTTTCAGCTATGGTTTTATAATCTTCATCATCATCATCATCATCAACAGCAACAACAACAACATTATTTTAGGTTGAAGCCTATTCTCCCACTGCTTCATGCCAAGGCAATGCCCATAACCAGTCCTTTTTTTTTCTGGGGGTACGCATACCCCTAAACATTTTGTGAATTGAAGTTTGGCCTCATCGAGGGGCAGTATTTTAATATGAGTAGGAACATGAAAGTACTCCTAAACATATTTTTTTTAGAAAACAAGCACTGCCTGTAACATTTTGCAGCCGTAGGTGAAATTGAACAATGGCACCCTGGATGGATCTGGAAACCCCTGAGTCTTGTGGCATCCTCTGATAGTCCTTCAAACTGGGCACTTTAAAGTAGGACACAGGACCACCCTAACCACAAGGGTGGTTCTCGGTCCTGAGGAGTAGCAGGTATATGGCAGAGGTGACAGCTCAGGGTGTGTGGGGGCGGGGAGAAAGTCTGAATGGTGCAGCTGTTCTGTCTGAACATGAATGCCACTGATTTTAGATCAGCCTTCCCCAGCCAGCCCTCCAGACGATTTGGCCTCCAGCTCTCAACATCTGGAGGGCACCAGGTTGGGGCAGGCTGATCTACAGTCTCACAATACCTTGGACAAAAGCAGGGCTGTAGGGTACATTTGACATACACTTCTGCCCTTGCTTTAAATATTATCAGGCCTTATTGAAGATGATGAGCGCATCAGAATGGTTTCTTTCTCCACGAGCTGTGCTTCCTTTTAATGGCATGAATAAAACATAGAGGATAATAGCTGGGCCCATGTGTAAATCAAAGGCTGTAATTGATTCATGAGGCTCTGCTGACAGAGAGGCTCACATGTGCATGCTAAGCGGAGCCGGGTTTAAAGCTGAAAGCAGGTCTGTGGAAAGGGGAAGGTTGAGGAGTTCAGTGTTTTCTTCCACAAAATGCATCAGAAGGTGACCTGTCTCTGGTCTACACACCTTTTAACTCTTGCCACTTGCATGTTTAACCCCAGTTGGGTTAAATCCCCTGCTTTTAATTATCAATCATGTACAAACCAATGTTCTTTTTATGGCAGGGGTGGGGAACTTGTGGCCCCCATGCACTGTTGAACTGTAATGCCCATCATCCCTGACCATTGTTAAATACTCCCCCTCCCCCATTAAGCAAGCCGCCCCAGAGGAATGAGTCTGGCCGTGTGCATTAGCAATCATTCTGTTGCGTAGCATTGAGTTTTGTGTTGTTTTGTTGCACAGTGTCGATTTTTCACTCCACGTTGGTAGTTTGAAATGTCCAGTGTATATTGTTTCACCTTGGGCGCCCTGTTTGAGCTCTTTCAGGAGAGGGGCAGGGGGAGTAAGACCATCTTTTTATTACTCAATCTCTCAGCAGCTTTTGATAGCCTTGGCTATGGTACCCTTCTGGATTGCCTGTATGGAATAGGCATTGGAGGCACTGTATTGCAGTGGTACCTTTACTACCTTCATGGTCCAGTCCAGAAAGCAGTATTAGGGGAGTTCTCTTTGACTCCCTGGCAATTGTTCTATTTTCTCTCCAGTGCACCTCCATTGAGAACGGTCACTGGGATTTTTTGAGCAAGGCATCTCCCTATGTTCCTTTGGTCAGTGTGATTCTGACCAAAGGTCAGAGGAAAAGGCACTGTCTTGGAGGGACCAGGTTGCTGAGCACCTCATAGGCCAAAATTGGCTCCTTAAATTGTACCTGCAATGTTTTTATATGTCACCAGAGCAGCTGGGAAAGGAGGTTGTAACCCCGGTTAAGGCAATCTGTTTTTTGTTTCTGTACAGGTGACTTGCAAACATGGACCCGAGAATTTAGTGAGACTGAGAAATCCCTGGGGAAAAGTTGAATGGAAAGGAGATTGGAGTGACAGGTGCGTTTCTGAGCAAAAAAAAAAAAAGAGGTTATGGTTTATAGAGATGAACCCACAGTGCCACCTGCAGGCAGATACTGATCCCAACAACTGCATGAGATGTGAATATGGTGCTGTCACACTGAGAAGGGCAAGCCAAGTGGACAGAGTTGAGCTTATTTATTTTATTTCGACAATTTATTTACCACTTAATTACAGTTGCCCGTAAGACTTGTACAGGAGGCTCAATTCAATAAAATAAAAAATGAGTTAAAACTATACAAAAAAAATCCTGACTATTGAAGGGAAGCACCATAGCTTGGTAGTAGGGTGCCTGCTTTGCATGCAGAAGGTCAAAGGTTCAAATTTCGGCATCTACAAGTAGGACTGGAAATGTTCCTTGCCTGAAATCCTGGGGAACCACTGCTGTTCTCTGTGAGCAGTATTGAGCTAGATGGGTAAGGTAAGGTAAACTGAGCTAGATAGACCAAGGATCTGACGCATCTTCCCACATTCTCTAGCATCATTATTTTTGGGCGTGGCGGTCACAGTTTGCACCCCCTCTCCTGCAAGAAGGGTGCCAAGTCCAGGGCATTCTGGAGGCTGCAAAATGGTTGCTGATGTTGATGATTGCGGCGTCAGCAAAATAAAACTGAAAAAACGCAGGGGAGAAGAAAGCGTTGTGCAGAGGCGGAGCAAGCGGATTGGGGGCCTGGGGTGGCACGCGTGCCCTGCGCCCAGGGGCGGGGCCAGCTGCCCGTGGAGTGGGGCGAGCTGGGGCAGGACGCTCTGTGGGGCCTCTGAGGAGTCTGTCTGTCACTCAGCCGCCCTATGGCTGGGGGGGGAAGGCGGTGGGCGAACCGTTTGTGGCAGCATGGAGCCTGCGGGTGCCCAAGCCACTGAGTCACCGCCAGGAGAGACGCGTGGCTCGGGCGCACTGCAGACTCCGTGCTGAGTGCCACCAGGCATTTTGTCACCCCTCTCAGGGCGGACCACCCACACCACACACCCCTTCCTCTGATGGTGAGGTCCATCCCTGACCAACGGCTGGATAATTTCTTCTCCCCACTGCAGAAATTTGGTCACGTCTCTAGTCTCTGATATTGGTGACTGTAATATTAAATAAATGCTCGTAAAGAGCAGGCAAAGCAGAATAGTGGCCTATTCTGCAACAAAGCCGAGTGGGTTCCTGTTTTAAACAAATCTCTTTTCTTCCTGTCCCTTTAGCTCTGGGAAATGGGAGCAGCTCAGCCCAAAGGAGAAGATTTTGCTGCGGAAGAATGATGACGATGGAGAATTCTGGTACTTTAATGAAATTACCTCTTTGCTTCTCTCCCCTCTGCCCCCAGTGCAGGGTTTCTCAAATGCCTATAGAATGACTGCTCAGCTAATTGTCCCATGACCAGTGCTTTTTTTCCTGGGGGTACGCAGGGATACGCATATCCCTAAACATTTTGTGAATCTAACAGGAGAAGAAACAATTAAAAAAATATATAGTTTCTTCTCTAGCACGGTGAATCGCCAGTTCTGTTGCCACCTCCGATGGCAGCCTTTTGTCCATTTATTTTTCCCGATTTGAACTATAAAATGGTGATTTTCTTGAGTAAAAATGAGAATACCCCTAAACATTTTTAATAGAAAAAAAGCACTGCCCATGACCGTCCCTGCCTCTCCCCTGTTAGTAGGTCAGATATCCATATGGCATAGTTTTAAGCGGAAAGAGACCACTGTGGATATCGATGAGATTTTCTTCTCTGTCGTGTATTTAGGACTGGTAAAAAATACTTCTTAAAAACCTTAATTTCTGCTCGCTGAGGGAAAAAAGAGATGGCATGCCACATTCACACCAGTTTCTGGGAACTGCAGGTGGGTTGGGCCCTGCTTGTGAGATTACCAGTGGCATCTGGGAAGAAGCTGGACTAGACGGGCCTTTGAACTGATCCAGCAGAACTTTTCTCAAGTTCTTAGGTTCACTGCCCGCGCATTCACTGCTTCGCGGCTAAAACACTTGCCTTTGAAAAAGGAAGCATTCTTTTTTCTGGAACTGGCTGGTTAGTTGCTGCTTACAAGCACGACTTCTAACGATGATGGCCGCCTCGTATCATTTATCACCAGCACCTTAATATTGGAAATATGCCCTAAACCCTGCAAACATAGACGCTCCATCTGGCTATATGGCATTGTCTCTAATGAGTCCAGTTTGCTGCGATATTTTAAATAGGCATACCTCTAGTGAGCGGCTTTTTATCATACAAGTCGGGCCTGCAACACAATGTTGCAGCATAGAGTGCTCCCTCTTCAGGATTCTGGTTGTTCCAATTTCTCTCCCCTCTCTGATATTCTTCTTTTTATATTCTAGCAGTTATTCAGCATTTCCTGGACACTGAGCACTCTTGGTCCTCATTGCGTTTTCTTTTCTGGGGACGGGGGTTCTTAAGCTCCCAAGTTCTGCCGATATACTTAGGTGTTTTGGCTACATAAGCAATGACAATCACAGCCTGTGCCACTGAAATAGAGGGAGGGAACGATAATAACAAAGGGTGTGTTTGTGTGTGAGTGAGTGTAGTGCTACTGCTTTATTCAAAACATACACATTTTTGCATGCCGTTTCCCCTAACATAACACATTTTTGTATGTTATTTTCACCAATATCATCATTTTTTAATGCACACTTCCCCCCTGATAAGTATACATTTTTCTAAACATTGGTTGCAGAAGTACGTCTCAAAATTCAGATAAGTGCAAATTTTGAAGGATAGCAGTGTTTCACTTCACATATTGTTTTGGAAAGTGTGAATTTGATCATTTCACCTGGGATTGCAAACTGAAATTAATTTCTTCTCCAACCCTGCCTGGTATAGAATGCAGTTGGACTTGTGTTGCTCCAACCTATTCCGATTTAAAAACTCCCTCAAAAGTGAGATTAAGCTTTGTTTAAAAGGCTGCATTGTGAAGTCTGAAAATCCACATTTTCCCAAATGGGCACATGTGCACACCCACAACCGCACATCGAAGGAGAATACAAGTGATCCAGTTTCTCATGTCATACCATTTTGCCACTAGGTGGCAGTGTTACCACACAGTGCCGTTCCACCTCTTCTTGGGCTCCCAAACACCTCTCTGCTAAGAATTATTTGCGGTTGTCTTGTCTGCTCCTCCTCCTCATAGTGCTGCTGCTTACTGGTAATTACTAAACGTAAGCCAAGGCAAAACATGTATCCTCTGCAAGCACTCTTGACCTATAATGTGTTGTCAGCAGTCACACGCTTCGGCAAATCCAGTGTGAGAAATGGGAACCTGCAGACCTGTATGCGCATGATGAGAAATGGGTGCACGTCAGAGGCAAAACGCATCCGTTCTACGGTCAGGGATTTAATTTTGAAAGCAGCACTGGAGAGCCTTTCTGAGATAAAGGGCTACATTCCCTTCTGGGTCACATGCTGAGGGTGGGTGGAGCCAGAGGGAAAAGTGGGTGGAGCAATGAGCGGTCGGCTTCTTTCTATGTATGCTCACACACCCCCTCTCCACCCAGAGAAGCAGGAGGCACTATCAGAATTCAAGGACACAGGCTAGGCCAAACGGGAAGGACAAGCGGAGCTAGTGAGTGGTGAGGCCTTGAGGAGAAGGGGTGTGGCTTGTGAAGAGTCCAGAGGGCCAGATAGACCTCAGGGGCCACATTTGGTCTCTGGTCCCGAGCTTCGCCACCTCCATTCTGAAGAACATGGAACAGGAGGTAGGAACCAAGGAAGCTGCCTGATACTGTGTCAGATCATGCGCCATCTAGCTCAGAACGACCAATGGCTCTCCAGTATTTCAGACAGGAGCATTATCTGGAGATGCCAGGGATTCAACCTGGGACAGAAAACCTGACAGCAGCCTTAAACCTTAAACAAAAACAGAAGTTGTGTTAGCTTCAATATCAGTCCTAAGCCAGGATAGACATTTGACTCTGTGTCTTTGTTGTTCTTCTTTTCTCACAGGATGTCTTTGCAAGATTTTAAAACCCATTTTGTGGGCCTGATGATCTGTAAACTGACTCCTGATCTCCTGAGTAAGGAATTAGGGAAGAAGTGGACGTGTTCAACGCAGGTCGGCAAATGGGTCAAAGGAAGCACAGCGGGGGGCAGGATGAAGGCGCACAACGGTGAGGTGCCCCTTGGGGAACGCTTCTTTTGAAAATAATTTGCTGGCATAAATGAGCTAAGCACCTGCTTTTCTGAGCTAGAGGCTCACATGTTTGCATCTTGCACCTCCAGCTGCATTTTGGAGGAATCCCCAGTACTTGCTGAGAGTTCTGCAAGGCCACGGGAGCAAAACGTCCCTTTACTCCTGCAGCGTGTTGGTGTCTCTGATCCAAAAGCGTAACGACTATCACCGGAATCGGATGCCTCATCTCCACATAGGCCTCTCCGTCTATAAGGTTGGTGGAATCTTGTTGCTTTCCTGCTGAAACTGTTGGGGTAAATTGTCCTAAGCTGGGGCAGCCGATGTATGGTGCCCTCTAGATGTCATTGGACTCCATCTCCCATCACCCCCAGACAGCACGGCTGATGGTCAGGGAATGATGGGAGTTGTAGTGTAGCAAAATCTGGAGGGCACAGCATTGGCTACACCTGCCCTAAGCTGTTTCTCCAAAGCCCCTTGCAAGAAAATAAGAAGTTTCTTCCTAGCAGATTTCTTTTTCTTAATGCGAACAGAGAGGGACCCTGACCTACCAAGAGAGGCTGTGAATCAGAGACAGGAAAAAAGAAAAAGAACTGGGCAAGTCAACATCCCATGTAGGCGCAAATGATGCCCTCCAGCCTAGTTCTGAACAAGGCTCTCTTCTGCTTCAAGACTCCCCTGTGAGGAACCTGTGGCCCTACACATGGTATTGGACTATTACAGGTTCCATCACTCCTGACCGTTGGCCATGGTGACTGGGTCTGATGGAAGTTGGAGACCAAGCACATGTGGAGGACCACAGGTTCTCCACTCCTCTACCTTCAATAGATAGATGTCTAGAACAGCCTTACTCAACCTTGGGTCCCCAGATGTTGTTGGACTACCACTCCCATCATCCCTAGCTAATCCGGAATGATGGGCATTGTAGTCCACTGACATCTGGGGAACCAATGCTGAGAAAGGCTGGTCTAGGGATTTCAGCAAGTGTAGCTGCTGAAGCGAGTCAGGATTTCTGCCCCCCACTCCCCTAGGGCTTTTGACATTGTCTCCATCACCACCACCTCTGAACCCCACCAGGAGTCAGAGTTCATCCTGTGGCTGTTCTGGACTTCAGCAACCTTACCTCCCCAAGGTGCCTAGTATATGGGATAAGTTTTAAAATAGGGAGTTCAGTACTTTAGTGTCTGGTGGCCCTTTTGACTGATTCAATCAACTGTAACTTTCAGTTGTAAATTTCACTTGGAATTCTCTGGCTAATACACATTCTTCTTTCTTTTTTCCTAGGTGGGCCAGGAGGTACGTATATAGTCCCATGTTGCTTATTCACATATCGATCATGTATTCTTGCATATGCTTCCTTCCTGCTCTTTCCCCTCAGATAGGGTGGGCAAGAACAGATGCAACTTCTGTGTGCTTACCATAGCAGAAATTCTGATCTGAGTGCAATCTCAGTTGGGCTGGATTTAAAATCTTTTAAGGTGGAAACAATTGGATATTTGAAATGGTGTTTGTGCCAAAATACTGAAATGTGTTGTTTTCAAGCAGCTGCATCTCCCTCTCTCTCTACACATGCTGAGACACATGCACCCATTGCTAGGAATCATATGTGTGCAGAGAGCCTTTGCATTCAGGTCCTGTTTGGAAGCTTCCCAGGGGCATCTGGTTTTCTACTGGTTGGATTAGATGGATCTTTGGCTTGAACGAGGAGGGCTCTTCTTTGTCTGTTCTTATGAGGTGCTATGGGCTTTGCACTGACTTTGTGCAAGTGGGAAATGCCTGCAAGCTGCACAAAGTGTGCAGCCCTGATCAATTTTGCATTCTGGTGCCTTTGCACCTTCCACCCTGGCTCGAGGTTCATGTGCAGCCATGCCAGCTTACAAGCATGGGAATCGGATTTGCACCACGATCCTAACCGTCTTTGCTGGGAAGTTACAACTGCCGAAATCCTGTTTTCAGGGTATTGGAAAATCCCAAAACCTTGATGCTTTGTATTCTGCAGAACCTGGAATTTCTGTTCGTATGTGAGTGTTTGGGCATGGCTTTCCAAACTCCGTTCAAAGCTAGTGTGTCCCATTTTCTTTTCCACCTATTTTAGAGAAGCTTCTTAAGGCATTAAAAAAAAAAAAGATTGTTAATGCCGTCGCGACTCAATGCATTTCAAGATAATGCATTTTTATGGCTTAATTAAGCATTAATGGTGGTGTGTTCCTGAGCTATGCCCAGAAGCAGTAGACAGGGCTGAGTGAGAAATGGTTTTATTATATTTCCTTTTTAAGCCCCACAAGGTATAAATCCCTAGGGGAATTCACCCACTTTTTTTTTAGCTCATTCTTTGGCATTATTTGCAGATGCTACTAAATCGATGCTATCATTTCTTTTTGTCCATTGCATACAGTTAAATGATGTTCCCAAGTGCCTTCGTCTCAGATATTTTTGTTACACCGCCATCAAATTCAAGTAGATGTTATGTCAGGGAAAGAGCTGCCTATGAAGGCGTTTTTACCAGGACATAAAACCAAGAATTGGCAACACACTGGCTATATGCTGCTGTGCACTTGAGCCATGTGATGTGCATGGCAGATGGGAACAAAGCAGTGGCACGATTAACCTGCATGGGGACTAGAGTTTGGTTGATGCTGGTATATCCTTTGCTACCTTGGTCTGGGTCCATTTACATCAAAGTATCAGCTGAGATGCCTCCTCTGATTTTAGCAATGTCAGGACAAAAGGACCAGGTCATCAGAGAAACTGTGAATCTGGCCTATGCCAGGGGAAGCTAGCATGGTGTCCTCCTGATGTTTTTGAATTCCAAACTCCCCCATCAACCCTAGCCAGCATGGCCAATGGTCATGGATGTTGGGAGTTGTAGTCCAGCCATAGCCAGAGGACGCCATGTTGGCTACCTCTGGCCAAAGCTTTTGCCCAAGCCCAGATGGCCCAAACCATGTTGAGTGGGAAAATCCTGCATTGCAGGGGTTGGACAAGATGACTCTCGTGGTCGCTTCCAACTCTACAGTTCTGTGATTTCATGACCCACATATTTGGCTCTGTATGGTCTCAGATATGCTGTGGTTTGAAAGCCCAGCCTGTCTACCTACTGTCATGCTGTGAAACCAGTCTGGCTTCTACCCAAAGGCGCCAGAGGCTCAGGATCAACACACTGGTTGAGCCTACTTGAATGCAGCAGCAAAGCCAAAGTTGTTTGTCTCTTGTCTGGAGGTTTGGACCAATTGGGAGATAACACTTTTACATCCAGGCTCATTGAAGATCAGAGCTGGAGTCTGCTTGGAAGTAAATTCCAGGCTTGTATTGAGCACCAAGATTAATATAGTGAAGTACAAAACCAAGAGCAGTTTTAACATTGGAAATACAATGAATCACTGCATTGACTGAGGCATAAAAGCCTTGCATTTAATATATGATGCATTCAAAGGGGCAACCCCACCCTCTTAGGAGATGACAGATTGCTGCATTAGCAGGAGAGAAATACAACCAAAGAGAGAGCAAAAGTCTTTCTGCAACTGCTCTTGTGGGCAGCAAAGTCTGCCAGAGAGCAAAATGTCAGAGCCATTTTGAGGAATGGCCAAATCAGGAAGGCACCAGAGTTCTTAGCCAATGCAGTTATTGACCGTCTCCATGTCCGGCATTCTCTCATTCAGTCGCTAGTAATGGGAGATGCCTATTAACAGTGCAATTTTGCCTTCATCATCATGCCATAACGGGATGATGGGGTTGTCAAAAAGAGACCACGGTTGTAATTCTATTCTAAGCCTACTTGCGGAGAAGTAAACCCCACTGAAATCAATGGGGCTATTTTTCTGAGCAAAATTGGTTGCTTGCATTCTTGGGTTTTAGGACAACATGCACAAAGGGTATGCACCGATTTAGGAAATATTTGGACCACGCTGATGATTCTGTGTTGCCTGGGTATAATTTTTCTGATAAAGGCATTCTGTAGAATTATCATCGGTTCCCCACTTTTTCCATTCTATGTGCAGGATGTGTGCCCAATAATTTATTTTAGTATAGAATTTAATGGCCTTTGTATGCCACCTCATAATGCAAAGAGCAGCTTACAAGAAAAGTAAAAACTATTTTAGTACCTTGAAATGTGAAATCAAATGCTACATAAATATAACAAAAGAGGCTCACAAAATTGAATGTAGATTGAAAAATGGAGAGACCCTATTTAAAAGGCCTGGAGGAACAGAATAGTCTCTGCCTGGCGTTGAAAAGACCACAAGGATGGCACCAAGAGAGCTCCCCAGGGAAGGGTATTTCATAACCAGGGTGCCACAACTGAAAAGGCCCTCTCCCTGGCAACCACCTGCTTCACTTTATTGGTGGACACACCCAGAGCAGGGCATGTGAAGTGGGTCTTAAGGAACATGGAACAGGAAGTAGCTTCACAGGATCTGAGTGCTGGGAGGAAAAAAGTATTTGTTGTTGTTATCATGTTTCAGGCAAAATATTAGCATGTAATTTAGACAAATTCAAGCACCCATTGTTTTCAGGGTTGCCTCTGCTCTTTCATTTACTTCTAAGTAACATGGATGTGGTTTCTGATGACACATTTAGCATCACATTTATTTTGTGCCTTTGAAAATGGATGCTACCCCACCCTACTTTTCATATAAATATTAGCTCGTTCCTCTCCATGGAACTCTTTACATGACTTAAAAAAATAATAATCCCCAAACAGTGTAAGCTTTTTGTAAGTTTCTCTCTCTCTCTTTCTTCTCAGTACCATGACCTTAATAGAAAACTGCCGGCTGCCTTCTTTGTCTGGAACATGCCCCTGAATAGGGTAGTCTATGTAAATGACCGTGAAGTGACTCAGGATTTCCGGCTCCCACCAGGGGCCTATGTCATTGTCCCAGCCACTGCAGAATGCAACCAAGAATCAAACTTCATTCTGCGGGTCTTCTCCAGGAAGCACAGCCTTCAGTAAGTCTTCCGGTCTTGCTTTACTACAATCATTAAGGGACGGGGAGTGTGTAATTTTGCCAGAGGGAAAGGCTGGTGGTGGGTGCTCCCTGGTGGGAGGTATGTAGTTTGCCCTGCCTTTTCATGGCCATTGGTCAGGGATGATGGGAATCGTAGTCCAGCAACTCCCTGTGGAGGGCCACAGGCTTCTGAATCCTGGTCTATACCACTGTGAACTGTGACGACAACAACAACAACAATGGCAGCAATGTCATAGTAATAGTCGGTCCCTATTTGTGGAATGCTCTCCCTAGGGAGGCTTGCTTGGCATCTTCATTATACACCTTTAGGCGCCAGGCAAAAAACATTGCTCTTCAACGAGGCCTTTGGCTGATGGACCTCCAATGTTGTGGGAGGAGGGTTCTAGGTTTGTTTTTGTTCCTATTTTTATTAGGAAAAATTTGCATTTGTGTTTTTTATATTGTGATTTTATGTTGTGAACTACCCTGAGATCTACGAATAAGGGACGGTATACAAAATTAATTAATTAATAATAAAAATAAAATTCCATTATTAACCACTGTTCATTCTTTTATGAATTAGTTACCCAATCTTCATTGCAAGGTCCCAGAGTGGGGTACATACATATTAAATATCATGAAAGCAGCACTTAAAATCATAATTAAGCAACACAAAGATTACTGTAGTGCAGAAATGTGGTGTGGGAGTGGAGACAGGGCAGTGGGCACATAGCTTAATCTAAAATGACTCATTTGCTCCCAGAAAATCCCATGGCATCTTGTCTTACTGGCAAAAAGAGTTCAGGGCTTTCATTCCCAGCCACCAGTTGTCTGGCGACACCAGTTGCAATGGACTCATAGACTATCAATGAAGCTCAGAGACCACAGTGTGCTACAGTCTTCAACTTTGGGTCCCTGGAGGTTGTTGGACTACAACTCCCATCATCCCTGGCCACTGGCTAAGCTGGCTGGGCATGATGGGAGTTGTAGTCCAGCAGCAGATAAGAGCTCAAGGCTGCAGAACAGCTACAGGCCTGTCAACTCTGTAAAAGCAGATGGCTTCACAGCTGTGCCAACACTGGCTGAAGCAGCAGTGTTTGTGGGGAGAGCTTGATCCAGAAGAAGCATTGTGTGGGACGAAACAAACATTTCTGCCTTCCCTCCCCCTCTCACCTTGTTGCACTATCTGCACCTCTCACTGTACTTGTTAATATTTTATTTCAGTGAATTGGGTGGTGATTCCAGCTGTGTCCTTTCAAAGGTGAGTGGAAGAACCGCTACACCGCTTGACTTGCTTCTCTCCTCTAGTCCTCTGTGCTGACCTGGGATCCTCAGCAGAGCTTCCAGGGTGGGGGAACCAATCAGTTGAGTACGGTGGGCTAAGCTTGCAAATGGACTTTTATTGCTGGCCAGCTTCACTTTGAGGCCTGAATGGCAGGATGTAAATCTGGAAATATATAGGCGATCCCTGCTGTGTGCTTTTAAAAGGGGAGAAGAGGTGTAACTCACTTTGTATTTTAATGTTCTAACAGCACCACAAGAGTATGTTGATGTCGTAACTTATGGGAAGTGAAAACACTCCCTTTGAATGAACCCCAGCAGCTGACATTTATCATATCAAGAGAAAAGACTTAAGAATACATAAGCCAAGTGGATGCTCATTCTCACGGCATCTTGGGAACGGCAGTTACTGAGTGGGGGCTCTGACCTCAAAAGCCAAACTCAAGAGTCTCGTGGCTGCAGGTGTCTGTCCTTTCCCGCGTAAACTCTTGCAAATTGGCATGCAGTATTGGATTGCAGAAAGTCAATTTTTCTAGGATAAGTTTGACTGTCAGCTGTTCTCTTGCCACTAAACCTCTATTGGTCTAGTGGCCTGCTGATCCACTGCAATCCATTACCTAGATCTTGAGCTACAGCCTTCCCATCCTGCTTCTGTTCTGATTTGTTGTTGTTGTTGTCTGCAGGAAATAGTTGATGAACATGAAGATTGGGAAGATTTCTTCACTAAGTACTTTGATCAAGTAAGTCTGCCTATAGGGTCTGCCAGAGGGAATAACCAAACTGCCCTGTTCATGTTAGTTTCTGTGAAAAAAAATTGTAGGAGAGAGAGAGAGAGAGAGAGAGAGGGAGAGAGGGAGGGAGGGAGAAACCTACATTTTGGAACGCATGCTGATGAAAGCCCATCAGACAGTGCCTATAGAACAATCCTGCCACTATGGTTTGACTTGATTTGTATATATTTTCAAACATATATCAGCTCATCACCACTTGAAGGAAGGAAGGAAATTGGGACAAAATAATAAAGCCGGTTGCAAGGTTCACATGCAGGTAGAGATTCCCATGATAAGCTTTTAAATATGAACATCCCTCTCTGATGACCATAGGCACTGCTGATATCTTATGAAAATGCCTTGACTTTCACAGCTGATTTGTGACTGCAGCTTCAAAACTCAGTTTTCTATGTGATACCTCCATTAAAAATTATGGTCTTTTGAATGCGTAGAACTTGAAATATGCAAAGCTTGGGTTTTTCTATAATATCTTGTCTCTCTTGCTTTAGTATCCTGAGATTAATGCAATGCAGCTGCTGAGGATTTTGAACAATGTGGCTTGGACGAGTAAGTATGATCTGGACTGCGGAATGCAGCATCACGTATGTACACGGACCCAAGTGCAGAATAGCAGTGAGGGTTTTCATTATGTAGCTCAGTCTCCACAAGAGATGGGTACATTTCTCATTAGGCTCTGCAGATGGTATCGTGTCAACCTCTATTAATTGTGTTTAAATGATAACATTTTCATACTCTTAATTATAGCAACTCTACCACTTTTACTTTCTGGGGCTTGGGAATAAAAGTGAAAGAAGTCTTTGCTCTCATGTTCTGCTGGTGTGCTCCCATAATAATAATAATTTATTATCTATACCCCGCCCATCTGGCTGGGTTTCCCCAGTTACTCTAGGTTGCTCCGAACAGAATATTAAAAACATGATAAAACATCAAACATTTAAAACTTCCCTAAACAGGGCAGCTTTCAGATGTCTCCCAAAAGTCAGATGTTGTTTATTTCCTTGACATCTGATGGGAGGGCGTTCCACAGGGCGGGCACCACTACTGAGAAGGCCCTCTGCCTGGTTCCCCATAACCTCACTTCTCACAGTGAGGGAACCACCAGAAAGCCCTCGGCGCTGGACCTTAGTGTCCGGGTTGAACAATGGTGGTGGAGATGCTCCTTCAGGTATACTGGGCCAAGGCCGTTTAGGGCTTTAAAGGTCAGCACCAACACTTGTAGTAATCTGGTGGGCCACCAAACCCCAAGATGTAGCAATGGCAGCCAATGTGGAAGAAGAGTGCTGTGGTGCTCAGGTCCTGTCTGCGGGCTTCTCACAGGCAACTAGTTACTCTCTGTGAGAACAAGATGTTGTACCGTTGCATCAGCGATGTGATCCATCAGGAGCCTAGGACCAGGGGCAGGCTTTTAGGGTTGTGCCCTTAGGCATACTCCTAAGGGAATTTCCAGAAACAGAATATCACATCTGGCTGAGGATGCAGCAGTGACGGGGGGGGGGGGGCAGGGGGAGAAGGAGATGCAACAGAGAAAGTGACTTTCTCCAAGCTATACATCACAGAAGAGGTGGCATTGCAGGACTGGAAGCTGGATGCTAGTAGCTAGAAGAGAGTGAAACAGACATCAAGAACGCAGCAGTTGAGGGAGTTGGAGGGGCATCGCCACCCTCCTGCTGGTGGTGATATGATTGCTGGGGTGGGCATGGGGCAAGGCACTGGTGAGGTTGTGGTTCTGCCCTGCCAATCCCAATGGACACCAGCCTGCACTCGTTATAATTATTGTAGTTCCCTTATGGTTGTATCAAAGAACTTTGAAAGCAGGCATATCCTTAGGCAATGAATTATCATGCTCTCCGTTAAGGAAGGAGGCTGCAGCTACAGTATGATTCAGGGTACTGATCATCAGAGCCCTTCAAGACACACCCCTGTGACTTTGGTCTTGAGCCTGGGGCACAGCTTGAATTCCCAAGCTGTGAGAGCAGAGAACCATCTTCAGGCTCCCCAAATTCTCCATTAACAGAGCCATCCTTTCTTACTATTTAGCCTTTCCCCTTTGATGTCTTCTTGTGTCATAATTCCTCTGGCGTTCCTCTTCTCCAGGATGTTCCCTATGGCAATTTCTCCTTCCATTACCAATGCTTTCTTTTTATTTTACTTATTGATAAAATTCCTTTCCTGCTCTTCATCAAATATGATCTCAGGTTGGCAACAAGTTCAAATATAATGAAAATGGAACCACAAAATGCAATTGAAACAAAAACAAATGAACAGGTATAGTTCCAGGAAAAAACAAAACTTAGCTGCATTATTTTTGTTGAATGCATTTCCAAAAATAGTATATACTATGCATTGCTGGTTGTTACCATTTCTTTTCACTATTCCTATCTCTGCCCAGCTCCTTCCCCCACCCAGTCCTGCTTTCCCACCATGGGAAACCTTCTTGGCTGACTCCCTCTCAGTTCAAGATACTGCAAACAAACCAACAAACTGGCCCCTCCCATCATATTTTTTTTAGGGAGGCTTTTGGTTCTGTAGTATATTTCAATTTCTTTATTGTTCACTCTTTCCTGTGAATGTTTGTGCCATTCATATTTTATTGAGCGTACCCTAAAAACATGGGGCAGACCAATCCTAGTGGGGACTGCCAAGGTGTGGAGGGGCACATCCTGTGCTCTACCCTTGCCCTGCTGCTGCAACATACTGTTTGGGTGACCCCCTGCTGGCTGTTGCTGGTGGGAACACCCCTGCCAAGAGTGTTTCCTCCGTAATAGTGGGGCCTCCGTAACAGTGGAACCCTCTGTTGGTTGAGGTTAGCAGGTGGAGATGTGTACTGGATCCTAACCCCCACCAACAGCATGAATAGAGGTTGGCGACTGCAGACTTAGGTTAAGAAAATGTAAAGGGACACCTGACAGTTAAGTCCAGTTGTAAACGACTCTGGGATTGCGGCGCTCACCTCGCTTTACTGGCCGAGGGAGCCGGCGTTTGTCCGCAGACAGTTTTTCCAGGTCATGTAGCCAGCATGACTAAGCCGCTTCTGGCAAAACCAGAGCAGCGCACGGAAACACCGTTTACCTTTCCACCGGAGCGGTACCTATTTATCTACTTGCACTTTTGTACTGCTATGTTGGCAGGACAGAGCAATGGGAGCTCACCCCCTCGCAGGGATTCGAACTGCCGACCTTCTGATCGGCTAGCCCTAGGCTCAGTGGTTTAGACCACAGCACCACCCGCGTCCCTTAGACTTAGGTTAGCATCCCATAAAAATATTGAGCATTGTGAATAGCTTAAGGGCAGTCTGATTCCTTATATCCCTAGCCAATCACTGAGCTCTTGGGGGGAGTCTTTGTTGATGGTCCCCGTATGGCTAAGATGCACGTCTCATATCTACTAGAAATCGTGCATTCAGTGTTGCAGGACCAAACCTGCAGAACTCCACCCCAACTGAGATTAGACCGGCACCCTCCTTGTTGAACTTGAGGTGCATGGCAAATACCAGCAGGCATTTTGTGTTTGATTCCATGATGCATTTTTGTATTGCTTGGTTTATTACATGGTTTATTTTGATGTACGCCGCTTAGAAATGCTAACTATTAAGCACTATGTAAATGCCTCTCAATAAGTGAAAGGCAGATATGGGTTCCAAGAAAGCCCAGTTCTATTTTTCCTCTGGGCTGTTCTACCTCCAGATACACACAGCTTATAGACCGAGCATAGCCAATAAACAAGGTAGACGATTCCTAATTTATAAATGGATAAGATCTGAAACTGTTGACGCTAATGAGATAAAAGCTCTTGTGGCACAGGTTCAGAGTAAACAGAAAGCAAAACAGAACCTTTCTCTCTATTCAGGGTTTTGGCTTCTTTTAGGACTGAGGGTGAGATGGCTATTTTATCTGTGCTCGAGTATCTTTCCAAAGTAACCCATCAGGCACCAGGAAATCTATAAGGAAACTAACCAGGCTGTGCTGCTCATCTTTTATTCTTCATAGGCAATCAATTTTAAGGCTTTCATTTCCAAACTTTACAGTGCATGATTCATATTTAATAAACAGGGCTATAATGAGATTAAAACATTGTCGGTTTCTGTAGAGAAGGGATCGGTGAGTTATGAGCCTGTTGCCTGCTCCATGGAAGTCTGCAGGCAATCTATAATCATGATTTGCAACAAGATTAGACTCCCTTTCTGTTCCATTTCTTGTCATTCGCTTATCGCTAACCGAGGCTCGGCTCTGTGTTTTTAACTCGTCTATCTGTTCGGTCTCCTAAGAGAGGCAGAGGACACAAAACTTGTCAGATTTATCCCTGGTTGTCGTCTATTGCTGCTAGTCGAGCTACACAAGGGACAAATCAAGCAGAAAAAGGCAAAGACAGACTTCTCCCAAGGTCAATCAGACACAACCGCCTGTGCACATTTCCTTGGGATTGCATGTCATTGAAACTGGCGGACTTGAGCCATGCCCAAATACAAAGGTGTAGGCTGGTTTCTGTTCTTTCTGACATCTTCTGTAATAGTCTGTACCTCACGCTTTGTGTCTGTCTCTCCTGTTGAAGGCAGTTGCATGTGAGCATGCTGGCGATGCGCTCTGTTCCAAAGAGGGCTACCATTACCCCTTGGGACCCGGATATTATTCTCCTGCTTGTGGATTTGCTTTGTCTTCCTATTCTCATTCAATTATACCTTTTTTCCCCTTTCCAGAGCTTCAGAACCATGGCCCGAGATTTAGCCTGGATGCCTGCCGGGGTATATTGGCCCTCTTAGATGTATCCTGCCTTCTTGGTTTATTTTATTGTATTTTTTTCAGTGTATATCTTTATTGATTTAAAATAAATACATTTATGGGGAAACAGACAAACAAACAGACAGACGTACAGTCAAACAAACAAACAATAGAAAATCAGACAACCACAATATTAGAAACAACAAAATTAATATAACTAACATCCTTTATACTCCAGATACTGAAAGCAATTATAAAACTTATAAAGAAAAGAATTAAAAATGACTTCCAATTCATCTCACTGTACTTTATCAATTACCTTATACCGCACAGTTACATATTTCTTATATAGTTTCTTTTACCCTCCCTACGACCTTATATTTATACAATACAAGGAACAGTCTAATTCTGCCAAGATGTTTCCTTTTATACCATAGTTTTTTAAGTATTCTTTAAAGATTCTCCAATCCTTATAGACTTTTTGTTTTGGTTGGCCTCTTATCCTTCTTGTCATCTTCTTGGTTTAACTGTAGCTGTGCTTTGGTGTTTGCCTGAACACACAAATATCTGTCTGTGGATGAGGGGCAGGGGGCAGCTGACACGTTCCAGTGCCTGTTGCCCCACCTGCTCAATCCTTGACCCTTCCCATATTGAGCTGTGAATGTCTGCAGGAAGCTTTTACCTGTTTTTAGTTGAACAAGACTGGGGACCCTGACAAAGCGGGAGTGGGGGGAAATCTTGCAAGATGTTCCAGTCCTGTTCAAACAAAAATGGCCTGTGGACCTTCCATGCTCAATACGGGAAGGTTAGGGACCGAGAAACAGGGTGAATTAAAGGGTGATGTCATGGATAGATAGGGTTTGCATGCCCTATGCCCCTGTTTTAGTCCACAGGAATAACCCACACATGAATACCTGGTTCTGTCGGGCAGATAGCAAAATAATTGACCAATGTTTCACCACCGAAGAAGGTGGTTGCTTTCTTTTGACAGTCTCCAAATATGGAATAGTTACATATTCAACTCCTTTGAATTGTAGGGAGGTAGAGAAATGGGAAGGAGAAAGGCAGAGTCCATAGGGCTTTCTGGGAGATCTCCCATCCAGGTGCTGAGCAAACTCAGACCAGCATAGCGTCAGTGAGATTGCTGGATCATGTCTCTCTGGACCAGACCCTGAGACCAGGGAGTGACTGTCTCCTTGCTCCTGAGCAGTAGTGCCTGAGTTTTTGACATTTGTTTTACTCTTCCCACCTTGTCCCTGTTTATTAGAATGTAGGCCTGCAGGTAGGGTGTCTTGTTTTAATTTCATGTAAGCCGCTCTGGGAGCCTTTTTGGCTGAACAGCAAGGTACGAATGCTATAAAATGAATGAATGAATGAATGAATGAATGAATGGTGGATGGTGAGTTGTTATAGTCTGGGTGGTTTTGCTCACCTGGCTTCCTCACACCATTGCCTGCTATTGCCCCTGAGTCTCATTCCCATTTCCTCCTATTGAACATCCTATTGAACATTCCCATTTCCTCCTATTAAAGCTACAGACCTTGGAAAGATTGGTAGCCTAGGAATGGGGTAAGGAGAGAAGGTAAGACTCCTCCTGAGATCTCCAAAGCGTGCCAGGCAACCCGGCTGAGACCTTAGGAAGGATGTCTGGTGGAGGCCAGGATGTCTCTCTTTGTAACCAAGGCTACGATCCCAACCCTGGGAGTAAACCCAATTGTACTCAACAGAACTTACTTCTGAATAGACACAGTTAGAATTGTGCTGAAAGTTGCTCTTATAAAGGCTAAATCTGAGTAAACAGTGTATGTGCTTGTTTTAACTCTCATGAATACACAGTCCATAGTTTGCTTTGTGCTGTCTTTGAAGTTAATGAGAAAATGATCATTGATTTTAGGAAAAGGAAGAGTAGCCCCTGGGGCAAGGTTCAAAGACCTCTTGAAATCAATAACGTAGCTTTGACTTTGGTTGCATTAGGCGCTAGGTCACATTTTTAGTGGAAGTACAAAAATCGAGAAATTCCCCCAGTGGCTTCTCTACTTTTAATCCAAAGTCTTTGACTTTGCTGCTCTCAGGTTGGTCTAATCAGAACTTTTCCAGGTTTGCTCATTCTCCCCCAGCAACAAACTTCATTTGAATATTGTACACCTTGACCACACAATTCAGTTTAATAACACTGGCACCTTGAGCATTCAAGAATTCAGATGCCTATGGAAGAAGCTGCTTCAGTACCAGGTAAAGAAGTGAGTGTGTGTGTGTGTGTGTGTGTGTCAATATGACAGTTGAGTGGGTGGAGATTCCATGGATAAGAACCTCATTACTTTCTCACCATTTTTTGAAGCTCCTCTAGTACTGGAGTTGAGAGGGAGGCAATAGGGGCAATTGCCTCCTTCCTCTCCCAGTTCTACTACTGGTGCTGGCATAGGGAGGAGGGGTGGGGGGAAAGGGCAGGTATCACTACCACTCTGAGAAGGCTGAGCCACCCCCTCTTTAAAATACCAGGGTGGCACCAGGTGGAAACCATACTGTGCAGATAGGCATTGTGACCTGCCTCCTCAGCCTCAAAGCTGTGCTTTTTCTGGAGATCCCTGGAGTCCTATAATTCCCAGTGGTGGAAAAGGAATTTCCTATAGGTGAGCAGGCAAGGATGCTGTGTGTGTCCCCACCAGGCTTCTACTAAGTCACAAGCAACTAATAAAGGTTAAGCTTAACCTGGCATCAGGTTCTTCCCAACCCAACCACTTTTTTACTGTTTTAAAAATACTTCCTAACAGGATGTGGACAGAATTCTACCCTGGCTGCCAGAGGTTTTTGTGGCATGCAGAAAAAAGGTTTTTTTTAAAAGAGCTGCTGTCAAGCAGGCAACATTTAGGGGGAGGGAGAGAAAGAGAGAGAAAAGGAAGGAAAGAACCCACTGCTAGCCACCACAGCCAGCTTAAGCACCTTCTCCCCCTGCTCAGATCTTTCATGCAACAGTCCTGCTCACACGCCAGAAAAAAAGCAACATAGAACCACCACCCCATTTGCCACCTGCAGATGGGAGTGGCAAAGTTAGGAGTGCCATTTTGAAGTTCAAAGCTAGCCCAAATATTTCAACAGGAAACTAAACCCTGCAGCCTACATAAATTAAGCAAACAGTCACAATCTTTCTTGTTGTGCATAATTTAGTCTATTGTTTTGCACTGTTTTATTCTGCTTCTTCTAGGCATGGGCAGGAACAGGGCAATGTTTTGGCCTCTGTCCTGCCTTGAAATTGCTCCCTCCCCATTGGGGGATGGGAAGCTAAAGGTGAGCTAGGAACTTGAGCTGCATCAAACCTGAACCAGATGCTCTGTCACTGAGCTATGACCTCCCCACCTCCCCCCCCTCTCTCTGTGTGTAGTCCTGTTCTTAGCTTGTGTCCAGATGGGCAGAAAGGTAGCCAGACAGACACAGAGAGGCAGATCTATTTCCGATGGTCCTATCAATTCTCCATCTGCAGCAAAATGGATAACTCTGTTGTTTTGCTTTTCAGGTTAGGCCGTCTGCCAGCATTGTCTGCTTCCCTCAGGTGGCAACAGGACCTCTGCACCCTTTGCATTGAATGAAGAAAGGGGTGGCAGTGGTGCAGGCGTAGCCAGCTGAGGGGTAAATGGGTTGGTGTGCCCTGCTTACTTAGTTATCTTCCTCTTTAATTTTTTGTGACAGGCAGTTTTCCAGAAAAATGACATTCAGCAAACAGGAACCTTGGATCAAGTAGAGCTGCAAGCATCTGTGCAAGAATTAGGTGAGGAAAAAGGAAGAGTTTTGTTTTTGTAGCATTCAAGCTTGCAGACTTCCCCCAGGCATTTGGGTGGCTTCTGTGAGCTAGTCTTGTGTTCTTTGGTCCTTATGGGATCCAGTCTGACTTTCTTCCAGAAAGAGCTGCAGGTTATAAAACAGAGATGAGGACCCTATGACTCTCCAAGTAGAGCTCCCATCATCTCCAGGCCCATGTGGCCAATGATCAAGGATGATGGGAGTTGAAGTCCAGCGACATCTAAGGGCACCACGTTGGCCCTTTCCCCTGCTGTAAGATACGCTGGGCATGTGCTGAAGCCTCCTGTGCTGGACTGATGCTGTGATATAGATTACATAGCCTTCCTAGGTCAGTGATGGAGAACCTGTGGTCCTCCAGATCTTGTTGGGCTTGCATCTCCCAACAGCCCCAGCCAGCATCCCAATGGCAATGGAAGCTGTAGTCCAACAACATCCTCTAAAGGCAAATTTGAGCAAGTAAACATTTCAGCAAGAAACACAGTTTTCAGTATTGTCCCATCATCAGGTTATCTGTTTGGTTGCAAGTTGCTCTGAGTTGCCTAGGGTAAGATAATGTGGCTAGCAGTTTTAATAAATAATAATTATCCATGATAAGGGCTTGGAATCCACCTCTTTCTACCGCTTCACTCATGGGATTCCCATTTATCCATAGAGTGGTGTCCTAATTAATCTGATGTCCCACTACTCACATTTGCTATGTGTCAGTCAAGTACAGTGGTACCTCAGGTTAAGTACTTAATTCGTTCCAGAGGTCCCTTCTTAACCTGAACCTGTTCTCAACCTGAAACACCACTTTAGCTAATGGGGCCTCCTGCTGCCGCCACACCGCAGGAGCATGATTTCGGTTGTCATCCTGAAGCAAAGTTCTTAACCCGAGGTACTATTTCTGGGTTAGCGGAGTCTGTAACCTGAAGCATATGTTACCTGAAGTGTATGTAACCCGAGGTACCACGGTAGTTAGTATATAACCCAATGCAAGCAGCACAGATCTGTTTTGCCAGATCTCTGAATCGTCACACATTTTAGATCAGACCAGATAAACTGCACGCTCAAAGAACACAGTAGCAGATTCATTAACCTACACTGTTTTTGGAAATGCAAGTTGTTTGTCCCACTAGATTTTTCTAGAAATGAGCTGAATTGAATCTGAGGATTAATTTTCAGCCACAAACTTTTGGCTCTTCAATAATTACGCTTGATTAAAAAATGGCTGTAAGGTAAATGGTGGCAAGGTGTGGGGAAAGCAGCTTTGTTAAATGAGATTAGTACAGTTCACAGTGACACTGGAGCTGGAGCATAATTAACTTAATTTAGCTTGAATCTAACATATAGAAAGCACTATAAAAGTTACACTTCAAAACTGTATATGAAAAGAAATGAAATTAGAATTCATTACAATTCACTTGCTACACCGTATGACAACAATAAGCCAATCATCACCGGAAGCATAATGCAATTAAAAATACAGCATTTTGAACATCAAATTAACAAACTTTGTGTGATTAAATTAAGAAATGCATTATTAATTGATTTGGTGCACTTCCGTCGCATATTCCATTGCTCTTCATGTAACAGATGCTTAAATCCCAGTGATTCTCAGCGCTTTACTTTCATGTGCTTCATGGCAGTAATTTCCTAATTGATGGCATGCAAATTTCTGTGTGGTTCTGGGGAAGGGAGGGATGGCTTCCTAATTGAAGAATAGTTGTCTTCCAGCATCATCACTGCCACCCTTTCCACTGTCTTCATATGTAAGGCCAGTGTAGTTAGTTTCAGCCTATGACCGGCAAGAACCAGGTTAAAATCCCCACTCAGCCACAAAACTTATTGGGTGATTCTGGCCTGTCGCTATATTTTAGCCTTTCCTACCCCACTGAGTTGTTTTAAGGGATTCAAGATGGAATAATATCAATGTAGTAAATAATATAACTAGGACCATCCACAATCGAGTCCAACTTTCTGCCCATGGCAATGCCTGGGTTCTGTCAGGGTGCTGTCAGCAGTTCCTGGCTGGTTGCCCAGGAAAGTATAAAGACAAGGGAAAGTTTCTTACTGTCCTTTTTTATTTCAATCTTTACAGAGAGAGGTTGTAGAACCCAGCCTCTTGGATAATGGCCTTGTCCCGAGTAAATCTCCACCCCTCGTCTCTCCCACTTCCTCATTTGTCATTCTCATTGTTTCTTCTACGGGTGCTGCTACGTGCCCTCTGTCTTTGGGCTCTTTGCTCTCCCACTTTTAAGGCTTGCCAGGTTCTGGGAGATGGAGGGTTGGGAACACTTTCTAATAACAATGTGTCAGCCGGGTGTTGTTCCGGCTCTCCCATGATTTCCCAGCTTTTGCCCTCATCTGCCTCTGAGCTGCTATCTCCCTCAAATGCCTGTTGTAAATCTGTACTGTTTTCCTCCTCCTCCTCTGTAGAAGGGTCAGGATGGGGAGAGGCGGTCTCCACCTTCCTCCTCTGCCGAGTCCCTGACAGCTTCACACCCCTCTGATTAAAAGCAGCATGGTGTTTTTGTAGCCGTAAGAATGAATGAGCAGTTTAGCCACAATAGGTGCTAAATGTCCAGCAGCTTTCTCACCAAATGGGAGTTAAGTGTTCTGCACTGGGGGGGAAAGGTGGATAAAATTAAATACATGAAAAGCAGTCCAGAACTGTTTGCACTGTGATTGCATGTGGAAAATCGGAGCATTAAGCCTAAATGTCTTTGGGGTTTTTTTTATCTTACTAAAGGAATCTCCCTCAGCAATGAACTCTGCAAGCTGCTGGCCATGCGATATGGGAACCCTGGTCTGAACATCACCTTTGAGAGCTTTGCCTGCTTCATGCTGCGTGTGGAACTCATGATGGGTGAGGAGGCAGATGACTATTTCTCTCATGTGGGACTCCAAGCAAAATTGGGTTTCAGTCGCAAGTCCTCTGTCTGTAACATAATGACTGTCTTTGGACATTAAGGAGAGAGCAACACCGTGCATTTAAAGCACATTCAACACACCTTCAAAGCACATGACTTTCCCCAAAGAATCCTGGGATTTTTAGTTTCTTAAGGGTGCTGGGAATTGTAGCTTGGTGAAGGGGAAACCACAGTTCCCATTATTATTTGGTGGAAAACATGCACTTTAAATGTGCTTTAAATGGATGGTGTGGATCTGCCCTAAGATAAACGATAGCTTACTAGAATGAGCCCAGGTGAGCCATGGGCTCCCACACTTCCTCTGTTCTTCTCAAGCATGGCTATAAGTAGCAGATTATCCTTTCCTGAGAATCATCATATCAGTTTCCCTCATTTCTTCCTTTTGCAGAGGCCTTTCACAATACGAGTGAAGATGGCAAAGGAATATATCTTCAAGAGTCCGAGGTAAGGACACACACCTTATTTTCTAGCTGTAGCACAGTGCCAGCTGTTATGGAAAACAGGTTCTTCTTTTTAATATCCCAATGAATGGAGCACCTCTTGGTTGTATAACTCTCAAATGATTGCAGTGATTGACAGGACAATGAAACCCTTGGGTCAAGAGCTCTTCCAGGAGCTTGGCTTCCTAGGTTCATCTCTGGGGATGGAGGATAGTATAAAGCAAACCAACTTAGCTCCAGAACTTCCAAGTAAACCAGAAAGCAGTTAATAAGTGGATTGCATACTTCTCTGAATTTTGCAGTGTGCTAAAATATATCTGTTACATGAAAAATGCAAAACAACAACAACAACCCCAAACTACCCTTCCTATTTTAGGGGGAAATTTGTACAAAATGCATATTTTAGGTTCAATTTAAATGCAGAGTTCTTTTTGTTTATTTCTTATAAAAATCTGCAATGAATGGAACAAACTTATTTTTGAATATGTACAAAACCGTTGGAACAGAAATAAGTTGATTCATTCGATCTAGAGACAGAGTTACTGAATGGTTGAGCTCAGAAGGGACTACACTGACTACTGTGAACTATACCAGGCACGCCATATCTGGGAATGATAGCAAAGTCTGGGCCACAAGAACAGAGCTGCTCCTGCCACACAGGTCTTCCTGAAGTTGGCTGGGTTGGTGGCAGAATTATCATAAGAGGAGGCTTTGATGGAGATGCCCTTCTTCCTTGCTGATGGCAGCGGTGGTTCTGCCTATCTTGGTCTTGATGGACCAATAGATAGATCTGCCCTAGGGGTGCATACCTCCATGGACCAGGTCATGTGAAGGAACCAATAGCAATGACTAGGTCAGGTATAACAGGAGACCATTTCATAGGCTAGCCCCTAGTGCAGTAGAGCAGGATAAAATTATTTTTATGCATTTCTCCTTGGTATTCGGCAGTGGATGATGATGACTCTCTATTCATGAAGTAAAGCAAAGGAGAATTGTTGAGCCAAGCTACCTGGCCCCTTCACAAGGACAGAAGTGACATCCTTTTATCTGCATACGGGGGACATTTTGAGTCCAGCTTTATGACTCTTGTGGAATTTGGAAGAGCTTCATTCACTGGGAGCAGCTCCATTGATGTCTCTTGGGACTGCTTGTGGGTGCAGCATGGACAATGGCCAGAAATCATAAGGTCATGCTTCTAGCATACTGACTGAGGCTTCTTTAAAAAGCGCTTCCTTTAGAAGAAGAAGAAAAAAACCTGAGTTACTGATCAAGCACCTGGGTGACAATGAAGACTGTGGTGTTAAGTCATGCGTCATTTCAATTTGTTGAGGAGTACCTGCTGTTAAACCAGGATGGAATAGTTATATGGCTGCAGTGAGGAACAGTGAGCAAGTGAACAAATACGAAGTGGCCTAAAGGGCCTTGCAGCAGCTCATTTCCAAAATGCGCTTGCCTGAGTTGTAAGATTGGCTGTGGAGGCACTGCTCGCCATCTCATTGTGGCAGCTCAGACAGGCAGTTACAAGAAACGGCCTTTTCAGTAGTGGCCCCAAAACTTTGGAATACCTGGTAGAGATCTCCCTGGGCTCTTTATAAGTGTCTTTTTAGGTATCTGTTTCAACAAGCTTTGAATATCTGATTAATCTCACGGGATGCTACTTTTAAAATGATATGGTTATTGTTGCTAAAACACTGTTTTTGGGTTGTTGTTTTTTAAAATGAATTTTTGTTATATTTATAATTTTGCTTATTCTTGTATTTATTATTTTGTAAGCCATTTTGAGAGCTTGTAATAGAAAAGTTTGGATAAAAATGAAGAACATTTATACTGACAGTCCTTCGGATTGTCTGCAAAGGTTAGGGTTCACATGTCCTTTTAGGTCATTATGGAGTGCCTTCTCCAGGCATCCCACAATGACTCATCCTCCCTTTGTTTCCAAGCTTGGCTTTGAACATTGGGCAGCACTCCCCAAATTACTTTCTTCTCCATTTGCATTTCCATTTGGGGCTGGAGTAAGTAGCTGGCCTACTTACTCCAGCCCCAGTACAGTGTATTTATTTATTGCTATTTTTAATTACTCATTGTAAGTTTATCGGAAAGGGTAGGATAATGAAAACAGGCATGCAAGAATCTGTGCAGTCCTTTGGGATTTGGCAGAGAGGGTCACAAGAACTATAGTTTGTCCCTTTCTGTTGCTTCCTGATGAGCAAACCACTGTTATTCTATATTTTTCAGCTGAGGTCAGTGATAAAATTGCTATTCAGTTGCCACTGCCTGCACATGTTGCTTTCAGAGCAGAATCAGGGCCTAAACTTTAATAGCCAAGAAAACCCAGGACTATGAAAGAGGAAAAGAGGCTAAAATGCAGCTCTCAGTGGCTTCATTGGGTTTGGGATTTCACGCTGCAAAACTTTTATTATTATTATAATAAAAAATACAGTTTGTAATGTATTGCACAGGTTATGAAGGAAGCTATGAGATAGCTCAATGAGACTCTTAACATGGGTTTGAGCCCCACATTGGGCAAAAGATTCTTGCATTGCAGGGGGTTGGACTAGATGACCCTCATGGTCCCTTCCATCTCTACAATTTATGTGAGTCTCTGATTCCATGGAAATGGCTATAGCCAAGTACATATGTTCCATTGTGCTCCAATCATTTTATGTATCTGATTTTTGTACACGCTTGTGCATTGACTCCTTTTAACACAACTACGTGTAATTGCAGCATTATTGTGTGACGATTCATGCACCCCGAAGAATCCTCTGCTGATTATTCAATAAAGTTTTTTATAATGCTAAGTAGCACTGAGATGTGTGAAAAGAGGTCTTTGTCAACTCATTGTATGCCTTAACTCGTACAATGCAAACTCTGTTCTGTGGATCGCAAGGAAAGTGTTCTTGCCATGGTGCTTTCCTTGACATTTTTGAAATTTTTATGTATCTAGCAGAGAAACACTTCCAGGATTCTGAAGATATGACTCCTGTTTTCCTTGTGCCTGGTGGGAAACAACACACAATCTATCTTGGGGGGGGGTGCATTATATTGAGAGGTACTTCTACACCATCACACTTTTCACTGGGTGCATTAGCAGAAAGAATTCCAAGGACATCACTGTGTAGCTGGTAAGCTGGATGAGAAGTCTTTCATGGAGACAGAAGAACAATGTGGAAAACAGAGCATACAACACAATGAATAGAGAAGGTAGGTCGATATGGCAATTAATAATATAGAAATCAGGAGTAATTCAAGAATCTAGCCCCCAAGTTCTCAGAATACAAAAGAGTTCACCTTGTATGTATAATACATCTGGAAGCATAATAAAATGCATGTAGAATTTGGAAGGCTCTTATATCCTTTTGCATGAGGTCGATTTTTCGGCAACTTCAGTGGTCTACAACTATTGAACTTATTTATTCAGATGTTCTTTGCATGGCCAGGAGTCAGGGATGATAGGAATCTAGCAACATCTAGAGGGCCACAGGTCCTAAAGTGCTGGTCTAGGACTTGGGAGACCAGAGTTCTATTCCCCATTCAGCTATGAAGCTCGCAGGTGACATTGGGCCAGGCATTGTCTCTCAGCTTAACCTGCCTCACAGAATGGTTGTGCTAAAATGGGGAAGAAGAAAGCCATGCACTTTATGCTCCTTGCTGGAAAGGGGGACGATCAATTAATAATAATAAAATGAATAAATTAAAAGTGGCTTTTTAGAAAACCCAGCTCTTCTCACTAGCGCTTATTCAGACAAGCTTCTGGACTGGGTCCTTTCGACAAATAGTGAGGATTGGGCCTATTACATCTACCTCCCTGAAGCTCAGCACCGGCACTCCACAGGGGTGCGTGCTAAGTCCATACCTATATTCGTTGTATACATATGATTGCATTTCATCTGACCCATCTACTGCAATTATTAAGTTTGCTGATGACACCACCATAATGGGTTTAATTACAGGCGAAGATGAATCTGTGTACGGGGGAAGGTTCAAAAGGTATCCACATGGTGCTCAGAGAACAATCTGAACCTAAACATTGGCAAGACAAAGGAGATGGTGTTGGACTTTCGGAGGAAGAGAGGGGAGCTAGCCCCATTGTATATTGGGGGGGGGCTGTGTGCAGAGAGTCTCTTCCTTTAAATTCCTGGGAGTCCATCTTAATGAAGACCTTACTTGGAAGGTCAATACAGCCCAGGTAGTTAGGAAGGCCCAACAGAGACTTCATTTCCTTCGGGTTTTGTGAAAGAACAATGTTAGACAGCAACTGATGATTTCCTTCTATCGGTCCACGATAGAAAGTGTTCTCTCATACTGTATTACGGTGTGGTACGCTGGTTCAACAGCCATGGACAGAAAGTCCCTACAGAGGGTGGTGAAGACAGCACACGATATCATGGGCTGTCCCCTGAGTCCGCTAGATGTTATTGCAGGAGACCGTTGCCTCAGAAGAGCGAGGAACATTCTCAGGGATGACTCACACCCTGGCCAGCACCTTTTTAATCTCCTGCCCTCGGGCAGGAGATACAGAAGCATGATAAGCCACACCAAAAGGTTAAAGAATGAATTGATTTTAGAATGTATTTCAATTAACTGATTGTGATTTTATGTAAACTGTTATTTTTACTGTTGTTTCTTTTTTAAAAAAATATTTTATTAAGGATTTACTGTTGTTAGCCGCTCTGAGCCCGGCTTTGGCTGGGGAAAGCGGGATATAAATAAAATTTATTATTATTATTATTATTACTAAGAACAGTTTCTACCCATGGGCCGTGATGCTGCTGAATGGAAGACAGCAACATTGCAGCTGACGTTTGGGATTGGTGGTCGTACGACAGCACACAGAGTGTAACAAGGACGGAGAGATGGGGGGGGGGGCTCATTTAATCTCACTTTAAACAAGTGGTACAGTGACAATAAAGTATTTCTATTAGAGATATCTGCCCCCGCCCTGCCAGATATGCCATGATTAGAGAAAGGCTGATTTTCATAGCAAGTAGCTTTTTGCAGAATGAGATGCTGGAAAACGACGGGCTCCCTCCGCTTTTGCTTCCTGCTGCGTCTCACACTGGATTGCACCTGAAAAGGAACCTTGCCAAGCTTGAAGTTCAATTTATCAGCACAGTCAAGATTGATTTGTTACACCACCAATGCTGAGGAAATGAATGTCTCCATTCTATTCCCATCCAATCCCAGCAGATCTTTGTTTTCCTCAGGTCACCTGTGTAATGTAAGACCCTGACGTTCCTCAGATAAAGCAGGGAGCGGCGGCAGAGGAGGAGGAGGAGGGGGACTTCTGCAAAACACAAATTAACTGCCTGCATCCAGCAAATACATTACCAAAAATTAATGCTGGTTGGAATGTGAAGATACAACCTGTGCCTGGCAATGAGGCAACTGCAGCTGCATGATATGGGCGGGGGTGGGGTGGGGAGCAGAATATGGCAACTACTTTAAAGGGCAGTATTTGAATTAAAGCCAACATGAACATCTACATTTTGGCATTTTGTTCACAAAGGCCTTTGACCCTTGTCATCTGGTTTGTTATCATGAGTCTGTATAAAGAGTCTGCTCTTAGTTCAGCTGGCTGTTTTCAAAATCAGATTTTTTAATATTATTGGTATTGTCATTTGACTGTTGCTATGTTTTGAGATATCTAATACTGTCGTTAGCTACCTATTTATTTATTTAGGTGATTTATAGACTGCATTTTTGGCAAAAACCATTGCCAAAAGGGCACGTTCAGATGTGGAGAAAATTGCATTCATTTTCCTGATTTTAATTTCAGTGCTTTTGCCACATTTTCTACTTTTACTTTCACGCTACAATACCTGTTGTGGACTTGTGGCTTTTCAACCAGTACACCATCATGTTGCGCTAAATTTACTCCCATTGGTGAGGGTGTGGTGTGATACAGCAACACACGTCATTGCACACCATGGCTACTTCCTCACCTTTTCCACACATCCAGGCCTCTCTGTTCC